GTGATGTCCAAATTAGAGAAAGGCTAGTCACTGGTGCATGAATGTAGGTTTGGAAGATCAACGTCTTTGATAGGAAAGGAACTGATAATATGTACTGATGATGTGTAGAAAATAAAGTTTGCAGCCAGCCTCTAAGATGGCTCAGTGTTCCCCACATTTTAGTGTTCATTCCTCTCCATCCTAAACTCTATCTTGGAAACAAAGTCTGTAAGGGTTAGTTCAACATCCTCCTAAGCCTTCTGGGTTCTGCTTGGAGTACACCTATGGGGAACCCTGGAGTGAAGTTGTAGTGAGGTTGTTGTGTTCCTAAAGAGCAGATCACTGATCCCCTCAAAGTGATCTCTGCTCTACCGCTACTCTCTCTCCCCATTCTGGTCATTTTGAACCTAGGGGTGGTGATAGTTCCACTACTGCTGGACCTGGGTTCCTGTGTAACTTTTGTCGTTTCCTTATCCCCATTCACTCCTTTATAATTAGTTCCTTTAAAATAACTCTTTCAAAGTTAGTCTAAGTATGTCATGTTTTCTCTTGTAACCCTGACTAATACAGTAATTGCTATCAGAAGTGGCTCTATGAAGCAGATTCAGAGTTGGGTCTGGGATTTATTTGGTCATATATTTAGAGGTCCAGAGATTCCCTTTGCTGGGAGAAATAACTCAGTTATCAATTACTCAAATTGTCATTGGTAGTGCTTGGGATAAAGGGCAAAGAGAGGGCAAGATGCTGGCTTTATGGAGTTTCAGGAAAGTCCCAATAAGAAAATGGCAGCACAACCCCCTAGGAATAAGGAGTAATGCCTTAACTCTGTGCTGATCACTATTTTCCATTTCAAAAGTAGCTCCTGACTTGCTACTGGTAAAGACTAAATGCTTAATCACGGATCATCAAATATTTGTGTGATCCAAGCTGCCTATCATGAGCTGAGTGCTATCTGATTCAATGAACTATGAAATTGGGCATGTGTGCTAGTTTTCTGTCCTAATCTAGAAGTGTCATATGTGAAAGTGGGCCCTAGCAGATCCAAAAGCTTCCAGAAAGCTTCATAAGCATGCAACATCTACTCACATTGTACCTGCTCTTTCTGCTTCTACTTCAACTCACACCAGTGGCCTCCTGGGTAGTTCTCCAACAGCTAATGGGAGAAAAATCTCTGGCTTAATTTACAGGAAGATCTGCATCCTAAATGTGCTCCAACAGGAAATAGCCATTGTACTACAATTCAGAGGTAGCCTGATAGACAGTGTTGAAATAAAGTTTTCCCGGAACTTCAGGAAACACATACGTTTATTCATTTCATTAGGGAAAAAGATAGTTTGAGGCATTGATCTACCTTGATTCATGGGCAATGGTAAAAACAAATTGGCCTGCCGATGGGAACTAGGAAGGAACAAAATTGGGAGATTGGTGACAAAAAGATCTTGGGGAAAGGAATGTGGTTGAATTTCTTAGAACAGGGACAGAATAGGAAGATGTAACCAGAGATTGACAAGATGACCCATGTCGTGGAGGGAGTTAGCTTTTTCTTAGTCTCACTGGTGCTTGTTCAACGGTCTCCTGAATACCTTACCATGTGTCCCATAACTCCAAAGCAGCTGACTTGATATAGAAGAATGACCTTTTAAAGGCCCAATTACTATCACATCTGGAAGACAACGTCTTGCAAAGTTCAGGTAGGGTCCTGTAGGATGCAATCAGTGTCTTAAACTGTCAGCAGATATGCTTTTGTTTTTCCATAGCCAGGACACATGAGTCTGGAAATGAAGCAATGGAGACTGGAGCAGCCTCTCTCACCATTTTGTCTAATAATCAACTGGGTATTGTTGTTTACTTTCCCTATGACCTTGGTTTTTGTTTTGGAGATCCCATTGCCAAGAGAAGAATCCTTGTATTAGGAAATATTGAAAGTTGAACTGCCCTCTGGCCACTGTGGGATTCCCTATTGAATTTATCGGCCCTGAAGGGGGTCAGTGTAGCTGGGGTTTATCCTGATTAACAGGGGATAATTGGGTGGGTGCATCAAAATTAAGACAAAGAGGGCTTCGTTTAAAAATGAGGGAATGCATTAGCTTCATTTCTTAATATTCTTAATAGTCCTGGTCAATGGAAAACTGTAGCAACCCCATAAAGACAAGACTAAACAAAGACCCAAATCCTACAGGAATGAATATTTGGGCACCTTCTTCAGCCAAGGTGTTGGCAGTGGCAAAGAGGAACATGGAATAGATGATGGAAGAGGGCATATCTGATTCCCACATTAAGATGGGTCAGGTGTGGTGATTCATGCCTGTAATCCCAGCACTTTGGTGGGTGGATCACTTGAGGTCAGGAGTTGGAGACCAGCCTGGGCAACATGGAGAAATGCCTTCTCTACTAAAAACTACAAAAAATTAGCTGGGCAAGGTGGCACATGCCTGTAATCCCAGCTACTCAGGAGGCCTGAGGCAGGAGAATCACTTGAACCTCGGAGGCAGAGGAGGTTGCAGTGAGCCAACATAGCACCACTGCACTCCAGCCTGGCCAATGCAGTGAGACTATGTCTAAAAGAAAGAATAAATGGATGCTGAGGGGTGTACTGGGCTGGATGTGTCGTGTCTGCTCCTCTCCCTACTGGTCCACTCTCTGCATTTCACCAGTATGTTCTTGGCTCCTGTGTGGTTTACATACAACTATCTGGCTTCTTGCTGGGTTAGGCCAATGGAGAGCCCAGCAAGGAGTGGGGAAGGAGAGTGGAGTAAGGATATATTTCCTCCTGATTTTCTGGCTATGAAGTCTCCTTGGGCCATCTGTGTCCTTGGATGGGTGATAAGTGCTCTTTTCCAGGTGACCTGTGCCACAGACACCCTCTCTTCCTGGATTCTGATAACCTTCCCTTCCCTCCTCACTTTGTTAGGTGTGGTGGTGGCTCAGCTCTGGATTCCTGCCATATCCTTGTAGTTTTGCTTCACTGTGCCTACATCTCTATAATATTTCCTTTTATAAAGAAATCCTTCTCAGCATATGCCCATTTGAGTGTGCTTCTGATTCTTGTTGGGATCCTGACTGATAATATTTCCCTCCTTGTTCCAGGGACTTTAAAAGATGTTATCTAATTGATTCTTCACCACAATCCTAGTACAGCCAGTCTTCCTGATTACCCTCTTAATGTAGACCTGGGGTTGTCCCTGGTGTTTTACATGAATCAATTAGTCCTCACCGTTGCCTTTCTTAGGCATCCTATTATTCCCATTTTACAGACAAGGAAACTGAAGCACAGAACATTTAACAGTATACTCAAAGTCACAAAGTTAGACATTAATCTCTGCCTTATAGGGCTTCTCAAAGGGAGTACATACTATTTACCTCATTCTTACAGTTGGGAAAACTAAGATTTAGAGAAGTAAAGGGACTTATCCAGATGTAGTCAGCAGGGCTAGGGCTAACCCCAGGGTCTGTCTCCCTTCAAAGTGAATGCGCACCTCTAAGGTACTCTGCTGCCACCTGAATACTTGAGTTTCAGATGTCAATAGGAGGTGCAGGTTCTATGAAAATAAAATATCCTTTTGAAATTCAAAATTTATTTCTGGTCTTTATTTTATTTTAAATTTAATTCACTCTATTTTTTTGAAGACAGAGTCTCAACTCACTGAAGCCTCCATCTCCCAGGTTCAAGGGATCCTCCCACCTCAGCCTCCTGAGTATTGGAAACTACAGGCATGCCCCACCATGCCTGGCTAATTTTAAAAAAAGGTTTTTTTTGAGGTAGAGTTGGGGTTCTGCTATGTTGCCCAGGCTGATCTCAAACTCCTGGGCTCAAGCGATCTGCCTGTCTCAGCATCCCAAGGTACTGAGATTATAGGCGTGAGCCACTACCCTCGGCCTATTCATGGACTTTAAAAAGGAAAATCATCTCACTTAAATAAAGATGAAGCTTGACAATGCAAGTGTAGGCATAACCCAGACTTACTAGCTAGTTCTTTCTTCAAATGTTGTTATCTTTAAACTTAATTCATATTAAGAGCCTGTGTTTCATGTAATACTATGCAGCCATAAAACAAATGAGTTCATGTCCTTTGCTGGGACATGGATGAAAATGGAAGCCATCATTCTCAGCAAACTAACAGAGGAACAGAAAACCAAACACCACCTGTTCTCACTCATAAGTGGGAGTTGAACAATGAGAACACATGGACACAGGGATGGGAATGTCACACTCTGGGGCCTGTCAGGGGATTGGGGGAAAGGGAAGGGGAAGCATTAGGACAAATACCTAACACACGTGGGGCTTAAAACCTACATGGACGGGTTGATGGGTGCACAAACCACCATGGCACATATATATCTATGTAACAAACTTGCACATTCTGCACATGTATCCCAGAACTTAAAGTTAAGAAAAAAAACAAAAAACAATACCTAGATTCCTCCCCAGATAGTCTAATTTTATTGGTCTGAGGTATGCAGGATATGATCTATGCTCCAGAATATTTTTAAAGCTCCTCAGATAATTCTAACATGCAGCTAAGGTTTAGAACCATTTTTAAATTACAATAAATAAAAAAAGAATAAATAAAATTCCACTGAAATGTTGATGGAATTAAAAAGAAAAAGCCTATGTGTTAAACAATTTAATTAAAAAAATTGACAGACCTAATTCAAAATCCCTGCCAACAGATTTCCTAGGGGAGCACTGCTTTTGGAATCCTATTTTCTTGTACATTTATTAGCCAACATTAGTCCTGACAAAGGTAAAAGAGAATACGCTGGTCATTTATCACTCACAGACTGAGGAAATGCAAAAACCAGACCAGAGGAGAAGAGCCTGAGAAGGGAAACCACACTGGCCAACGTGCCAGGAACTTATTTTTTGCTTTAGTGACAGTTATTTGTCTTCCACTAGTGAAGGAAGGCGTGATAGAGACTTTCATATGCTTTATAACAATTCTTATCTCCCTCCTCTTAGAGACACCCTCAATATCACATACTCATGGCTTTCTAACAACTGGGAATGATCTGCTTTTCAGATAACACCATCCAGTCGGTTTTCTGTTGCTGCTGTTGCTGTTCAGTGCAGAAGCGGTAAGTCTACTTCCGAGGGCAGTTTTATGAAAATTATTCAATTCAGTTTCTTTATTACCTATGGAGTCACCATGTCTCTTTGCACCTGCTGTTCTCTCTACCTGGGAACGCTTCTCCCATTTTCTCCCTGTTGAATGCCTATTTGTTTAAAGGTCTAGGTCAAATGTCAGGTCACCTGGGATCCTTTCCTGATGCTTTAGAGTTAGTGGTTCATTCTATTGTGTTCCCACAGTGTGCGGCATGGTTCTCCACTTAATTTTTATTTCGTGTATGTTGTTTGTAGGTCTGTGCTCCAATAGGTAATTTTTGCCCTGTAAGGGCAAGAATCCTATCTTAGTTATCTATCTCCCCAAAACTATCAGTGTATCTTATACTTTGATGGCAATGAATGACTCTGTAAGAATTAAATCCAAGACAGCATGTTAACAGAAAAAGCTAACATTTAATAGGAGTGTTCTGTATATCAGATACTACGCTAAAAGATTTATTTTTGTTAACTCATTTAGTTCTCAAAACACGTATTTTTTTTTACAATCCCCATTTTACAGATGAGGAAATTGAGGCTTAGAGAGGTTACATTGCTTACCCAAAGCCACTCTATGAAATGGTGGAGCTGGGATTCAAACTCATGTTCCTAATCACTATACCATGTCTATTTATAACAAAAAGACACCATCAAATGAGGTAATGATATAAAAGGACAAACACCGAGCCAGATACAGAGTAAGTTTTCATTACCGTGATTATAATTTATGCCCCAAAGATGCACCAGACTCTACTGGGAACGTGACATGTTTTCGCAATTTTATTTTATAACAACTTGACACTCTTAGCATCTCTAGTTTCTGCGTAAGAAAACTTAAGTTCTTAAAACTAGTGATTTGCCCAGGGAGATGGAAATAGGAAGCATTCTAAATGAAAAAGCAGTGGGAAAGAGACCTGGATTTTTCTACTCATTCTGTGAAAATCTAGTGGATTGTACAAATAATTATTTGTAACATGATTGCTTTTCAATGTCAGACAAGTGAGAACACAGATAAGCTTGAGCACAGATGAAGAGCTTCCAGAAAAATACACCCAGCGTCGCAGGCCGTGGCTCAGCCAACTGTCAAATGAGAAGCGAGTGAGTATCATTTTGGCAGGCAAGAGGGGAATGGAGAAGGTTGTCTTCTTAGAATCTTCATTCATGAGGTGCTGTTGTTGCCCAGAATCTAGGATCAGGCTTGGCCCAAAATAAGTGCTCAATAATTTGTGAAGGAATGTTCTAGAAGAAAGTCAAAGGGGGAAAAAAAAGGCAGTTAAAATTGGCTACTTATATTTAAAAGCCAGAACTTGCTAATGGGAAATGAGTGGGGGGAAAACATATTTTGGCTCCTGTCATTTTTGAGGCTGAGATTAATTTTCACTTCAGTGAAAACAGCATTCTTAGGAAGTATGGTAAACCTAAGCACAAGCTGCCACCACATGAAAAGAAAAAGGCCAGTTTTCTTCTTCCAAGACAGAAAAAATTCTTAAAACAAGGTGAGACTGTTGAAGAAGAGTACATCATCTTTTGAGAATTTTGATACCAAGAAAATCCAGTACAATGCTGGCAAGAGAACTTGTGATCTCAAAAATGTAAAAATGGTGAGTGTGTTGCTGGATCCAAGAGGAGTTTTATAGTTAGTCCTTCCCACATTTATCCCATCCTGGCTTCTGCCTTGATATAGCTGGATAAGAAGAGTGGGGCAGAAGGCAAGATGCTTTATCCCTATGTTTTTTAGTACAGATTATTAAAATGATAGTAAAACAACTCACTTCTTGGTTTTCACAGTCCAACAGGGGCCGTGTGCAACTGTCGAAACGAAAGCCACTGCCTCCTCTCCCACCCTCTGAGGTTGCTGAAGAGAAGATCCAAGTCAAGGCACTTTATGATTTTCTGCCCAGAGAACCTTGTAATTTAGCCCTAAGGAGATCAGAAGAATACCTGATACTGGAGAAATACAATCCTCACTGGTGGAAGGCAAGAGACCGTTTGGGGTAAGACACTTACATGACTTAGTCAGTATCCAGTTCCTCCAACACAAAGAAGACTATTTAGTGACTCAGGCTTATAACTCTTCCCTCTGCATGAAATGGAACCTGTCCCCTCTCCTGGAAGGTATGTGAGAGAATGAAAGAACAGTGATTTCAGGCAAAGTCTCAGAACCACATCCACCCGGCTTCACATCCTGATGCTGTCACTTACTATTGTGTGTCCCTGGGCAAGTCACTTACCCTCTCTGAATTTTTGTTTTTTCATTTGTACAATGGAAATAATAATTCTGACAATGTAGTTTCTTATTCTGATTTGTACTTTTATTTGGGAATTTGTTGGGTTTTTTTTTCTGTTAAGCTCTAAGGTAAGAACAGAAATAGTATCTTATTCACTTTTATGTTTTTACAATAACTAGTTTTGGAAGCAAACATTGCAGTTGCTGCTGAATGAGATTAGAAAGAAAAAAGACCCTGGGATGCAGATAGGTTTCATTGTGTCAGTTGCAACAGATGGTTAATGCCTGACTAGAGTCCTGAGTTGAGAGGAATTCCAAGGAATATCTGGGCTTCCTGAGAGAGAAGGCTGGCATTGATATCTGATATTTGCCGAGATTTAGAGATTATAAGTATCCAAGTATTATAAGCATGTAAATTACATACCTCTTTCTTCAACTACATTTTCTCAATGATGTGCCCTCTTAACGGTTCTCAATATGTGATGGAGACTTTTCAATGGAAAAGAGGCATTAGTAGGTTCAGGATTGTGTAATTAGCCACACCTGCAGGTGGACTATTGGCATGCCTCAGACTTAAAAGTTGAATTTTTGATTTCACAGTTAGTAAGTGAATAGAGTCTTTAAAAATATATAATATGCAAACATTAATGTCAAAATTCTGCTTTGCCACTACCTTCAAACCCAAGTGTTTCCCCAAAAGTAAATATTATTATGCATTTAGTGTATTTTCAGTGTGCTTACATTCACATATCAAAATATATGATATTGTTTGTAGAATTAATTTACCTAAATCTTATCATACTTTATGCATGATTCTGCAACTTACTTTTATTTCTCAATAATATGTCTTGGAGATCTTTTTGTAATTTCAAATGTTGGTTAAGGTATAGGGAAAGTGAAACCTCTACCGTGCTGATAGGTGTGTAAGTTGGTGTATCCTACTTTGATGGAAGTTTATTGCATGTCCTGAAAGATGCACATATCCCGTGACTTAGCAATTCCCCTCCTTGCTGTCTATCTTTGAGAAATATTGTTACTTCTGTACAGGAAGGCATGTTCAAGGATTTCTTTATGGCATTGATCCTACTAGGGAAGTGGTTAAACTAGAATACCTCTACTATGGAATAGTAATTCAGCGATTGAAAAGAATGAAGCCAGGATCTTTATAATTGCTGTGTTTTTAACCTAGTCACTATGACATCAGATGATCATTTAAGTGCCCTCTTTTCTCTTTAAAATGGTTGTGGGCTCATAAAAACCCTTTAAGTATTCACACTGCAAGTTGGGATCTTAATACATTTCTTGTACAGAGGTTTTTGTTGAGTTAGAAATGAAAAAAACTTTTTTTCTCTTTATAGCGATTTAATCAGTAAAATGAATTTGATTCCCCTTAGATCCTTACAGTTTCAAAAGGATTGTGGCCGTGATAATGCCACAAACATGCCAAGCATTTTGATTTTTGCTTTTTCTTTTGTTACAGGAATGAAGGCTTAATCCCAAGCAACTACGTGACTGAAAACAAAATAACTAATTTAGAAATATATGAGTAAGTCTTCCCCAAAATATGGCCTATGGTTAACCTATGAATATCAGGGACATTTTGGCAGCTTGTAAGTATAGATACTGTTTTTGGTCTGTAAAAGGAAAAGAAAGTAACACATTTGACAGCATTAATAATAAAGAGTACTTTGATCCTTATCATGGTTGATTCAGAAACTTCTTTTTCTTAAACTTATTTTTGTTCTGTTTTGTATAGCCACTTTTTCTGTTTTAGCAGTGACAGACTGAAACCAAACACTCATCTGGCACTTGTTTTACTATGTATTCTACTGTAAAATTTAGTTTAAAAAATGACATTAAATTTGCAGTGAGTGGTACATTGGACTTAACTATATAGATGAATTACTACACTTTGGCTCATGTTTTCGTATGCTTTGGAAATAGCTGAAGATATGAGCTAGGATAATGCTGTAGTTTGGAAGAACTCTTTGGCATATTCACTCGAGTTCTGCTTGATATCTATTTTTGTTACAGTTATAGATTTGGAAGATGGAGGAAATCTTAGCAATCACTTTTTTAGCCCCTCATTTTGCAGATGAGAAGATTGACAGAAGACTTTACAGGTAGAGAGCAGTAGAACTGAGACTAGTCTTTTTTTAAAATTATTTTTTGAAAGGAAAGAAGGAAAGAAAAAAGTAGTGAAGGGGAGGAAGAAAGAGGAAGAAAAAGAGGGAGAGAGAACGGGAATGTGGCTTTATTCTAAAAATGGGTATTAATAATGGCCGATCAATATTTCATTTAAACCTCTGAATAGGTGTGATGTGGTATTGACAAGAATGTATATTTTGTGTATTTAAAGTGGAGAGCTCTACAAATATGTATTAAGTTTACTTGTTCCAGATCTGAGTTCAAGCCCTGGATATCCTTATTAATTTTCTGTCTCTTTGAGTCTAATTTTTTTTTTATAAATTTAGATTTTTAGTTTGAGGATCTCCCCCCACCTCCATCCCGCTTGGGCACTTATCTTGCAATTAGCATATGCCTCCACCAGGTGGCAGTAGGTAATATGCATTGAGGATTAAGACAAGTGCTTTTCTGAGAACCAGGCGGTAAATACAACTGAATGAGAGAAACTCCTTGGTTGGTCTTGCTACTAATAAAGCCCACCTGGAGATCTAACTCAGTACATCTCTCCTAAAACAAATTCAATTTCAAAAGCTTTGGTGAATAATGTAGACTTTATTGGAGGAGAGAAGGAGATGACTTCAGGACACATGACACATCTACATCACTCTATTAGATTTCTCCATTAGCTATTTCTGTTCTCTCTCCAGTCACTCTCCTCATCCGCATCACAGGAGCTCTTCTGTCTTTTCCCACCTTCACTCAGCCTCATGTCTCTATTGGAGCCGTTTAGCTCTTCCCAAGATTCTAATCTCCAGTAAAACAACCTCAGATGACTGAACCCACCTTCCTTATAAAACAGTTCCAAAGTGCTCACTTTGGTGGAATATATGCTAAAATTGGAATAATACAGAGAAGATTAGCATGGCAATTTTTTATTGTTTTTATTTTTTTGAAGTTTTTAAAATATTTTAAGTTCTGGGGTACATATGCAGAAGTGCAGGTTTGTTACATAGGTTTACACGTGCCATGGTGGTTTGCTGCATCCATCAATCCATCATCTACATTAGGTATTTCTCCTGATGCTATCCTTCCCATAGCCCCCCCAGCCCCCAACAGGCCATGGTATATGATGTTCCCCTCCCTGTGTCCATGTGTTCTCATTATTCAGCTCCCACTTATGAGTGAGAATATGCAGTGTTTGTTTTTCTGTTCTTGTGTTAGTTTGCTGAGAATGATTGTTTCCAGCTTCATCCATGTCTCTGAAAAGGACATGAACACATTCTTTTTTTATGGCTGCATAGTATTCCATGGTGTATATGTGCCACATTTTCTTTATCCTGTCTATCATTGATGGGCATTTGGGTTGATTCCAAGTCTTTGCTATTGTGAACAGTGCCATAATAAACATTCACGTGCATGTATCTTTAGAGTAGAATGATTTATAATCCTTTGGGTATATATCCAGTAATGGCATTTATGAATCAAATGGTATTTCTAGTTCTAGATCCTTGAGGAATCTTCACACTGTCTTCCACAATAACTGAACGAGTTTACACTCCCACCAACAGTGTATAAGCGTTCCTATTTCTCCACATCCTCTCCAGCATCTGTTGTTTCCTGTCTTTTTAATGATTGTCATTCTAACTGGCATGAGATGGTATCTCATTGTGGTTTTGATTTGCATTTCTCTGGTGACCAGTAATGATGAGCACCTTTTCATGTTTGCTGGCTGCATACATGTCTTCTTTTGAGAAATGTCTGTTGATATCCTTCGCCTACTTTTGATGGGGTTGTCTTTTTCTTGTAGATTTGTTTAAGTTCTTTGTACATTATGGATATTAACTCTTTGTCAGATAGATTGCAAACATTTTCTCCTTTCTGTAGGTTGCCTATTCACTTTGATGATAGTTTCTTTTGCTATGCAGAAGCTCTTTAGTTTAATTAGATCCCATTTGTCAATTTTGGCTTTTGTTGCCATTGCTTTTGGCATTTTAGTCATGAAGTCTTTGCCCATGCCTATGTCCTGAATGGTTTTGTAGCATGAAAATTTTTAAAAATTAAAAAAAAAAGAGGCCAGTCATGGTGGCTTACACCTGTAATCCTAGCACTTTGGGAAGCTGAGGTGGGAGAATTGCTTGAGCTCAGGAGTTCAAGACCATACTGGGCAACATAGTGAGACCCTATCTCTATTTTAAAAAAAGAAGAAAAAAAGTTCTGCAGTTGTCTACTCAAGAGCGTGTCCTCCTGGGGTCTCGCTGCTACCCCGAGCTGAAGCTGACCAACAAAAACAGGCCTCTTGCAACCAGGTCAGAGGAGATTTTGTATGTATTTACAGATATTATATGAAGATCTTTTGCTTAGAAAAATAAAACTTTTTTTCATATCATTTGAATTTTCCAGGCAATTAAAGGAGACATTTGTTAAGGTAGCTAACACGGTGCTGGGTGGTTAGCGAATGGACACTCACTGCCCGGGAATGTTACTTTCCACCCTTTGATTATTCATTTACTCATTGATTCCCCTGTTTAGACAAGGCCTAGACTCTGCCTATAACAACCTGTTTATACTGTGGATGTTGGATCATCTCAGTTAAACTACTCTGAGGTTACAACTGCTACCTCATTTTCTTGGGCCTCAATTTACCTATGTGTTTGTTTAAAAAAGCATCCTTTTTTAAATGACTCCAATTATGAGAAAACTCATTTTTCATTTTATTGCTGTTTCTAAAAATAGGTTTATCAAAATGTAGATAAAATGTTATCATTATTGATCACTGAAATTTATTGATCCCTTACTATGTGCCAAGCACTGTTCTAATGGTTGTACAAAAGTTACTGTCCTAGGTTGAAGTGCTAGAGCGTGGGTACAGAAATGGGAGCAACCTGGGTCCAAATCCGGCATCAGGACTGACTAGTGCTTTGGTTCTGGGCGGAGTTACCTAATGTCTCTAAACCTCTGATTGATCTGAAAAGCAGAGACAATAATACCTATAGTATCTACCAATAATAAACCATTAATACATTCTAGTGATTATTATTATTTCATAAACCATAAAACTACCTGGAAAAACATTTACAGTTTGGTCCACCTTGCCTAGTATTACAGGTGTTCAACATTTCTTTGTTACTTCAGTCCTCAAATCATCTTATTTGTTCCATCTGTATTTATTGTACACTTCTGATATTGCAGATATTACAACATGAAATATACAGATGGAACTTATAGTTTCTTGGGGGGAAAACCGACATTAAACAACCCTAAGTCCACAAATAAATGTACAATTTTAAATTGTAGTGTTATGACACACTGGAGCCTAGGGCGGGGGGTGAGGCGGGGGTGGCAAGGGGAGGGAGAGCATCAGGAAGAATAGCTAATGGACGCTGGGCTTAATACCTAGGCAATGGGACGGTCTGTGCAGGAAACCACTATGGCACACATCTACCAACGTAACAAATCTGCACATCCTGCACATGTACCCTGGAACTTAAAATAAAAGTTGAGAAAAAAAATAAAATAAATTGTAGTATTTTGAAGGAACAGTATTGGACACTGTGGGAGAAAACAGGGCAGGGGATATAATTTAGATAAGGGATGTTGGGGAAGAGTTTTCTGAGGAAGTGAGGTCTAAAGGTGGTAGAGGGAGTGTGTGTTGGGAGGAGGGTGGGGTACAGTGGAAGGAATGCTGTGTCAATGTGGAGTTCTGATATTTGAGGGGAACTTTTGGGCAAAGAAAGATTTATGGCTACTTTGGCTTTAAATGTATACCCAAAAGATCAATATTACAATGTAGAAACCTAGTTTTCAGAAAGCCCTCAAATTCAACTTATAAAATTTGATATACTATATATAGATCTAAAGAAATAAGAACAATCATCTTAATTCAAATTCAAGATACTAAATATCATTGAACAATCAGTCCTATTTATAAGCTCAGTTAATTAAGTTTTTGAAAACTTAATTTGCATTAATAACTGAATAAATTCAGTTTTCTTTCAACACATGCCTGACCGGGCAAATCTGCAATTATGATAAGCTCTATATAAGTCTTTAAATGATCCTGGAAATCTAATAAGCTAACCGTATAAATGTGGAAATAAAGTTCTTGTAACCATACAAATACCATTTTAAAAACAAGTCAAATTCTCTTCAACTTCAAATAACAAGTTTTAAAATTAGTTATGCCCTTTAAAATCAGAGATGAAAATCTAATACGCCAGATTATCTTAAAATAATAGATATTTTAAATACCAAACATATGGATTGTTCCTGAACTGTACAGAAGTATGAGTTCCATTTATCTCACTATTTCTACAGAATCCTTAGTCTGCTCACAATTAGAAAGTCACTTACTAAGGGAAGCAGATTAACCTTCTCAGATCTAATGGGGTTTCTAGATCAAAAATTCAAGAACACAATGCTGTTTACTTATTGATCAGAAATCTGAGATTGGAACATGTTCATAAAACATACAGGATGTTCCTCCTCACCCATAGCTGGACATGCTGGATTTAGAAAGAAAATATCAATAGGACACCTGTCCCTAACCCCTTTGTGCACATCATTTGGTCTTAGTTATAATTAGTGTTGTCTAGGTGTAAGAGTTACAGTTTCTCTCATACATATGTTTTTAAAAAGCCTTCTAACTTTTATCATCTGATTTAAATAGATGAAATTCTGAAATACTGTGCTCTTGCCTCCTCTAAGTTCTGTTTGTTCAGTCTCTTTCCTGCCTGATAGAATTCTGAATTATTTTAAAGGATCTTGAATTTGTCACATACGTCTATCAGGCAATATTAGATTAAGTTGAACATCTTTTTAAAAATCTTGTTTTGAGTGCTTGCTTTAGCAGCACATATTCTCAACATTAGAACAATACAGAGAAGATTAGCATGTTCCCTGCTCAAGGATGATACACAAATTCGTGAAATGTTCAATTTTTTTTTAAAGTCTTGTTTTGAAAGGAAAACCTTTTAGGTTTCCTTTCTCTCTTTTGTTCTACCATTATCCTTTCTCCTTCCTGTACAACATTTGCTTGCCAACTAGGTATTATCATATCAAACTGTATGTTTAGCTTATTAGTTAATATTAGTTAACTACATTTACTGCATGTACTTCTGATATTCTAAAGTCATTTAATGATATGTTTCATGCAGAGAAAACAGCATGATTGGGGGAAGAAAGGGGGTTGGTGAGGAAGGAAAGAATTCCAATGAGACTGAAGCTTCCTGAGTGAGGGGAGACTCAGGAGGCAGATGGGGCAGGAGAGAGTGTTACAGCAAGTTCGTGTATTGGTTGTTCCATGTATCCTACTTTTTGAATTTTAAAAAATTTTATTTTAGATCCAAGGGGTACACATGCATTTTTTTTTTACAACAGTATATTGTGTAATGGTGGATATTGGGTTTCTAGTGTACCCACCACCTAAACAGTGAACATTTTACCCAATAAGTCATTTTTCAGCTCTCACCCCCTTCCATCTTCCCTGCTTTGGGAGCCCCCAGTGTCTATTCTTTCCATCTCTGTGGCTATGTGTTCCCCCTGTTGAGCTCCCACTTACAAGTGAGAACATCTGCTAACCACTGACTATACTGTGACATCATGTACTTAGGAGTGTCAGAAAAGAAAGAATGGGATCTAATTTTTGGAAGGGGTAACAAATCACCTATAAAAACATGTAAATAGGAAGTTTCTGAGAGGAAAGACAGAAATAAGTATTTTTTTAGTTTGTCTGCCAAAGCTCAAATAGTGTTTGTTCAAGATGACGAGGTCTTTACCGCATACCTTTTAGGGAAATTTATAAGAAGTTAAATCATTCATAATGATATACTAAGTGTATGTCAGGAAGGTGAATTGAGATATGATAGAATGAACTAGATATTGGCTTGAAAATAAAATTATATTAAACTTAACTCATAATAGTATATTATTGTTTATCTGAAATTTTTTTTAAAAAATCAACTTTCTACAATCAGTTCTGAAGTTCTCAAAAATGAAGAAAATGAAGCATTTTTTTCTAAAATAATTGAATATGAAATTTAAAAATCATTTTTATGGCTTTTACAGGTGGTACCATAGAAACATTACCAGAAATCAGGCAGAACGTCTATTGAGACAAGAGGTAATTCAGTGTATTTGTGGACATTTTCAAAATTTCTGAAAGTACTTATAAAGACTTTAACCAGCTAAAAAAGTATATTAGTTCTAAAATATTATTACATCTCAACTATATATTTTATGTGAAGTTGTAAATCAGATATATATGTATCAGATCATTTCCATCAACTTTCATTATAATTTCAGAAATATGTTTCTCCTGAAAGATTTCAGCTCCAACATAGGGAGACTCTAAGGTGCATTCTGCCAATGTGCCAATGCAGTCTCTCTCTCTCTCTCTCTCTCTCTCTCTCTCTCTATTGTGTGTGTATATATATATGGAATCTCTCTCTCTCTCTCTCCCCCCCATATACGTGTGTGTGTGTGTGTGTGTGTGTGTGTGTGTAATTTTTTTTTGAGACATGGTCTCGCTCTGTCACCCAGGCTGGAGTGCAGTGGCCCGATCACAGTGGACTGAAGTCTTGACCTCCTGGACTCAAAGCTATCTTCCCAACTCAGCCTCCTGAGTAGCTGGGACTACAGGCATGCCACCATGCCTGGGTAGTTTTTTTGTATTTTTTATAGACATGGGGTTTTACCATGTTGCCCAACTGGTCTTGAACTACTGAGCTTAAGTGATCAGCCCAGCTCTGCCTCCCAAGGTACTGAGATTATAGGTGTGAGCCACCATGCCCAGCCTGGAGTCTGTATTTGAATTGCTCATTATACCCTTTGCACCAAGTATAAACTCGATCCTCAGGAACTTAGTTTACACTCATTCAAAACGCAAAGAAAAATACATGCCGCTCCAGTTTCTTTGTTCTTTGGAAGCAAAGAAAAAAGTTGAATAGCCAAAATACCAAACTCAGATAAAAACTCCTCTTGGTTTGAATTTCCAGCTGTCAATAAACATTAACTGTGGGTAAAACTAGAGTCAGAACTAGAAACCAGGTAAGAAGTATGTGTGTCATTATGCTCTGCTGTTGGATGTTGAGGAAATCTAGAAATGCAAATGAGAAAGAATCAGTTCTGTAACTCAAAACTCAATGCCAGTAATGGCGCAGGACACAGTGAAGATCCACTTCATAGCAGGGGCGAGGCAGAGAATGAGGGACACAGGCCCATCCTCAGGTAACCACGTGGATGGAGACTGGACAGGCCTCACTTGCTTGGAGGAAATTGAGTGGGGCAGCAAATATTCCATCTTCCTGGTGTGGTCACGGCAAATGGCCTTTTGTGAGGTGATATTAATAGGTCCAATATGGAGAAATAAAATGTTATGACAAGTGGACAGAACTAGAGAAGGAAGGTCCCAGAGGAGGTCCACAGTCAGCACACTGGGCACAGATAATATGGCTGAAATCACTGGGCTGTGCAGATTCAGGCTTCTGCATCTGAAAAGAAGCCAGACAAGGCCAGGATCTCTACAGCAATTTGAAGAGTGAATTATACGCACAGGCCCACAATCCAGATATGCCAAATATTAAAATTTGGCCATGACATTAAAAATAAATTACAGCTACAGGAAGCCCACCCCTTCATCTTTTTGGTCCTCTCTCATTCTCCAGAGGCAGTCACAACAGCAAGGAAGGTCCCCGTTTTGTCCATGTGTTTGTATTTTGACCATATATGCGTGCACATAAACAACTGATAACATTACTTTATGTATTTTACCATTTGACAGAAGGAGAGCATATGTATGTTGATTTTTCAGTTAAACTATGTTTTCAAAATTTATCGATATGGGTACATATACTATAGATCAAAAACATTCCTTTAACTGTATATTAGTGTATTTCATGATATGACTATATAAAATTGTATTCAGTATGGATAAACATTCAAAATGTTCCTAATTTGTTACTGTTACAACCAATTCTGCAATGAATTTTCTTATAAATGTCAAGTTGTACACAAGGGTGAGATGGAATTATGTGGTCCCAGGCTATGTGCAGATTTAACATTATTAGATATTTTCAAAACATGATTCAAAATGGTTATACTAATTTAGGCTTTTGTGGTGAATGAGATAAACTGGTTCCCAACATTCTTGCCAGCAGGTGGCAAGTAGTTTCACACTTTTTTTTTTCAGTTCATTGGGTGAGAAATTTTATATTTTTTCAAACATTTTCTTGATTACCAGTGCAGTTGAGTTACTTTTGAAGTGTCTGTAGGCTGGTTGAGCTTACTCTTTTGTGACATGCCTGTTAATATTTTTTGTTCATTTTTCCTGTAGTACTTGCCTTTTTAACTTATGAGTCTACATTTAAAAAACATAGCTGGGTGTGGTGGCTTAAGCCTGTAATCCCAGCACTTTGGGAGGCCGAAGCAGGTGTATCGTTTGAGATCAGGAGGTTGAGACCAGCCTGGCTAACATGGTGAAACCCCATCTCTACTGAAAATATAAAAATTAGCCGGGTGTGGTGGTGCATGCCTGTAATCCCAGCTACCCAGTAGGTTGAGGCTGGAGAATTGCTTGAACCTGGGACGTGGAGATTGCAGTGAGCCGAGATCATGCCACTGCATTCTAGTCTGGGTGACAGAGTGAGACCCCGTCTCAAAAAAATCAATTAAAAAGGATGATAAAAAGTATATCCAGAATACCAATCTTTTTTGTCAGTTATGTATTATAAATATACTCTTCTGGCTTCTGGCTTTTAAGAAAACTTTACATGTTTTCCTTTCTTGCATAGGATTTAAAAAGGTTTATGTTGTCACATTTCTCAAATTTTCCTTTATTATCTGTGCTTTAAAAAATTTTTTTTTTTTTTTTGCTTAGTGTAAGAGGTTTTTCTTCCAATTGAAGTCATAAATGGATTTTCTATTAAATGTATTAAGGATTTGCTTTTCACATCTGGGTCTTTATCAGAAATGTGTGCATATGTGTGTATAAAGCATGGGGTATTTAAAATATACATATTTTTCTATGTATCTTAAAAATGTTTTTCTAATTTATATATTTTCTAATTTTTATTTTAAAAATACACCTGGATTAAACCGTATTTGTCATGACGCATTTAAAATACATATTCTAGTTTGGGTTTTCTGATATTTTATTCAGCATTTATCCTGTTATGTTCAAAAGGAAGCCTGGCTTCTAATTTTCTGTTCTCTTTGGTTTTAGTAAAAAGGTTACATTAACATCATAAAATGAGTTAAGGGATAGGGCTTTGTCTTTCTTTCCAGTCTGTGGAATAGTTGATATTGGTTGGTTAGGAACCATAACTGTCTTGTAAGAGAGTCCAGATATGCTGCTTTTACAAAAAAGTAGATATGTGACTACCGATTGAATTTCCTTTTCTTTTTGAAATGTTTGATAATTTATATTTACCTAGAGAATTGCCTATTTTAAATTTATTTTCAAATTTGTTCCATTAACAATTCATAGCAATATCCTATAATTTGTATTTATTTTATATTTCAATAGTCAGTATGTTCGTGTGGTCCAATCAAAAGATTTTGGAAAGTTTTCTTCCATCTTGTCTTCAAGCCACCAATTTCCCTCCCCACAGAAAAACTACTATTAGTTTATTTTGTGTCCTTTCCAAGACATTTAATACATACACAAGTAAGTACAAATATATTTTCTTGTGTTGTTACTTTTACACAAATGATAGCATAGGATATATACTTTTATATATATTATTTTTTCACATAAGGATATATATTTAGAATCTTTCCACATCAGTACACAAAATGTGTCCTCCTTCACTTTATACCTGCATAGTATTCCTTAGTTTAGTTGTATCACAATTTTTAAAACCAATTCTTCATTATGGAAATTAAATGGTATTCTTTTTCTGTTGAAACAGTGCTGCCATCCATAACCTGTCCATCTATCTTTCCCCATTTATGTGTGTTTGTAGGATAAATCCTCAAAGGTGCAAACTCTGGGTCAAATGAAATATACATTTTTAATTTGAATAAATACTAAAATGTCTTCAGTAGTTGTATCAGTGTATATGCCTACCGGAAATGTAAGCAAGTCTGTTTTCCCATAACCTTTTCACCCAGCACGTTATAAAAAACATCTGCTCAAGCCTGTAATCCCAGCACTTTGGGAGGCCGAGGCGGGCGGATCACGAGGTCAGGAGATCGAGACCATCCTGGTCAACCTGGTGAAACCCCGTCTCTACTAAAAATACAAAAAATTAGCTGGGCACGGTGGCGCGTGCCTGTGGTCCCAGCTACTCGGGAGGCTGAGGCAAGAGAATTGCCTGAACTCAGGAGGCGGAGGTTGCGGTGAGCCAGGATTGCATCATTGCACTCCAGCCTGGGTAACAAGAGTGAAACTCCGTCTCAAAAAAAAAAAAAAAAAAAAAAAAAATCTGGATATTTGCTCTCTGACACTTCATCTCGTGTGGATGTAATTTGCATTTCTCTTATTCTGGGAATGCTAAGCATTTTTTATATGATAAATTTTATATGTCTCTATTTCCTTTTCTGTGAACTCTTTGTTCATATCCTTTGCATAGTATTCTGTTGGGTTTTTGATGTTTTTCTCAGAATTTGTAGGACCCATGTAGCCATATTAAGGAAATTAGCCCTTCGTGACATGTGGTGTTATTTCCTGCAGTTTTTCTACTGTCTTACAGTATTTTGGCCTGAATGGTATTTGAATTTTATATGTATTGCCTTCCCCTTCCCAGGTCATTAAAAATATTCTGATGTTTCTTGATCACTTTAGTGGTTTTGTTTTGTGCATTTTTATCTTTGATCCATTTGTAATTTTTCCTGATCTAAGGAGAGAGAGATGGATTCGACTTAATTTTTTTCTAGATGGTTACCAAACATCCACCTTTCTGCAGTGGCTTGAGATGCCATTTTCATCATAAACAAAATGCCTATTTTGTACTATGTCTGGGCTTTCTACTTGGTTTTATCGATCAGCTTGTCTATTCATAGAGGACAACTACACTTTTAAGTACAGAGGCTGTCTCTAGTGTGGCTAGCCTCCCTCATTATTCTTTTTCAGAAATATTCTGGAAGTATTAATATGTATTTTTTGTCCATATAAGCTTGAGAATCTCCTTGTCTCATTTAAAAAAATCTTCCTATTGGTTGGTTGCATTAAATGTACAGATTAATTTGGGAAAAAATTCTCTGGCATTACAAATCAGTGAGGTTTGGGAACCCATTTGTTCTAGAACCCATATATTAATATTAATATGGAAAAAATCAGATTCGAATATCTAGGAAAAATAACCGTAGGTATATTAAACACCTGATGAGAAAAGCAAACGTTTTTGTATTCTTCAGGAGCATTTTAGAGTTTTCTTCATACAACTTTTGCACATTTATTTTTAAGTTTATCTTAAAATATTTCACCTTTTGTGTTGCTGTCATAACTGAGTATATCTTATTTTTACTTATAAAGCTTTTTATTTCTGTGAATTAATTTTGTAGCTGATAATTTGGGTGAATTCTCATGTTTTATGTAGTAGTTTTTCAGTTGATTCTCTTGGGTTTCCAGTATACAATCAGCAGCCAACAGTGATGAGTTCAACTCCTCTTTTATAATTTTAACATAGCACTTTTAATTTTTGCCTTTTATTTAGTTGAATTGGCTAGTGTCTCCAGAACAGTATGAATTGCCAGTGATGATAGTAGTGGGGATTATTTCCTTTTTCAGTTTTTTTTTTTTTTTTTTTTTTTTGACAATCTTGCTCTGTTGCCCAAACTGAATGCAGTGGCGCGGTCTTGGCTCACTGCAGCCACAGCCTCCTGGGTTCAAGCAATTCTCATGCTTCAGTCACCCGAGAAGCTCGGATTACAGGCATGTGGCACCACTTTGTATTTTCAGTAGAGGTGGGATTTTGCTATGTTGGCCAAGTTAGTCTCAAACTCCCAGACTCAAAATCCCAGTGCTGAGATTACTGGCATGAGCCACTGTGTCCGGCCCTTTTTCAGATTTTATTTGGAATGATTTTCACATATAGCATGATGCTGGATCTGAGACTAAAGTAAATAAGTGCTGTTGTGTTAAGGAATTACACACAAATTCCTATTTTATTGAGAATTACAAAAAATTGATATTAGAAGTTGAAATTTGTCAAATGGCTTTTCAACATCTTTAGAGAGGTTCATGTGGTTTTTCTCCTTAGACCTGCTATGTAGTTGGTGTAAAAGTCACTGTGGTTTTTGCCATTACTTTTAGTTACTTTTAATGTAAAAAACCACAATTACTTTTGCACCAACCTAATAATATGATAAATTATATTAATAAAATCCCAAATATTGAATTATTCTTACATTCCTGCATGTGATTCTTCTTGGTCATGGTATATCATTCTTTCGTGCTACTGGATTTGTTTGTTAATATTTTATTTAGAATTTTTATATTGATACAGGTAAGACTGGTCAGTAGTTTTTTGTGCACAGTTTTGGCTGCGCCATTGGTTAAATGGTATTCTTTTGCTGTTGAAACAGTGCTGCCATCCATAACCTGTCCATGTATCTTTCCCCATTTATGTGTGTTTGTAGGATAAATCCTCAAAGATGGATTTATTTATTTATTTATTCAATGAAAGATTTTTTTTTTTTTTTGCAGTCTAAAGAAGGTGCATTTATTGTCAGAGATTCAAGACATTTAGGATCCTACACAATTTCTGTATTTATAGGAGCTAGAAGGTAAGCACTTGTGATTTTGGTTACTGTAGAAATAATCCCTGGGACAGTCTCCATCACATAGACAATGTTAGTGAGAACTTAGGGAAAAGATTGCTGGCCTGGAAGTTAGAAAAACCAACCAGTCTGTAATATATCCTTAGCATGCTCTGGGTGACATTGGATAAGTTTCTTAACCTCTCTTGTCTTCCTTTTCTCAACCATCAAGTAAAGAGGGGGAGATTAGTTGTAGTAGACACTGTTGGGCGCTTTCCTTGTATCCCTTTGACTATTCTGGGATTCACCTGCAGAAAGGTCTCCTGCACTTAGAAAGCTTCCTGTGTCTGTCTGCTTGAGGACATTATGTGGCTGTGGGAACTTGTGGGCCCCATGGCTAAGCTGAAAGTGCCTGAGAGGTAACATCCCAGAAGCAACCCTACATTAAAGGAAATGTGAGTTGGTGGATAAATATCTCAGCTTCTTTCTACTTCAGTGGGACAATTGTGAGATGTGTTCCCCAGTCTCTCCTAGGTTCCTAGAAGCGTTGAGACCCAACTGCCCATAGTAGTAACCTACTAACTAATGCGCCTGGCATGGGGTTTTCCTTCCTTCCTTTTCTTACATCTCCAGTTGCTCACAGTGCGTGTGTTCATTCATTTAACCAATACTTGATATTCCATATGTATTTAAATGGATTCATTATGAGATCTACTTTTTTGGACAGTGGTCTTGTCACTCAGACAACTTTAGCTGAAGTTATGTTTGAATCTAAGGCCCCAAAAGTTTAGCTGAGGAATTTTCTTGGCATAGGGAGGCACTTGTTGAATTTAGTCATTCCAGTTCTCAGTGTAGTATTGCTAGGATGAGTTTTAGAACTGGAGTCCTGTTGTTTAATGAGTTGGCTTAGTTCCAAAGTGATCTTTCACTCTTCTAATAATTCACATTTTCTTTATTGTAGAAGTACGGAGGCTACCATAAAACATTATCAGATAAAAAAGAATGACTCAGGACAGTGGTACGTGGCTGAAAGACACTTCTTTCAATCAATCCCCGAGTTAGTCTGGTATCACCAGCACAATGCAGCCGGTAAGTGGGGAACTTCAAGCTGGGTGAGTCAGGGAGCCAGGCCCTTGATGACCAATGCATCTTTAGTATCAGACACTCGACAGGAGCAAATCTGAGAAATAGTTTAAGAGCTTGAAATACAGCCTGTCTTTTGAGCAGTTCTCTTTCTTATTGATGCCTCTTCATTTTTCTAGTTGGTGGGGGGCAGGAGTTAGGTCAATTTCTTATATTTCTACCAGGTTAGAAACATGATAGCTGACAGAGAAGCAAATAGTTATCAATCATGCATTTGTTTTGGAAATTTACATAGGGCTAAATGTAATAAGATTTCAGATACCCTAAATAATGATGCTTTTTTTCCCTTTGCCCCCATAAATCTGCTCTCTAGACAATTGCAATAGAAAATTACCCTTATATCTCTCATTCTCTGTTCTTTCTTGTTTGGAGAATATAAAAAGTTACAGAGAACACAGCCTTTCACAATTACATTTAGCCTAACTATACCAGAGGCATAGTTAACCCATTTCCCCAGCTATTGTTTGCAATAACTGCTATTTGTGCAAACCTATCATCTGTGAAAAGATATAGGAACCCAGAAAGTTCCACCAGAATTATAATCACATTTCTGGCCTTCAGCCCTCACTCACCCTGTGCTGAACTACTCTGAGCCCATGGGGAATCTTCTTATCTCAGCATTGCAGAATTCAGAATCCACTGTAACTTTTCATATTATTTTGACTTCTTGTCATGCATTTCTGTTTTAGATTTCTCTCATGAAAAGTGTTGACAAAAATTCCTCTTGGAAGGAGCTAGCTTTTTCATTACACTGGTTCTAAGTATCAGGAATATATCAATGGACATTCTTATCCTCCTGTGGGATGCATTCACGTGGATGTTCCAGGCAGTCACTGGAAGTTTGGTTAAGGAGTGAGGGTAAAATGTCTGGGTGGGGCCATAAAGGTCATAGTTGTAGCTAGAGATACAATCAAGAGGTCAGTTTTGAATTTTCTCCTTTACATTCTTCTTTCTCCTTCCTCCAAAGAAAAAACTTGAGAAAGAATGCTTATGGTGATAAGGTTACATGAGGTTAGTTGAGGGCTTAACCTCAGCTAGGTCTTAGAGTCACTGGTAGCATCCATTCCTGTTCTCTGTTCAAACTTTTACCATTCTCAAGACTCCTTTACCAGAATTAACCACTGCCCTATTAGCAAATCTCCTGTCTGTCTACATCATTAGGAAAAGTGAAGCCACCAGGCATGAGTGACCGCCGTCTCATCTTCTGTCCCTGTGCCCTCTCATCCTCATTCCCTCCAGTGGTAGGGAGGCCATGCCTGTGCTCTTGCTCTTACCTGCCATCCACTGTTCCTTTCTCTTCTGTTTCTCTTATGTTCTTTTGCCTTTCTCCCTTTAGCCCTTAACCGTATAAACATGCTTAAGACTTTCTTATCCTAAAAACAAAAACAACTCTCCTCCCGCTGCCCTAATTCTTTCTCTGTTTACACATTGCTCTTGTAAGTCACACTTTTGAAAAAATGTATCCACATCCTCTGTCTCCACTTCCTCACTTTCCATTTACTTTTTAAACATCTACGATCTGTCTTCTGCTTTCAGCACTCCATATTTGACCAGTGGCCCTATATTGACAGTACAGTGATGCTTTCTAGATCTGTGTGCAGATCCTCTGTGCTACATTTGGCAGTGTCACTTGTTGCTCCATCAGTGTTTGATATCACCCCCTTTTGGCCTTCTCTAACTCCGAATAGTTCCTACTGGGTCTTCCCAATGTGTCCTATTTCTGCTCTTCCCTTAAATAGATGATGCTTCTTTTTTTTTTTTTTTTTTTGAGACATAGTCTCGCTCTGTAGCCCAGGCTGGAGTGCAGTGGCACAAAATAGATGTGTCTTAATACCTCACTTCTGATTAATTATCAAATGCAATTTATTTCATATTCTAACTGTGTCTCCTATAGATCCCTGCCTCTCCCTTCTTCTAGTGCTGCCCTAATCATTGCTCACTTGGACAATTGCAATAGCCTCTTAACTGGTCTCATTGACACCAATGTTGATTTCCTCTTAGTCCACTCTGCTAGTACCGGAGTGATCTATCAGAAATGTTAATCTGGTGGGGGGCAGTGGCTCATACCTGTTATTCCAGCACTTTGGGAGCCTGAGGTGGGTGGGTCACCTGAGGTCAGAAGTTCAAGACCAGCCTGGCCAACATGGTGAAACCCTGTCTCTACTAAAAATTACAAAATTAGCCACTCATGGTGGCACATGCCTTTAATCCCAGCTACTTGAGAGGCTGAGGCAGGAGAATCGCTTGAACCCGGGAGGCAGAAGTTGCAGTGAGCTGAGATCACACCATTGCACTCCAGCCTGGGCAACAAGAATGAAACTCCATCTCAAAGAAAAAAAAGGAAATATAAATCTGACTGTGCCCTCCTACTTGGGACTTTTCAATAGCTTCCTCTCACCTGCAGGAAAATGTAATGCTCCCTAGTGTGGCTTATGAGGCCCATCATACCCAGAATGCTGCCTACCTCTCCAGTGTAATTTGTCTCACTCTACCTCCTGAATTTTGCTCAAGTACCCACCATCATGCTCCACACTTCTGTGTTTCATCTCATGCTGTTTCCTCTGCTTAGAAAGTTCTTCATACTTTCTCCTCATGGGTTAACTCCATGTGTTAGTTTCATCTTAGTCATTTTCTCCTGGAAGACTTCTTTGAGTCCAACAATGTGTTAAGTGCTCTTTCTCTACATCCCGAGGCACCCTATATGCATCTCCAGCACAATTCTTATTCCTTTCACGTAGAATGGCCTCTCTCTGCCTGTCTTCCCTCACTGAGATAGAGCTCCCTGTGAGCAGAGCCCTCATCTTACTGATCTTGGGATCTGCTGGGATCTTTGGGAATCTACCTAGAAGAGTGCCTTATACACAGCAGGCATTTAATATGTGCTTCTTTCTGTTCTTACACTGGTCAAGCTCATTTCTGTCTTCTAGTATTTGCACATGCTGTTTCATCTACCTGGAAGGCTCTTCGTCAGTCAACATCAGCATAGCTGTCATCTTGTCAGAAAGGCCTTCCCTGAGCACCCACTCTAAATCAACTATATGTTGTCTAGTCTGCCTTGCACTTCATCATCATCATCTACTTGTTCTTGTGTGTGCATGCACTTGTTTATTCTCTCTTCCTCTCACTAGAATGTAATCTTTATGAGGGCAGGGGTTATCAGTCTTGTTCACTACTGTCTCCCAACATCTAGGTAGTGCTTGGCACATACCAGGCTTTTAATAAATATTAGTTGGATAAATAAATAATAAATGATTATTAAACTAAATTGAAATGTAAGGTATATGCCCAAGTGGGTCACTGAAAGGAAAAAAAGAGACATTTACTGTATAGAATTCTATATGTTAACCTAATCAAATGAAGTCTCATTTACTCTACCATGCTATTAAAAAACAAAAAACAAAGAGTGTAGAAAATGGGCACACTTCAACACCATTGGTGGATGAATGAATTAGTACAGCCTTTCTGGACACCCTTTGACCTGGAAATCACATTTTATAAGGTGATAATTTGAGAGGTACAGACAAATATATGTTCAAGGACATATGACATATTTTAAAATAGTGAAATCTTGGAAATAAATTCAAGCTTTGTTTATATTCAATGACATATATCAATTACATGCTTAGTGCAAAAACCTTGTTACAAAATACTTACATTTTTGTCAAATAATATATTGGATGTATTCATGTTTTCAATTATGCACATAGAGACTTCTGCAAACGTGTTCACCAAAATGGTAAGAATCTATCTGTGGATTCTAAGATTTTTGTGAGGGATTTTGGGGGGTCATCTTTATACTTTGTTAGATTCTTTAAATTGTATACAATGAACTTTTTTTTGGAAAATGTTTTTCAAATGGGAAAATAAGCAAACTAACATGTAGAATGAATTTTGTTTGCCTTATTATTTAAAGAATGATACTATCTTCTAGTATATTTCATTCTTTCTTCTATATTGGCGACTAGGCTTGAAATATTAATTTCTCTTTCTCCATAGGTCTCATGACACGTCTCCGATATCCAGTTGGGCTGATGGGCAGTTGTTTACCAGCCACAGCTGGGTTTAGCTACGGTAAAGTGTGCACACATGATAAAGTAGAATAGCAAATCCAGTAGTAAAGAATCTGCTCTGGCTGGGTGCCATGGCTCATGCCTGTAATCCTAGCACTTTGGGAGGCTGAGGTGGGTGAATCACCTAAGGTCAGGGGTTTGAGACTAGCCTGGCCAAAATGGTGACAGCCCATCTCTACTAAAAGTACAAAAAATTAGCCGGGTGTAATTAGCTACTTGGGAGGCTGAGGCGGGAGAATCGCTTGAACACAGGAGGCGGAGGTTGCAGTGAGCCAAGATTGTGCCATTGCACTCCAGCCTGGGCAGTAGAGTGAGACTCTGTCACTAAATAAATAAATAAGAAAAGAAAATAATCTACTCCAAGTTCCCTGTTGATTCTTTGAACTCTCAGCGCTTCTGACATGTCTATCTAGAAACATTTCTTCTCAAAGTTTAAATCACCCTTCTGAGATGTTTAAATATGTTCATCTTGTAAGGGCAATATAAACTTTGGGGAGAAATTCTTCAGTTTTACTTCAGATTTTACCGTTAAATTATCAGGAGCCTTAATCTTCCCCCCCTTTGATAAATTACAGTTCTTTTTATTAGGATGTTTGCTTTGTTGTTCTTTGGTTACAAGGGTGCCTGGAAAATGATTCCTCTCCAAGAGAAGCTACTAAAAAGAGCTGCTAAAAGTGTCTTCTTTATCCTTTTTTTTTTCCCAAATAGAATGTGCACAAAGTTCAATTTGAGTCAATTTCTAGCAAATATGCTATTTGTAAAACTGTGAGAATAAATAAGTGCCAGGGAATCCTATTTTCTAATTTGGTGACACTTTATTCTTTTAAATTTCTCTCATTAGTGGGATTCAGAATATACTGAAGAAAAGTAACAACACAATTATATAGGGAAACAAGTAACTGGGACTCAGGTTCTCATTAAGTTAAGTGGAATGGAAGCAGGATTTCTAGCTATTATTGGCGCTTGTATTATTCCTCTGGTCCACAGATACTATACATAATACAAAGTTCCACCATTAACAATTTACTTAAGTTAAATATGTTCTTTTTAATTTCTTAAAAATCAACTTAAAAAAATTCAAAAACAAATAGAATAGCACACAACTCCTAAGTCTATAGCTTGATTTGTTCTGCCTGGTTATAGAAAGAGAATCGGACACTATGCATTTTCTTTGTATCTATCTTCCTCCTCACCTTATTACGTCTGTAAATTTCGTCCGTGGTCCTGGGTGGGGTTGGTTTATTTTCACCGTGGTGCAGTGCTACCCTGCACGACATACCAACTGATTTAGCCATGCTTCTTTAGATGGCTATCTGAGTTGTTACCAATTTTTGGCAAATTATACACACACACACACACACACACACACACACATATTTTTTACAAATAAAATTGTTAAGAACATTCCTCTGTGTGTTTTGATGAAGTTAAGTGCTCATTTACATTCCAGCATATGTTGGATATGTGCTTAAGTGTAGAGCTGTTTGGTCATAGGCTGTGCATATGTTTAGATTTAGTAGATATAGTCAATTTTCTAAAGAGCTTATACCAAATTACAGTCCCATCATTAATATATAAGTTACAGTGCCTCCATACCTTTGCCCTTGCCAATATTTTATTCTAGTTTTTTTCTTACATGTTAGCCAATCTGGTATGTGTAGTAGTATTTCATTATGGTCTAAATTTGCATTTCCCTGATAACTAATTATTTTGGTCAATTTGGTTTAGTGGCCATTTGAATATTCTCTTTATGAGAGAATACTCCATTCAACTCTTTTACCCTTAAAAAACTTAGGTTATATGTCATCTCTAGTTGATTTATTTATATTCAGAATAAGAATTCTATGTTGTTTATATATTTTAGAAATATCTTTGGTGGCTTTTAATTTTCTTAATGGGGGTATTTTTGATGAACATAAGTTTTATAAAGTATAATTTATCAATGTTTTTCTTTGTGGTTATATTCTGTTGAATAAATCTGTGCTAATTCCAAGGCCACGAATATATCCTCCCATGTTGCTTTTAAAACATACCTTCTAGACCAGTGTGGTGGTTCTTCTCTGTAATCCCAGTACTCTGGGAGGCTGGGGTGGAGGGATTGCCTGAGCTCAGGAGTTTGAGACCAGCCTAGGCAACATGATGAGACCTTGTCTCTACTAAAAATACAAAAATTAGCATGGTGTTGTGGCACGCCTGTAATCCCATCTACTTGGGAGGCTGAGGCAGGAGAATTGCTTGAACCCAAGAGGTGGAGGTTGCAGTGAGCTGAGATCATGCCACTGCACTCCAGCCTGGGTGACAGGGCAAGACTCTGTCTCCAAAAAAAAAATAATAATAATAAAATAAAACATACCTACTATAGGGAGGAGGGAATACTTTGCACAGCTGGTAGAAGGAACTATCAGCCTTTACAACTCTTAAATGCATGATTCGAACATTCCAGCAGATGGTGGTGTTGCTGTGTAAAAAGGAGACACTAAAACCATTAAGTTTGGTACAGTTTTCAAGAGGGTTATTTTAAAAGCAGTTTATTTTATCCTGATTTACTTCTATAAAATGAGAAATATATAGCAACAAATTTTACTTCAGATATACTCTTAGATATATGTGGGTTAGATTTCTAACATTGAATATGTTTATTAGATGATTGCATTGGACTTTTCCCTTGGAAGAAGTACCAAAAGAGAAAAGCCCTTTAGAGATGAAGTGAGAAGATCAATAGGAGGAACTGAAATCACAGTTTTATTTGCCTTACAGATTTACTCACCAGGAAGAAACCAGACTGGGAACATAAATATTTTGGGTCCCAGGTCTAGTTTTGGAAGGTTTAGTTTAGAAAGGCACAGAAGTGTGTTCACTGTTCTTTTTGGGTACAGAGATTGCATTTGCTATCCATAATCTGTTGTACAAACATCACCAAGTAAGCAAAGTTTGTGTTTTAAAACTTGAGTTCCTGAATTACATTGAAGTCACAGTGAGTGTATTAAAATGGCTTCAGATCCCCTCCACTTGTTTATAAATGTTTTAACCTCTCGGTCAAATAATAGATAATTCCTAAACATTTTCCAGCCCAAAATGTTAACACTCTTTTTTTTCTACTTGTAACATGCGTATTTTACTTTTTCAGAAAAGTGGGAGATAGATCCGTCTGAGTTGGCTTTTATAAAGGAGATTGGAAGTGGTCAGTTTGGAGTGGTCCATTTAGGTGAATGGCGGTCGCATATCCAGGTAGCTATCAAGGCCATCAATGAAGGCTCCATGTCTGAAGAGGATTTTATTGAAGAGGCCAAAGTGATGATGTACGTATAGATAACACCCTGATAAATATTATATAATGCCCTGGTGTCAGGGAAACAACATGAGCTTTGGAGGCAGCCACACTTGGATTTGTGTCACAACTTTGCTTAAGCTGGTTGTGTAACCCAGGCACATTATTTGACCTGGGTATGACCTGGGTGAATTATTCTACCTTTCCAAGTCTTAATGTTCTCATCTGTAAAATGGGATGAGAGTGCCTACCTCACTATATCGATGTGTGAATTAAATAAGATAATTTTTGTAATAGAGATAAGACAGGAAAATTCCCTTGACCCCTTGGCAGAACCCCTTGTGAAGGGTGTGGCTCATTTACTCAGCTGCTGTGTGCTCAAACCACTTACGGGAGTGGGAGCATGCAAGTGAGCCAGAATGAACACTTTTGGGCTCTGCTCCCACCACAGTGTCCAGAAGTGTTACAATTTTCTTTTAGCTTTGCCTTCTGCAGATAGCTAAGTGTTAATCACCTCAGTGGAGAGTCATGGTGACAGCCTTTTCCACCCTGCCCTCTTGACACCTGGGTCCTTGTATGACATCCAGGAAGAATCAGGTCACATGGATTTGAAGGATGGTGAATGCAGGGATTTTAGTGAGTGATGGAGGTGGCTCTCAGTTGGATGAATGGGAAGCTGGAAAGGGGATGGTGTGGGAAGATGATCTTCCCTGAGAGTTTGACCATTCTGTGGCTAGTCTCCTCTCTGACTGTTCCCAGGTGAACTCCTCTCAATATTCAGACACTCCTCCTCTTCTCTTCTTTTCTGCTACACCACTCTGTCACTCTGCCAGTGGGGCTTGGGGTTTATATGGGCACATGATAGGGGTGTGGCAGACTAGAGTGGTCTTGGAAAGGGCAACATCTGGGCGTGAAAACAAGAATACCTGTTCCCATTTAGGGCTGCAGGTTTCCAGGCTTGAAGGTAGGGATTTTGCTGGGAACTGCCCTCTTCTACCCAGTATTTCCCTGCCTCCTGTCCATATCAGTGACAAGCAAGTGTGTTCTTTCAGCTCAATAATAGGTGCTTTACAAGCACTCTTTTATCCTGGCTTTTCCCAGAAGCAAAAGTGGTTATGTCTTGGTAATGATATACTACTCATTTTTTGAAAGGGCATCCTCCAGTGGCCAAAAAGAGTTAATGTTTTTGTAAGGATAAAAAAGTATTTGCTTTCAGAGGATGTAAGAGTCTAGAGCTTTAAAAGAAGTGGCTTTTTGTAGACCATTAGACACAACTGTTCTGTGATTTCCTGGGACAGCATTTTGACTCGGTTGAACCCATTTTTGTGGTTCACACCAGTAACAACTTGAGCTGGACCAGGACAGCCAATAATTAGACCATAGTTCAAATTAACATTCTTTAAATATTTGTTCAACATTTATTTAGAGGAACAACAATGCTGTGAAGAAGAACAACTCCAGATGGCATTATTTAGATTCTGCTCTGTTTTCCAGAGAAATGTATTCCTGACCCACAGATGTAGACTCCAACTGGAAAAAACAAACAAGCAAATAACAATCAGAGGCGATTAACTGGACCCATTCTCTTTTGAAGATAGACAAGGATATCCCTTGGAGCTCTCAACCCCTACCCCAAAGGTCCTATCAAAATATTCTTTCCATTCACTTACAATAGAATGCATTCCAAGAGAAGTTGCTACGAACACAATTTCCCAGTGACATAAATTCCAAGTGAAGTTGGAATTTATGTTACAATTTCCAAGTGACGTCAGCTTCCCAAGGATGTTTTGGTGTCCCCTAGATGCCCCAGGCACCTATCTCTGTCTGGCCTTTTCTTCCTGTAACTATCTGTATCTGACCATGGTTTTTCTATACCTAAAGGACAAAAATTGTATTTCTGTGTTGGACTAATAGGCATAATAAAGAAAGAATGAATGGGAGACCAGTGATTCTGGGAGAGTTAAAATCATATTTGAAACTCTATCAAGCAAGAAATAATTGAAGACCCAATGTCATGATGAGAGAATTCTTGAACCGTACAAGCCTGATTGGGCATTTGAGGTCAGGATCTTTGAGGACAATTTTTCCCTGATTCATTTTGGGAGGCCAAGGTGGGAGGATCCCTTGAGCCTAGGAGTTTCAAACCAACCTAGGTAACATGATGAAACCCTGTCTCTACAAAAAAACACAAAAACTAGCCAGGCATGGTATTGGGCACCTGTAGTCCCAGCTACTCAGGAGGCTGAGGTGAGAGGATCAGTTGAGCTTGGCAAGTTGAGGCTAGAGTGAGCCATGATGGCACCACAGTGCTCCAGCCTGAGTGACAGAGTAAGCTCTCTCTCTCTCTCTCTCTCTCTCTCAAACACACACACACACACACACACACACACACACACACCTGATTTTTTAAAAAGTGAGGCAGAAAATCTTCCATTCTAACATTCTATTTATCTTTAAAATAGTTGACATGCATTTGACATATTATCTACCAAGTATATACAGCTTTGCACATATTAACTGCTTTCCGTGTGTGGTTTAAAATCACTTCTTTCAGGAGGTCTTTTCTGACTTCTCTGTTTATGTTGGCATACCCAATGCCAAATGCTTTCTGTTATATCGCTTTGCGTTAGTTCCATCAGAGTACTTGTCATACTCTGAAGCTTCATGTGTAGTTGTTTTATTTCTCTCCTACTAGGATGGAAGCTAGTAGGAGAGAAATAAATATAATAATGGAACCTTCTATTTATTTCTCCTGTTCAACCTGGTGAGTGCTAAAAGGATGACTAGCATGTAGTTGGTGCTCAAAAAACATATATGGATTACTGAATGAGTTAATGAACCCCCACCACAATTCTACGAGGTAGCGTCTATTAAGATCCCAGCTTTATAGACAAGAAAGAAAATTGAGAAGGCTTATTGTAAACCAAAATGTATCTGAGACAATCTTAATTAATTTAGAAGTTTACTGAGCCAAGTTTAAGGACATACCCATGACAGCCTCAGGAGGTCCTGATATATGTGCCCAAGGTGATCAGCCTACAACTTCATTTTACACATTTTAGGAAGACATAAGACATCAGTCTATCCATGTAAGATGTATGTTGGTTTGGTCTGGAAAGGCAAGACAGCTGGGAGTGGTAAAACAGGAGAGTTTGGCCCCCACTTGCAGGACATACAACAGAGGTGTGTCGTAGTATGCTCTTTTAGATTTGTGGTTCACAGATGGCTTAAGGGTTAACTAGCTCAGTGGACTCTCTGCCTTTTTGCAAGGGCGGGGGCCATTGTGACAGCTTTCTGTATCCCAAGCTCTTGTCCAGTGTCCTGGAAGATCGGATCACAAACGAACTTGAAGGACGAATATGGGGTTTTATTAAGTGTTGGAGGTGGCTCTCAGCAGGATGGATGGAAAGCTCAACAGGGGATGGGGTTGGAAGATGACCTGCCCCTGGAGTTTGGCTGTCCAACAGCTGATTCTCTGACTGTCCCCAGCCAAACTCCTCCCAATGTTCCTTCTCTTCTCTCCTTCTCTGCTGTTCTGTTCTGCCAGTTGTCTGTTCATCTCCTCGTCTGCTTCTGGAGCCTGGAGTTTGGAGTATATATGGGTACAGAATAGTGGGTGTGGTGGGTCAAAAAGCAACTTTTGGGGCACAAAAACAGGAATGCCTGTTCTCACTTAGGGCCATCGGTATCTAGGCTTGAGGGAGAGGTCTTTCCTGGGGAACTGCCCTCTTCTACCTGTGTTTCCCTGTCTCTGGTCAATACCAGTGGGGGCTCTCATGTCATAGACAGATTCAAAGATTTTCTGATTGACAGTTGGTTTTTAGCCAGAGAACTGGAATCAATGGAAAGGAACGTCCAGGTTACTATAAAGAGCTATAGAGACCAACACAGATAGTCTGTGTTTATTTAGGAAGATGAAACTTCCAGGTAGAAGGTTTCAGAGAAAATAGATTGTAAATGTTTCTTATTAGACTTAAAGAGTCTGTTCTATCAGTCTCAATGTCTGTGTTGATGTTAATGGTTCTGAGGCATGTCCAACTCCTTCTTCCCATCATGGCCTGAAGTAGTTTTACAGGTTAACTTTGGAACACCCATGGCTAAGAGGAAGAGTCTATTGAGATGGTTGGGGGCTTAGAATTTTATTTTTGGTTTACATTATGTAATTTGCCTGTAGTCCCACAACAAAACATTGTTAGAGCCTCTAATTGAAATCAAAACTGTGAACTGTCTGGGCACAAAAACCATGATCTTAATGAACATAATTATCAACACGTTCTTGGAAAACGTAATATATGTCAGAGGGCAAGAGATGCAAAGAGAATTGTTTCAGAATACATTTTTGAGATAAAGTCATCCAGACTTGTTGATCAATTAAATGTGGCAGGTAGTGGGAAGAAACCAGAGGAACAAAGGTGACTCTAAGATTTTGTTGTACCTTATTATATCAGGTGAAGGGTGGCACCATTTACAAAGATGGGGCAAGATCAAACAGGTTTAGGGGGAAAATCAAGAATTCTGCTTTGGACATGTTAGATTTGAGAAGTCTGTTATTTATTAGACACCAAGTGTGATCAAGTGGTGAGGTAAATATGAGTCTGGGGTTCAGGAAAAAGGTCAGACTGGAGGGTATTAACTTGAGAGTGATCACCACAGATGATATTTAAAACCCTGAAACTTAATGCGATTACTTAGGGAAAGAGAATAATTAGAATAGGAGAAATGGAGAAGCCTGCAAACTGTCCAAAAGTATTTAAATAACAAATTTAAATGTGTGTTTGCCCTATGATAAATTCCTACATACTTGTCTAAACTGAGAAATAAGGTGTATTAAGAAGTCCTAAAGTTATAACAAACAAGAATGTAGATTTTTCCATTTGCATCTTTCTATGCTTGTGAGAAATATTTGTCTTGTTAGACTGAATCACATACAAGAATTTATTTGTTTTTGCCTGATTTTGATAAAGGTTTGCCTTATTTCTGTTAGATTTTTACCAGCAATATTGACAAGCAAATGCAGTAATATTTCAATTCTCAAATGCTTCCATGTGGGTATCAACTTTCTGCATTACCTGTGGCAAGTTAATATTTTATCCCGAGACTTGCTTTTCTGCAATTACTCTATACACATGTAAACTGCATCCCTTAACTGAAAGAACACTTTTTATGAATTCAAAAAGTGAATCAGACAAAATATATATATAATATGTATCTCTAAATCAAGATAATGTTAAGTTCTCTGAATGCCTCTCTTCCCCATTAACTGGAGGGTTTTCACAAGCTAATTTTATGGTAATGAGTCAATAATCATTCATATACATTGTGTTAAGGTACACAGTCTTCCCAAGTCACTGATTTTATTTTACCTTTATGAATGAAAAGAATGAAAAGAAGTGATAACTTTTCAAGGTACTTTTGACACAGAGAACTGGTGTATTATACATCTTCTAAAATTATGAGCATTAATTTGAATATTATTTTCCACGATGACTAGTTGGCATAAAAGGCTTTTAGAGATTAATATAATATTCCACACACACCCACACAAAATAACAATAAACGTTTGAAGTCTAGATGACTAAAAAGTTCTGGGTATGTTTTAATAGGCAACATTCAAGGACTCGTGTGTGTGTGTGTGTGTGTGTGTGTGTGTGTATGTGATTACTAACTACACTGCAAGTTTTCATGTTGGTAAATGTTTTTTAGTTCCAACTTTATCTAGAAATTTCCTTTTAAAGAACTTCATGCTTTAGAATTTAATTTTTGTTTTCTTTTATAGTCACTCTTTCCTCCCTCCTGTCTGTCCAGAATTTTTTATCCGAACAGCTGCAGGTAGGAAAGCTGGAATTCAAGGAACAGAAAAGGAAATATGCTTGACCTAGCAAGGAGAAACAGTGATGAAGAAACAAAAGGATTCTAAAATGAAGAGGAGAAAAATAATATGCCGACACATATAATATGGGACATGTAATATTCTGTCTCCATACTGCCTTTGACATTACCATTTAAACTCTTGACCCCACATTCTCAGTGCATTCAGTGGCAAGGAAACTGCAATACTTTCTCTGTGTTTGGGTTGATTTTTATCTTATCTTGATAATGAGAGTGATAAATAGATGGTAAATATTACCAGTTGTGTTCAAACACTTTAAAATGCAAACACAATTCTACTCACTGGTATGTGTTTTTCTTCACCAGGACATTATCTCATTCAAAGCTAGTGCAACTTTATGGGGTCTGCATACAGCGGAAGCCCCTTTATATTGTGACAGAGTTCATGGAAAATGGCTGCCTGCTTAACTATCTCAGGGAGAGAAAAGGAAAGCTTAGGAAGGAAATGCTACTGAGCATATGCGAAGATATATGTGAAGGAATGGAATATCTGGAGAGAAATGGCTATATTCATAGGGATTTGGTAAGTATGGTGTACATTCATTTTTTTATGTATCATACCTATATTCAGAAGGATGTGACAACTACTTTCAATACTTTGAATAATGTATCCCTGACTTAATTTTTAAACACTTACCTATTCATGAAATTTGTTGTGAAATGTAACTTTGTTTTTAATTGTTTGTAATTGCCCATTGATGCTGTAGCTGTATAGCCTCAATGGGTTCACCTTGCCTGCTGCCTAGACAGAGCCAATTTAACAAGACAGGGGAGTTTCAATAGAGAAAGAGTAATTTACACAGAACTGGTTGTGCAGGAGAACAGAGTTTTATTATTACTCAAATCAGTCTCCCTGAGCATACAGGGATCAGAGTTTTTAAGGACAACTTGGTGGATGGGGGTAAACTGGTGAACCAGGAGAGCTAATTGGTTAGGTGGGAGATGAAACCATTGGAAGTTGAATCTGTCAATCTTTCCTTGTGCTGAGTCAGTTCCTGGGTGGGGTCTGGAAGATCAGATGAGCCAGTTAATTGATCTAGGTGGTGCTAGTGGATCCATCAAGTGCAGGATCTGCAAAATATCTGAAGCACTGATCTTAGGAGCAGTTTAAGGAGAGTAAGAATCTTGTAGCCTCCAGCTGTCTGACTCCTAAACCATAATTTCTCATATTGTGTCTAATTTGTTAATCCTGCAAAGGAAGTCTAGTCCCAGGCAAGAGGGAGGTTTGTTTTGGGAAAGGGCTGTTATCATCTTTATTTTAAACTGTATAAATTCCTCCCCAAATTAGTTTAGCCTACGCCCAGGAATAAACAAGGACAGCTTGGAGGTTAGAAGAAGGATGGAGTCAGTCAGGTTCTCAGTCATAATTTTGCAAAGGTGATTTCTTAGCCAAGATTTCTTTAGCCATATTCTAAATATGCCTTGAACTAATTAACCAACTACCCTATCATGTGACTCAAACTGATTTCCTTTCCTTTCCTTTCCTTTCTCCCTTATTCCTTCTATTCCTTCTTCTTTCTTTCCTTCCTCCTTTTTCCCTTTCAACCCGTAGTCAAACATGTATTGAGTGCCTAGTATATGCCAAGCATGCTGCTAAGCACTGGTGATACAACAGTGAAGAATAAGTTCTGGTTTTAATCTCTATCTAAGGAACGTCACCTAGGAGTATAACTGCCCCTGATGTGGAGGCAGTTTGGCCCTAACAGGATTGCAAGAGCATTACTGGCATTATTGAAGAAACTAAGAATACTAAATTTTTTTTTCTGTAATGCTCAGAACATTCCTGTTTAAATAAATGATTATCTTGTCCCAAACCATATGCTAACAGCACTGCTTCCCTGCATTGCTACCTACCCTTGAGTAACACTTTCTGTCCATTCCACATTTATTCATGATATTCCTACTATTCCTTGATGTCCTTATGTCCTTCCATGTTTCATTTCTAAATCTAAAAATTAACTCAAATGAGACTTGGAGAAGTCTATGAGAAATCCCTGATATCGCCCCCTGGAAGTAATCCTGTGCTTACATCACCCATGACCAGAGTGATCAGATTACTTACTGTCCGGCCTGGAGTATTCTGGGGAGAAAAAGGGGGCATAGTCACATTGGCCCCAGCACACCTTGGGAAGTATAGTTATCCTACCCATGACTTAGAACACTCAGGGAATTTGCTATTTACTGCTTCATCCAATAGTTAATTATTTACATCATTTATACAAATACTAGAGGCTATCTTATTAGACTTAGAGTCTTTGAGATCAAGGCCTAGGTATCTGAGATGCCACTCAGTGATTAAAGACACAGGTTGCAAACAGAGGTTCTCAAACTTCAAACTTTGATGTGCATTAGAATTACTTGGAAGCTTTTAGAAAACTCTTAATAGCTAGGCCATATCCCAGACCAATTAAATCAGAATCTCTGTGGCTGAAATCCAGGCATCAATATCATTTGAAAATTCCCCTTATGAGCCCCATGTGAAGTTGAGGTTGAGAACTACTGCACTGGAGCCAGGCTAGCTGGGTTGAAATATTATCTTTGTTTCTTACTAGCTGTGCGACCATAGGCAAGCTAGTTAACCAGTAAAGTGGTATTAATTATAGCACCTTCATCATATGGGTTTGTTGGGAGAATTACATGAATTAATAAACAGTGTCTAGCATGTAGAAGAGCTCAGCATTGCTAAATATTTCTTTTACAGAGATAGATCGTTTTTCAAAAAAATCTCTCATGGAACTTTCCCCAGTATCCAGCACCTAGGAGCAATGAGCAAATTTTTGAATGGTTGGATATGGTATCAACTTTACCTAGCTCACTTTCCTAGTCTTTGCAAGTTTGTCTTTTAGATTACAACTGGGTGACAGTTCTGGTCATTTTATTTGCTCTAAATGGCTTCTCACAGGTCCTCCTATCCCTGTTTTTTTTTTTCCACGATTGCTCATTTTCTTTTGTGTTCTACTTCATCTACCTACATGCTACTTAATGTATCAGTGAACAATGAGTCTTTCCCCTGTCAACTATTCTTGTGGTTTGGCCATTGCTAGGACTTCCCGCATCTTCTAAACTGGATCCTTGTGATTTATTATTTCAAGTTTTTTGCCTTTGTTGCTTGACTAATTGAACGACAAATTAGCTGAAAAGAGGAAAATTCTATCAAATAGTTTAGTTTACCTACATGAGTCTAAATAATCAAATCAATGATTTTCTTGATTAAGTTTCTGACAATAAATTCTTTTGGCATCAAATATATTGTTTCTACATAGCATTATATTTAGTTCATTATGATAATTTTAAGAAATATGAAATTATCACTGTAAATCATTATCTTGAGTGAAATATGTTTTAAAATATAATTTTAATTTTGATTATGTAGTAGAGATCCCAAAGATATACAATGGCTATGTCTTATCTGTTTTGTATTTTGGGCTTTCCTATAAAGACAAATTTAAAAATTACACTATTTTTCTATGCCAAGACTCATAGTTGTATCATCTTTTATATTGAATTAATCCTCGTTAATAATGTGAAGGCAGGCTGGGCATGGTGGCTCATGCGTGTATTCCTAGCACTTTGGGAAGCCAAGGTGGGTGGATTGTTTGAGCCTACGAGTTCGAGACCAGGCTGGGTAACATGGAGAAACCCCATCTCTCCTAAAAATACAAAAATTAGCTGGGCCTGGTTGTGTGTACCTGTAGTACTAGCTACTTGAGAGGCCAAGGTGGGAGGATGGTTTGACCCCAGGAGGAGAAGGTTGCAGTGAGCCAACATTGTGCCATTGCACTCCAGCCTGGGTGACAGAGCCAGATCCTATCTGAAAAAAAAAAAAAGTGAGACAAACTATTGAATCTATACCGCTGATGAATATCACCATAAAAATCACTTGGCTATCCACACAGAGAAGTAGTGTGGGGCCCAAATAAGCTAAGGAAGAGGAGAGGAAAAACTCCTGAAAGAAAATCTTGTATTCAAACTTGGATTCTTTCCTTCTTTCCATAGGCAGCAAGAAATTGTTTGGTCAGTTCAACATGCATAGTAAAAATTTCGGACTTTGGAATGACGAGGTACATGCTATGTATATATATGTGTATTTTGTTTGTTTCTTTACTTATAAGAGGGAATCTTACATTTGTGTACTGATAAACTAAAGATGCTGCTGGCTGTGTTTTTGTCTTCCTAGGTTGTAGGCCTGGTTGTATGGCCTACTGATCCACTTTGAATTTTAGGACATATACCAATTTTAGCTGTGAGGGAAACATTTACTGTGGGCTATTCTTCTGATCTTTGAACAAACCTATGGTACATCTTAAAATTAAAAAAGAAATTTCTCAGTCCACTGAGAAAGGTGAAGAAAGAAAGCTTTTCTGATATATATAGATATCAGAAAATATCTACATATATTAGAAAAATATATATATATAAGAAAAAATATATATATAGAAAAATACTTTTTTCTCTCTATATATTTTTTCTATGTCCTCACCAAACATTTCTATTATTAAGTATAGTAGTTGACTTTAAGTCTACAGTTCATGAGTGTGAAAATTTTAACCATATTTTTCTACAGCTCAACATAGTTTAAATTTTGAGCATCCTTTTTTGGGGGTGGTGCTAGAAATATAATCCCAGTGAATTTGGGGTTTCTCCCTGGCTTCCCTGAGCTTCAAAGTCCAAGTTCTTGTCTCATGGGGCTGTAGTACTGGCAGGGAGGTGGCTTACTGTGTGCATGGCATTCTTGCAGCTACCATCCTCTGGTCTTGTCTTTGGCTAGCCATTCAAACAGGTAGCTGCTAACCCATACCATTTTTTTCTTCAAGATTCCTTCAGAATTAGCATTCTTTTTTTTTTTTTTTTTTTTAATGGAGTCTTGCTCTGTTGCCCAGGCTAGCGTGTAGTGGTGCTAGCTGGGCTCACTGCAACCTCAACCTCCCAGGCTCAAGATATCCTCCTGCCTCAGCCTCCTGAGTAGCCGGAACTACAGGCACATGCCACCACACCCAGCTAATCATTTATTTTTGGTAGAGATGGGGTTTCATCATGTTGACCAGGCTGGGCTTGAACTCCAGATCTCAAATGATTCACCCACCTCGGCCTCCCAAAGTGCTGTGATTACAGGCATGAACAATCTTGCCTGGCTGGTATTCTTTATGATTAAAAAACTCCATGGTGTGATCTCAGATCCCATTTACCTAGGCACATCCACAGCCATTTGTTCACTGGCATCTTTCTGCCTTTCCTAGGGCTCTACCTGGGAAAAAGAGCGCAGGTTCTGTTTCACTTTTAAATCCCACCAATCTAATGTGGGAGTAGGAGCTTCTTTTCCTGCTATGTGGGTTGGGCAGCCCTTACAGGGTACAAGATACAGGACCCTAACTCAGCGACCTGCTAATGTCTAGTACCCCTTTTCTTTCCCTCCTATTTCCCCCATTCCTCTGGTTCAAGGGATCTTTTTCTGGATAGTGGTGGTAATGGTGGTGGTGGTGGTGGTGGTGAGATCTCACTCCTGTTCATGGCCCATTTTCCAAAAGATTTTGTTGATAACTCAGTCTTTCTTCTCTGAAGAGCATTGAAAAACTCAAAATCTGTAGACAATGGCTTTTCTCCCTTTGTTTTCTGTTATTCATTCTTTACCTAAGTAGAACGCCCTCTGACTCAATAGAAGGCTGACAGGTGGAGGGAGGTAGAGTATGTAAACAAAGGAAAGTGGGAGAGTAGGGGCAGCGTTAGTCAATGTGAAAACACTATATTGTATATTTAAGGGGAAACAAGCACAAGTTAGTTTTTGTCTCTTCTCTGTAGATTCGCACATTTGGACATCCCTGTGTACAATTCTCAAAAAAGAGAGAGGGTTCAACTTGTTTGTTATTTTTTTAAGGAGACAGTAGTTATTCTTGATTTTTTTCCATATAGGGCCATTCTAATGCATTAGAGATTTGTCACATCAGAAACATTATGTTCATATACTTGTGCTTTCCCCCCTTCTCTATGCCCCACAAAAAAAACATGTACATGGAAGGAAATTTGACATTCAACTTTGAATCATTCATTTTCATTTTAAGAAGAGTGGTCTTTTTTTCTCCACCCCCAAGAAGAGTGGTCTTTTATTTTCTTTTTATAACCTTGGTTGTTATGGCATTTAGCATGCTTCTTTACAGTGAGCCATGTTTTGAGCTGAAGCAGGGTTACGACCTTTGGAGATCCACATTAAAAAAAGCACAATTGAGACTTAGTTTGAGGAGGAAACATTATTAAGGATACTTTCACACTCTACTAACAAGAAGGAGTCCACAACCTTTTTGGAGTAAAATACTTTGTCTTTTAGCAACTCAAAGTTGACTAAAGCGATTTGAAGTAAATAGAGCTTGGAGGTAATTAACACAATGTGTTTTCAAATGTAGGTACGTTTTGGATGATGAGTATATCAGTTCTTTTGGAGCCAAGTTCCCTATCAAGTGGTCCCCTCCCGAAGTTTTTCTTTTCAATAAGTACAGCAGTAAATCCGATGTCTGGTCATTTGGTGAGTGCATCTGATGTTTATTTGCTGGAGCTTGATTTAATAAAATTGGCAATATGTTATTTTTTATTTTATTTTATTTATTTTTATTTTTTTATTTTTTTAATTTTTTATTGGATTATAGGTTTTGGGGTACATGAGCAGAGCATGCAAGACAGTTGCGTAGGTACACACATGGCAGTGTGCTTTGCTTTTCTTCTCCCCTTCACCCACATTTGGCATTTCTCCCCAGGCTATCCCTCCCCACCTCCCCCTCCCACTGGCCCTCCCCTTTTCCCCCCAATAGACCCCAGTGTTTAGTACTCCCCTTTCTGTGTCCATGTGTTCTCATTTTTCATCACCCACCGATGAGTGAGAATATGCGGTGTTTCATTTTCTGTTCTTGTGTCAGTTTGCTGAGGATGATGTTTTCCAGATTCATCCATGTCCCTACAAACGGCACGAACTCATCATTTCTGATTGCTGCATAATATTCCATGGTGTATATGTGCCACATTTTTCCAATCCAGTCTATAATCAATGGGCATTTGGGTTGATTCCAGGTCTTTGATATTGTAAACAGTGCTGCAATGAACATTCGTGTACATGTGTCCTTATAGTAGAACGATTTATAGTAATACGTTATTTTTAACTTTGATTTCCTAATACATGTAGCGTTTTTTAAGTCTGCTTGTAATTGTGCCTCCTTCTATGTATTCTAACCACATCCCAACTGTCTCTGGCAACTGGTGTCACATACCTTCTTATATTAAGTCTGCCTTTCAGATCTTTTCCTTCCTCAATGGGCATTCACTGTAAAACCGTAACAAAGAGTCTACTGATCTAGAAAACAAACTCAGACAAGTTTTCCACACCACAGAGACCTGAAGGAAAAATGATCTTATGACATTGTTGAGTTTAGAGTGTAATTAATGAACTCCATTGTCTAAACTGTGGAGCAGCTTGACTGTTTTCCAATTGTTCCATTGTTAACCTGAACTTAAAACCTGAGTTTAAAAAATGGTGGCATCTTATTTACTTCATTATCTTTAAATTTTGTGGAATTTAGACATAGGTTTCCTTGGAATCTGTGAATTGATATTCATATTGGATAATGTTCTTCATTGAGAAAGACACCATAGACCCGTGTCCAATGGAGTTTTGGGGTTGATTTTCAAAAAATGGTAATAAATATGCAAAAATATGTCCTCTTTCACCCAGACCTGCCTGAAGGCTTGTGGGTTCTGCGTCCTCAGAACGGTGTCAGTTTTACTGTCTACAATACAATAAGGTTAAAACTGGGCACAGTGGCTCAGGCCTACAATCCCGGAACTGTGGGAGGCTGAGGTGGTAGGATCGCGTGAGACCAGGTGTTCAAGACTAGCCTGTGCAATGTAGCAAGACTCTGTCTTTACAAAAAAAAATAATTAGGCAGGTGTGGTGGCATGTACCTGTTGCCTCAGTTCCTTGGGAAGCTGAGGCAGGAGGATTGCTTGAGCCCAGGAGTTTGAGGTTATAGTGAGCCAGGATGGTGCCACTGCATTCCAGCCTGGGTGACAGAGCAAGACCTTGACTCAAAAAAACAAATTAAAACATAAATTAAAAAAATACAATAAGGTTAAGCTTGTGTCATTAATCTCATTATCTCTCCACAGACATAGCATAGTCTCAGCAGGTGACATTTGAAGCTCTACTGAAAAGCAGTTAGGTTGTGAGACCGCATCTTAGAGAGCAATGAAGAGCAATGTAAGGACCTCATCGAGTGATTGCAGAACAATTAGAACTCCCTGAATTTTACCCACTTGTCTCCCTCACCGATCACATGGTGATCAGTGAGCTCCTTAAACACATGGATTGATCTCACACTTACAAAATCTCCTGGCCCTAGCAGAGGCCTGGCCTCTCATCAATGTCTTGTAAATATTTGTAGAATAAGTGAATAATTAAATGAACTAAAATTGGGAGTTCTTTCAGGAATTTCACTAATCAATCAATGATTATTGGATACCTACTTATGTACAGAACCCCTGGCAGATAGTCTGGGGCCCTGTCCATCAGTCTAATCTTTTAGCAGGAAGAAGAGGACAAAGCCACTTGCTGGCTGAAACTCTTGGCTGAGTGGCAGCAGAGGCTCACATAATTCTGTCAGTTTCTATGGAATGGCCGAAAAGTTCATTGATCTCAGGGTGCAGGGACATAAGTGCTACTTAGAAATTAAAATGCTAGGCCAGGTGCGGTGGCTCATGCCTATAATCCCAGCACTTTGGGAGGCCGAGGCAGGTGGATCACCTGAGGTCAGGAGTTCAAGACCAGCCTGGCCAACATGGTGAAACCCCATATCTACTAAAAATACAAAAATTAACTGGGCATGGGGGTGGGTACCTGTAATCCCAGCTACTTGGGAGGCTGAGGCAGGAGAATTGCTTGAACCCAGGAGGCAGAGGCTGCAGTGAGCCAAGATTGCGGCACTACACTCCAGCCTGGGTGACAGAGCGAGTCTCCATCACCAAAAAAAAAGAAATGAAAATTCTACTGGCATTTTCTCCTGATAGGGGAGGCAATCAAGACCCATGGAAAAGGAAAGGCATTGTTTTAACTTAGATTATTTTCAGTTTACAGGCCTCTTTGAAAACTAAGGTACACACGATTTGCTTCCTTGATATAACTGGTGTTATTCAGGATGGTTAGATCCTAAAGGCTGGAGCAGAAAAATAATGCCTTGTAGTTTGAAATTGTTCTTTCAGTTCTCAAGCAATCATTTCTCTCTAACCCCTTGTTTTCATTTATTTTTGTTTGCAGGAGTTTTAATGTGGGAAGTTTTTACAGAAGGAAAAATGCCTTTTGAAAATAAGTCAAATTTGCAAGTCGTGGAAGCTATTACTGAAGGCTTCAGGTTGTATCGCCCTCACCTGGCACCAATGTCCGTATACGAAGTCATGTACAGCTGCTGGCATGAGGTGAGTGTCCCTTCCCTGCGAAGGTTGGCAGTCCCAGCATCTGAGAGCAGACCTGATTATCACAAGCACTACTCCAGGACTCTATCATGGCAGGAAAAGGCATCTGTGTCTTAGTCATGATCCTGAGAGTATGATGTACTATTTCTATCTGAAACTCTGACTACAAAGTGATGAATATATTTTGTTTTGAACAATGGTGTTCTATCTGAGAAATTCAGTGCATTTTCTGAGTCTTATCCGTTTGAGATTAGTTCTTACAGAAACTCTTGGTGTTACTTAAGCCTCAATGATTAGATGTTTTATTAGCTTTAAGAATTAATGGGCTGGGCACGGAGGCTCATGCCTGTAATCCCAGAATTTTGGGAAGCTGATGTGGGTAGATCACCCGAGATCAAGAGTTTGAGACCAGTCTGGCCAACATGGTGAAATCCTGTCTCTACTAAAAATACAAAAAGTAGCCAGGCATTGTGGCGCATGCCTGTAATCCCAGCACTTTGGGAGGCCGAGACAGGCAGATCACTTGAGTTCAGGAGTTTGAGACCAGCCTGGCCCACATAATGAAACCCTGTTTCTACTAAAAATACAAAAATTAGCCAGGCATGGTGGCGCATGCCTGTAATTCTAGCTACTTGGGAGGCTGAGGTAGGAGAGTCGCTTCAACCTGGGAGGTGGTGGCTACAGTGAGCTGAGATTGTGCACTCCAGCCTGGGCGACAGAATGAGACTCCATCTCAAAAAAAAAAAAATTAATGGTGGAAACTAAAAGGGTAGAACCAGATTTGTTAAACTTCCACGTTGATACCTATGCAACAATCTTGCATGTTCTTCACGTGCCCAAAAACCTAAAATGCAATTAAAAAAAAAAAGAAAGATAGTGTTTCCATTTGCTTCACTCAACTTCCCTTTGTCTCAGTTTTCCAACACTAATAGTGATGGGTTTCATGTCTTTTCTGGCACTCAGGACTCCTGCTAGAGATTAAACTAGGATAGGAATGGAGGCAGAAAGTGCGTCGGGAACTTCCAGTCAGGAAGAAATCTCTCCGGAACTTAGTTTTCCTGTTTGTCGAAATGCCAAGCTTAAAGATAAAGTCAGAGGGGCTTCTCTTCCACCTCTGGGCACTGACTCAACACACTCTGCCCTTCTCCATGAACTTCCTTGTGATTTTGAGAGCTTTGCTCTCTTTCCAGCTGACAGTTTCAGCCTAGAAAAATTACAGCTTGATGAGACGTTTCCTCCTGGGTGAAAAAATAAAGCACTTGATTATCAATCCACAAACACTGGAATATTGAATATTTTAAGAGTGATGTGGTTATTCATAGTCCAAGAAGCATTACATTTATAGAGAGCCCCAATGTATGAACATACTTTACATATATTAACTGCTCTATAAGGAATCTTGAAAGACATAGAAAAATGTTCAGCAAGCTGTAAGAAAAATCTTCAGAAAAGTGTTCAGTAAGTAGTAACAAATAGCTGTTTTAGGAGTATCTTTGCCCTAACAATGTAAGTAGCTCAGAAGTATATATTGTGCATGAAACAATACACATGTACATGTGTGTGTAATATAATACTTATTGAGAGGTTATATATCTGTGGAGCTGAGACGGAGAAGGGGGAAGGGAACTGATAAGTAGGGTGCTGTCAGAAGGCCCATGTAAACAACGTTACTCTCAAATTGCCCTCAAAACATTGATTAAAACAATGGTATGGTTATGTTGATTTATTTGTTTCAAAATGTTGACTTATTTTTGAGACAGAGTCTTCCTCTTTTGCCCAGACTGGAGTGCAGTGGTGTGATCACAGCTCACTGCAGCCTTGATCTCCTAGGCTTAAGAGATCCACCCACCCCAGCCTTCTGAATAGCTGGGACGACAGGCATGACCAGCTAATTTTAAAAAATGTTTTGTAGAGATGGGGTCTCACTTTGTTGCCCAGGCTTGTCTCAAACTTCTGGCCTCAAGCAGTCCTCCCACTTTGGTCTCCCAAAGTGCTGGGATTACAGATGTGAGCCATTATGCCAGCTGCAAAAGTTGATTTTGCCTAAAACTTTACCCCACTTGCTTAGGGGATTAGAATCAAATGTGATTATGTTATCATTGAAAGACACATTTCAGAGCTGTATACACAGAAACTCAGGCTCCTCAGAGAGCTCAACAATATATTCCCAGAGTCTGAATGAGGACTCTCATATGCACTTGTGCTGTCTTCTGCTCTGTTTATTTTATTGATGCTCTCTGTTTATAAGCCATGGAGAGCGGCGTCTTTCCGCTGACACTGCTGTCAGTGACACCTGTGAAAATGTCGCTACTATGAGTAGCTCTGTTTCCCATGGTTTTCAAAGACGCTGACAATTCCATCTCTTCTTCCTCATGGAATCAGAGCCAAATGACACCCCTAAGTGAAATAGGAAAAATGCTCCAATCCCTGGCTCCATAGCCAGGGATATGGGGTCACTTATGGTGAATATCTTCCTTTAGAGTTGCTGACTCTTGAAAACTGTGCAAAGAACACAGGCTTTTACAACTTTTTTAAGTGTAAGAATATGCAGCAATCGTTTTTCTATGGGTGTGAGGGACTTCCACACTCTTATGTCTCTGTTAATGGAGACTAAAGACAGCACAACCTGTGCCCCAGGATCTTCAGAGTCCCTCATGAAAACATGCCTTTTGCTGTCTGACTGAGCCCCTCCTTTCTGTAGGGGCTCAGGTATCATAGATACCTCAAGCTGAGCTTGGGAGCCTGGTGCTCTAGATGTCCCTTCTCCCAGACCTTTCTTTACCTCACACATGTCAAGTCATCCAAATAGATCTCTAGGGTGGGGGTGTCCTACAGAACTTTCTGCAATGCTGAAAATGTTCTACATCCATGTGGTCCAATATGGCAGCAGCACTTCTGGCTATTGGGTATTTGAAAAGTGGCTAGCATGACTGAAGAACTGAATTTAAACATTTATGTAATCTAGGGAATTGAAATTGAAATAGCCGCTTGTGGCTAGTGTTTGCAGGTTTTATTTTTGCAGCATTCACTAACATTTTCATACTCACGCTTCACTCAACTGCCAATCATGCTGTGGTATGTCACTCAAGATAACTTTCTCTTCCTTTTTGGGGAGAGCCAGCCTGGATTCAGGTCTCTGCCAGCTAGTTCCAGAGCTGGTCTCTGAGTGATCCTTGACCCATTTATGCTGCAGGTTGCAATTTTTTGAATTTTTGCATGAGTGAAAAATCAGACCTTGGTGATGACCTTGAGCAGTAGGATATAAATAACTCCCACATGCTTAGCATTCCAAAATGGAACACAGCATAAGTGGGTTAAGCTGAGCTAACCACCCACATCTCCCTTTTCCAGAAACCCAAAGGCCGCCCTACATTTGCTGACCTGCTGCAGGCACTCACAGAGATTGCAGAAACCTGGTGACCTGAAATGGAATGCCAACCCAAAGAATCATCTTGCAAAACTGTCACTTATTGTGAATATCTTCACCATATGGGGACACTTATGGTGAATATTTTCATTAGAGTTACTGACTCTTGAAAACCGTGCAAAGATCACAGGCTTTTAAAACTTTACAAAATTTAAGACTATTCAGACAATCTATGTTTTTCTATGTGTGAGTTGGACGTGTACACTCTTATTTTTCTGTAAAATATTTCACATCTCAAATGTGAAGAAGTGAAAAAGGCTTCACAGCAGTCTTCATAGTGACTGCTCCTCATGATCATAGCCCCAGGAACCCTTAAGGGTACATGAAAATCTGACCCTTCACAAGGCTTAGGATGTTTCCTTCTTGAAGATGAATGACATTCATCACTTCAGTGATCCATGCATAGAAGATGAAAATAAATTCCCCCAACTCATGGGATAAAGGGGCCTCCCTTGCAGAATGTCATGCTTTTGGGCTGTATAGATCTTTGCAGAAAATGCACCTTTGTAAACCACATGAATGTTAGCATTCTGGAAATGTCTTTTGTTAATATAATCTTCCTATATGTTATTTATCAAATTGCTTTTTCACATATCTGTTTATCCTGAAGGCAGGTTTTTTTGCATGTGAGTTTTAAACACTGTTATAGGAAGTAATCGAAGCTCATCTTTGAACAGATCCTGGTGACATTCTATTTCCCGGAAAATCCAGAACCTGATTTTAATTCTGTGATTTTATACTTTTTGCATGTGAGATTGGACAGTTTCAGAGGCCTAATTTTTTACAGTAAGTGCCTTTGTAATTTTCAGGAAGGTTTGTTCTTTCCAGAAGAGGAGACAAAAGCAAGATAACCAAATGTGACATCAAGCTCCATTGTTTTGAAAATCCAGGATTTTGAATTGGACATGAAACAACCAGCAATCACAGATAAATCTTAACTTTGCCTGCAGTCTTTGTAGGAATGACCAGAAATTGATCTTTATCATTCTGAGTGCTTCAGGAGTACCATAAGAAACAATATACTGGAGAAAGCACGAGTGTAATTACCATGAAGTCTAACAATAGGAGCCCACTATTTGCACACTTTCCCACCCTGTATCATGGGTCTGTGGGAACAAGTTTATGATCCTCATTAGAGTTTAAGTTGTTGATTGTCAGTCGTTGTGACTTTTAAATTATATTTCCCCCACTCAAAGAATGGTATCTTTATATATCAATGACACTCAATAAATGTGTATTATTTCTAATGAGAATTAGGTACAAAAAGAGACTTGATAATTCAACTGATGGTCTCAGAAATGTTTGGGCCGGATGTGGTGGCTCATACCTATAATCTCAGCACTTTGGGAGGCTGAGGTGGAAGAATAGCTTGAGCCCAGTTAGAGATCAGCCTGGGCAACAAAGTGAGATCCCCTCTCTATAAAAAATATATATATATTACCTGGGTATAGTGGTGCATGCATGCATGTAGTCCTAGCTACTGAGAGGCTGAGACAGGAGCCCAGGAGGTCAAGGCTGAAGTGAGCCATGATTGTGCCATTGCACTCCAGCCTAGTGGATAAGCTTTTTAATGTGCTCCTGATTCAGTTTGCTAGTATTTTATTGAGGATTTTCACATCGATGTTCATCAGGGATACTAGCCTGAAATTTTCTTTTTTTAATTGTGTCTCTGCCAGGTTTTGGTATCAGGATGATGTTGGCCTCATAAAGTGAGTTGGGGAGGAGTCCCTCTTTTTCATTGTTTGGAATAGTTTCAGAAGGAATGGTACCAGCTCCTCTTTGTACCTTTGGTAGAATTTGGCTCTGAATCTGTCTGATCCTGGGCTTTTTTTGTTTGGTAGGCTATTAATTACTGCCTCAATTTCAGAACTTGTTGGTCTATTTAGGGATTCGACTTTTTCTGGTTTAGTCTTGGGAGGGTGTATGTGTCCAGGAATTTATCCATTTCTTCTAGATTTTCTAGTTTATTTGCATAGAGGTGTTGATAGTATTCTGTGATGGTAGTTTGTATTTCTGTGTAATCAGTGGTTATCTCCCCTTTATCATTTTTTACTTTTTCTGTTTGATTCATCTCTCTTTTCTTCTTTATTAGTCTGGCTAGTGGTCTATCTATTTTGTTAATGTTTTAAAAAAACCAACTCCTGGATTCATTGAATTTTTTGTAGGATTTTTTTGTGTCTCTATCTCCTTCAGTTCGACTATGATTTTAGTTATTGCTTGTCTTCTGCTAGCTTTGAATTTGTTTGTTCTTGCTTCTCTAGTTCTTTTAATTGTGATGTTAGGGTGTCGAGTTTAGATCTTTTCTGCTTTCTCCTGTGGGCATTTAGTGCTCTAAATTTCTCTCTAAACACTGCTTTAGCTGTGTCCCAGAGATTCTGGTATGCTGTGTTTTTGTTCTCACTGATTTCAAAGAACTTATTTATTTCTGCCTTAATTTTGTGATTTACCCAATAAATTCAAGAACAGGTTGTTAATTTTCCATGTAGTTGTGTGGTTTTGAGTGAGTTTCTTAATCCTGAGTTCTAATTTGATTGCACAGTGGTCTGAGAGACTGTTTGTTAGGATTTTCATTATTTTTTATCTGCTGAGGAGTGTTTTACTTCCAATTATGTGGTCTATTTTAGAATAAATATGATGTAGGGCTGAGAGAATGTATGTTGATTTGGGGTGAAGAGCTTTGTAGATACCTATTAGGTCTGCTCGATCCTCAGCTGAGTTCAAGTCCTGGATATCCTTGTTAATTTTCTGTCTCATTGGTCTGTCTAATATTGACAGTGGGGTGTTAAAGCCTCCCACCATTATTGTGTGGGAGTCTAAGTCTTTTTGTAGGTCTCTAAGAACTTGCTTTATGAAACTGCTTGCTCCTATATTAGGTGCATATTTATTTAAGATAGTTAGCTCTTCTTGTTGCATTGATCCCTTTACCACTATGTAATGCCCTTCTTTGTCTCTTTTGATCTTTGTTGGTTTAAAGTCTGTTTTATCAGAGACTAAGATTGCAACTCCTGCTTTTTTTTTTCTTTCCATTTCCTTGGTTAATCTTCCTCCATCCCTTTATTTTGAGCCTATATGTGTTTTTACATGTGAGATGGGTCTCCTGAATACAGTGCATTGATGGGTCTTGACTCTTTATCCAATTTGCCAGTCTGTGCCTTTTAATTGGCTCATTTAGCCCATTTACATTTAAGATTAATATTGTCATGTGTGAATTTGTTCCTGTCATTATGATGCTAGCTGGTTATTTTGCCCATTAGTTGATGCAGTTTCTTCATAGTGTCAATGATCTTTACATTTTGGTTTGTTCTTGTAGTGGCTGGTATGGATTTTTCCTTTCAATATTTAGTGCTTTCTTCAGGAGCTCTTGTATGGCAGTCCTGGTGGTGACAAAATCCCTCAGCGTTTGCTTGTCTGTAAAGGATTTTATTTCTTGTTCACTTATGAACCTTAGTTTGGCTGGATATGAAATTCTGGGTTGAAAATTCTTTTCTTTAATAATGTTGCATATTGGCCCCCACTCTCTTCTGTCTTGTAGGATTTCTGTAGAAAGATCTGCTGTTAGTCTGATGGGCTTTGCTTTGTGGGTAAACCCTACGTTTCTCTCTGGCTGCCCTTAACATTTTCTTTCTTTATTTCAACCTTGGTGAATCTGAGAGTTATGTGTCTTAGGGTTGCTCTTCTCAAGGAGTATCCCTGTGGTTTTCTCTGTATTTCCTGAATTTGCATGTTGGCCTGTCTTGCTAGGCTGGGGAGGTTCTCCTGGATATAATATCCTTAAGTGTGTTTTCCAACTTGATTCCATTCTCGCTATCACTGTCAGGTACACCAATCAAACGTAGGTTTGGTCTTTTCACATAGTCCCATATTTCTTGGAGGCTTTGCTCATTGCTTTTCATTCTTTTTTCTCTAATCTTGTCTTCATGCTTTATTTCATTAAGTTGGTCTTTAATCTCTGATATCCTTTCTTCCGTTTGATTGATTAGGCTATTGATACTTGTGTATGCTTCACGAAGTTCTCATGCTGTGTTTTTCAGCTCCATCAGGTCATTTGTATTTGTCTGTAAACTGGTTATTCTAGTTAGCAATTCCTCTAACCTTTTTTTCAAGGTTCTTAGCTTCCTTGCATTGGAGTTAGAACATGCTCCTTTAACTCAGAGGAATTTGTTATTACCCACCTTCTGAAACCTACTTCTGTCAGTTTGTCAAACTCATTATTTGTTCAGTTTTGTTCCCTTGCTGATGAGGAGTTGTGATCCTCTGGAAGAGAAGAGGCATTCTGGTTTTTGGAACTTTTAGCCGTTTTGCACTGGTTTTTCCTCATCTTCATGGGTTTATCTACCTTTGGTGTCTGCTGTTGGTGACCTTTGGATGGAATTTTTGCATGGTAGTCCTTTTTGTTGATGTTGATGCTGTTGCTATTTGTTGGTTTTCCTTCTAAAAGTCAGGCCCCTCTTCTGCAGGTTTCTGGAGTCTGCTGGGGGTCCACTCCAGACCCTGTTGGCCTGGGTATCACCAGTGAAGGCTGCAGAACCACAAAGATTACCGTCTGCTCCTTCCTCTGAAGCTTTGTCCCAGAGGGGCACCTGCCAGGTGCCAGCCAGAGCTCTCTTGTATGTGGTGTCTGTCAACCCCTGCTGGAAGGTGTCTCCCCCTCAGGGGGAATGGGAGTCAGGGACCTACTTAAGGAGGCAGTCTGTCCCTTAGCAGAGCTTGAGCACTGTGCTGGGAGATCTGCTGCTCTCTTTAGAACCAGTAGGCAGGAATGTTTAAGTCTGCAGAATCTGTGCCCACAGCTGCCCCTTCTCCCAGGTGCTCTGACCTAAGGAGATGGGGGCTTTATCTATAAGCCCCTGACTGGGGCTACTGCCTTTCTTTCAGAGATGCCCTGCCCAGAGAGGAGGAATCTAGAGAGGCAGTCTGGCTACAGTGGTGTTGCTGAGCTGCGGTGGGCTCCACCGCGTCCGAACTTTCCAGGGGTTTTGTTTATACTGTGAGGGGAAAACCCACCTACTCAAGCCTCAGTAATGCCAGATGCCCCCTTGCCCCACCAAGCTTCAGCGTCTCAGGTCAACTTCAGACTGCTGTGCTGGCAGTGAGAATTTCATGCCAGTGGATCTTAGCTTGCTGGGCACTGTGGGGGTGGGATCTGCTGAGCTAGACAACTTGGCCCCTCTGCTTCAGCCCCCTTTCCAGGGTAGTACAGGATTCTGTCTCACTGGCATTCCAGGCACCACTGGGGTACAAAAAAAAAACCTCCTGCAGCTAGCTCGGTGTTTGCCCAAATGGCTGCCCAGTTTTGTGCTTGAATCCCAGGGCCCTTGTGTTAAAGGCACGTGAGAGAATCTCTGGTCTGTAGTTTGTGAAGACTGTGGGAAAAGCATAGTATCTGGGCCTGAATGAACTGTTCCTCACAGCACAGTCCCTCACAACTTCCCTTTGCTAGGGAAGGGAGTTCCACAACCCCTTGTGCTTCCCGGCTGAGGCAACACCCCACCCTGCTTCTCCTCACCCTCCATAGGCTGTAGGATGCACCACCTGCCTAACCAGTCCCAGTGAGATGAACCGGGTACCTCAGTTGGAAATGCAGAAATCACCCACCTTCTGCATTGGTCTTGCTGGGAGCTGCCCAATTTTTAACTATTAAGATCAGTGCTGCTATGAACATTTTTCTATCTTTTCATATCTTTTGGTGAAAATACGTATGTGTGGTGGTTAATACTGAGTGTCAACTTGATTGGATTGAGGGATACAAAATGTGTTTGAGTGGGCATTGCCGAAAGAGATCAATATTTGAGTCAGTGCGCTGGGGAAGGCAGATCCAGCCTTAATTGGGTGGGAACTGTCTAGTCAGTCACCAGCAAATATAAAGCAGGCAGAAAAAAATGTGAAGAAGCGAGATGGGCCTAGCCTCCCAGGCTACATCTTTCTTCTGTGCTGGTTGCTTCCTGTCCTCAAACATTGGACTCCAAGTTCTTCATTTTTGGGACTCAGACTGGCTGTCCTTTCTTCTCAGCTTTCAGACAGTCTATGACAGCCTACTGCGGGATCTTGTGATTGTGTAAGTTAAAACTTAATAAACTCTCCACACACACACATATATATGGAGAGTTTATTAAGCATTAACTTATACAATCAGACAGCCTATTGTGGGACCTTATGATTATAGGACATATAAATATACACCCAAACACACACACACACATAGATATATATATGTGGAGAGTTTATTAAGTATTAACTTATAGAATCACAATGTCCTACAATACACACACACACACACACACACACACATATATAGAAGTATGTGTGTGTGTGTTTGGGTGTACATTTATATGTCCTATCATATATATATATATATATATATATATCTCAAGGATATAATAGTGTGTGTGTGTATATATATATATATCCTATTAGTTCAGTCCCTCTAAGAGAACCCTGACTTGTACAGCATATATTTATGTTAGCTATATGCCTAGGAGTAGAATTATGAGCCAAACCATATGGATATGTTCAGCTTTTGCAAATAATGTCAAACAGTGGTCCTAAGTGGACATGCTGTGGACATACCCGAGGACCTACACAGCAGTGTATGAGTTCCAGCTGCTTCACATCCTCAAGAGCATTTGGAGTTGTCTCTTTGGTCATAAAAAATGGCCGGAGGACTTTTAAGGACACAAATGTCGCATATTTAGTTTTGTTTGTTAAGCTGTGCTGCAATATAATCTCCATCCCCAATTCTTTGTTGTCAGCACTGCGGTGTGTTAAATGTACAACCTAAAATACATAGTATTTGGGAAGATTGAAGTGATTTGGAGTGATCAAAGGGGAAGAAGAGAGATGTAATGAAGAGCAGGGAAGAGGAAATTGGCAGAAGTAAGAACCTGGAACTGGAGGTATGAAAGATATGGGTTGCCCATCATCTGTGGGATGGACACACACAGACACAGACACACACACACACACACACACATTTGGTTACTTGTATCTCTACCTCTTAAAAAGTGTTGGTCTTGTTGAATGTTTAACAAGAAACTTGACAGATTTGGCTAAACAAGTTTTGGGGTTAGCATTGGAGACAGATGCATTGCTCGACCCGTAGAAAAACTGAAGAAAGACAGAGGATGAGAGAAGCAGGGAAACAGCTGGAGGTAGAATGGTGCTTGATAGACTGGGGGCACAGGAATGGCTGCTTTCTTAGGGTGTCCATGATGTGACCTCCCCCACTTCCATTAGCCCTTGTTATTCAGTAGAGTCTGTTGGGATCATGAATGCTGTGTTTAAGAGGGTTTTATTACATGTGTAGAAGTATACAAGGTGTATTTTATATTTGGTTCTACACAATACAGAGCAAAGATCACATGAAACACGGAAATCTGGAAGGCAAGAGAAACTCTAAGCACATAACCCCCCTGAGAATTTATCTAAACTTCGAGAAGACTTTGGATATATACAAGGTGTGCAGTTGCTACATTGAGGATAAGGCAAAAGCCGATTTTGAGAGTAAATAGAACCTCAGCTAACATACAGGTTACAGATATTTAACTTCCCAATAGCCTGGATTTCTGGAAAAGGTTACAGATATTTAACTTCCTGATAGCCTGGATATCTGGAAAATTTAAGGAGTTCACATCTGGGTGACAGTTGCCTTAGCAGAAAAATCCAAACATAAATGGTATGAGATGCAGAAGACATACAATTAAAGATACAATTAAACAAGAAAATTACAATTGGGACCAAGGGGAGGCCATTCCCAGAGCCACATGTGAAGAGTTTCCCTACTTCATCTGCAGAGAAGAACTGGATATTAACTGGAGAACCTCGTATAACCCACAGATACACACTCACATATAGCCAGTACAGATTCACTCCCCAATGCTCAGTGTAAGAAGTTAACATTGTTTTTATTTTTCTTTATAAAGACTTTTGAATTTTTAAAATTTATTTATTTGAGATGGAGTCTCACTCTGTCACCCCAGCTGGAATGCAGTGGCATGATCTTGGATCACTGCAAATTCCTTCTCCCAGGTTCAAGCAATTCTCCTGCTTTAGCCTCATGTATATCTGGGATTACAGGTACGCACCACCACAGCCGGCTAATTTTTATTTTAATTAATTATTTTAATTTTAATTTTATTTTTAGTAGAGACAAGGTTTTGCCATGTTGGTCAGGCTGGTCTCGAACTCCTAACCTCAAGTGATCCACCTGCCTTGGCCTCCTGAAGTAGTGGGATTAAAAGCGCAAGCCTCGGTGCCCAGCCAACATTGTTTTTCTGAATCAAATTTAATCTGGTCCTGAAACTCTCCCTTGTTATAGTTGGTGAGAAATGCCTTTTGTGGGGAGACACTCTGCCTGACTTCCCAAGGAGAGACAAAAGTCCTGGAGGCTTCTGTGCTGCATCAAAAAATAGAGCTCAGGGGTGGGGGTGCAGGGAGGGGCATCCTGGGCCCTGTGAGTTCTATTGTTCTTTCCCTTTCAGGATGAGCTGTCGCTGATCCTCTGCTTCTGTCTGGCATAGAGATCCCTGTCATAGGAGTCCTCCCTGCTGACTGTGGGCTCAGCCCCCAGGGCCTACCCACGGCTCTCTAGGAAGCCATATCCCTTAGTGCTCAGCCTCTCACACATCCTGGGACCATTTTCTTATTCTCAGTGCTGTAGAGCTTGGGCCTTGACCCTTAAAACAAAATTATTTTGACACTTGGTAAAATGGTATGGGAGATTTCATTTGAAAGTATTGCAAATAGTAGAGAGAGACGAACTCAACTCTGACTACAGCAAAGGCAGCTGGAGTCAGTAGATATGAAATAGTAGGGGGATCGTCGCTAAACTGGTTTAACAAGATTCTAACTAATGGCAGATCAAGGACTAAGATATTAAGGATGAGGAATTTGATCAAATATCAAGGGTTGGGGATTTCTTGCTAAACTGACTTAGCAGGATTCTTGCTAAAGCCAGGCCAAAGATGGGCCTGAGATTAGGCCTTAGTAAGAAGAGGCTCATAGAAACGTTAACTAAAATTTGGCCAAAAAGGGAGTCTGTTATCACTCCTCATGTTAGTGGCCAGTCTCAGGAAAGCCAGCCTCTCGCCTCCAGATCAGTGCATTTCTGTTTCATATTTAAGAACCACCCTCCACCCACTCTGGATGTCACAAAATGATATCCATATTGTCTTCACTGGATCTAAGTCTCAAACACTATTTTAATTCTGGGGAACTTAGGTGTTGTAAGAAGCACAAACCTTGTCAATCACAATCTTGCCTTTTTTTCCTGGGATAAGAGTGGGGAAGGAGATGCCTTATTACTCCCTGATGAAGTTCCAAACTTTCAAAAGAAAACAAAATATCTTTTTATCAGTGAGTCACTCTTCCCTTAAAAACATATGCAGTTCCTTCACTCATGTTGTACTTGCGCTCTTTCCTGTGTCTGCCTTGAATTGTGTTACTATGAAAACATCTTCCAGACAGTAGCATCACTTAGGGTGCAAGTAGGGGCGATGTGTTTTTAGTTTCCTAAGGACAGGGTGTGTGGTTTGGGCAAGGGGCAGTTTCTCAGCTCCCTTTGGAGAATCTTCTTCATTCAGACTCTAGTTTCTCTAGATCCAAGGGTTCTCAGATCTCTTAGCATGGTTCACATTATGGGCTGGATAAGTCTTTGTTGTGAGAGAATGTGCTGTGCATTGGAGGATATTTAGCACCATCTTTGGCCTTTACCCAGTATATGCTGATGCCCCTCCCCCAGGAGAAACAACCAGAAATGTCTCTAGAACATTGCCAAATTTATGTATATGTTCAGCTTTTGCAAATAATGCTCCTAAGTGCCTAGAACGTTGTCTTTATGTAATGTCTCTAGAACATTGTGTTCTAGAGACATTTCTGGCTGTTTCTCCTGGGGGAGGCAAAATCGCCCCTGGTTGAGAACCACCGATTTAATTACTAAAGCTTCTTGACCTGGGTTTAAGGAGGTCCATGGACTTGGATGGAGAAAAGAAATTACATCTTTATTTTTTATTTATCTCTAATTAAATGTTAGCATTTCCCACAATTCCAAATGTGAATTCACATTTCCCATGATACTAAATGTGAATTCACATCTAGAATTATGGAAAAAAACACACAAAACTCTAGTACTTTATATAAGCAGTTTCTGTGACTTCGTCAAAATATGAAAAAGTAGTATTTTCATGTCATGTGGGAGTTGTTTCAACTTTCCCAATTTACATTCATCACTACTTCAAAGTTGTGATCGCTTCTAGAACTGTCACTACATCCTGTCATTTAACACAATAAAAAGACATTTTATGAAAGCACAAATTTGTTTTTTAAATATTTTGATCACTTTATGTCAAAATAATTGGTTTCCTTTTTAGTTCTATGTACTCCTATTTTATGCATTTAAAAACATTATTCCAGCCGGGCATGGTGGTACATGCCTATAGTCCCAGCTATTCAGGAAGCTGAGATAGGAGGATCACTTGAGCCCAGGAGGTCGAGGCCGCAGTGAACTATGTTTGTGCCACAGCACTCCAGCTGTGGCAACAGAGCAAGACCTTGTCTCAAAAAAGAAAAAAAAACCACAAAAATTATTCCAAGAAGGAGTATAAAGTCTTCCCTAGACTTCCAAAGAGATCTGTAGCATAAAAAAAGATTCAAAACCCTTCTGTATCCAACAGGATTTCTGAATCTGGAGGGATGTATGCTGGGCCACACATAACCAATCAGCCACTTACTGTTGGCTAACAAGCAGCCCCATGAGGATTTAATTCTGGCCAGTCGTGCAAGCTGATTCCCTGATGTGCATATCCAGCCCAGCCTTTTTCACCCCAGATATTACTGGGACTGGTCCTTGGCTCTGGTTTGCATGTCTCCTTTTCCACCCGCCTTGCACCCTCTATGGTAGTATCCAAGACATGATGAGTGAAGAGCCTCAACTGCTTCCATGTTTGGCAGCAGAGAGAGAGAAGCTGGCTTCAACCCCTCCCTCCTTCCAGTTGGCCTGGGGTTCATTTCCAGATGGGCATTTCAGCCTCTCTTTTCCTCTGGAGCCACACCCAGTTAGTTGAAGGGAAATAGAGTGGGTGAATCATATCTCTCTGGAGGCAGGGTGGCTCCATGCCACTTTCAAAACAAGACAAAACAAAACTCCAATTTGAACTGGCATTTTTGGTTCTTACCACCAGGCAGGGGATGCTACTGGCATCGAGTGAATAGAGACCAGTGATGTTGCTAAACATCCTACAAAGAACACGTGCCCCACAACAAAGAATTATCTGGCTCAAAATGTCAACAGTGCTAAGGCTAAAAGGGGTATCATTAGACCCTGTGACTGTGGAGTTCAGGGGTGCAGACATTCACCCTGTTATCATCCTTCCAGCTCCATTTCTCATGTCTCAGGCTACCTCCTCTTCTACCTCTCCCAGATGAAAAGTGGATGCTGTGGTCACATACCTTACCTTGGCAGACTATACCATCCAGAGGGAGAGAACATCTCTGTCCTTGCATTTCCACCAGAGTCCTGAAATTCTCTCTAACTGGATCAGATCCACACGCCCACTAGGTGTGTGTAGCTAGTGGCATGGAATGCTTTGATTGGTTTGGACTTGGGCATGTGTTTCCTCAAGAGCCAAGGCTGAAATCCATTTACCTTGAAAATGGAAACTGAGAGCCATTCAGAGGGTCTGGAAAGGGGAGTGATAGATGCTGGAATGATAGTCAGCAAATACCAAATGTTCATCTTTTCCCAATTCCCCTCTTGCTTTCTGGCCATTTTGCATGTAATCTGCCATCTTCTCTTTCTTTTCTTTTTTCTTTTTTTTTAAGAGTAGGTCTTACTCTGTTGCCCAAGCTGGAGTATAGTCGTGTGATCGTGGCTCACTGCAACCTCTGCCTCCTGGGTTCAAGCAATTCTCCTGCCTCAGCCTCCTCCATAGTAGCTGAGATTACAGACGTGTGCTAACACACCCAGCTCATTTTTGTGTTTTTTGGTAGAGATGGGGCTTTCTCTGTGTTGGCCAGGCTGGTCTCAAACTCCTGGCCTCAAGTGATCTGCCTGTCTTGGCATCCCAATGTGTGAGGATTGCAGGCCTGAGCCACTGCACCCAGCTGTACCTTCTTCTCTAGTAACAAATTGGAGCACTTCAGCTATGACCTTTATTTTTCTAAAGAAAGTTAGGTTAAACATGATGAGTAAATTGGGAGAATGTTGTCAATATTTAGTGCCGGTTGGCCAGATTCTGTTTTCTCTAGTACTTCAAGTGATCTGGGAGCAAATTTTCTCACAGTTAGAAATAACAATATATGAAGATCTTAAGAAAAAGCTGACAATCCTATGCAGGTACCTTCCTTGAATGCAAGTAATGGTGGGTTTGGTGGCTTTCACCACAAGGAGCTGTCTGGGAAAGCTGAAATGCAGTTTGGAGATAAAGGGAGAACTTTATCTAGTAGTGACATTGAACATAATTAACTGATTTGACAAGGCACAAACATACCTATTAGAGTGAATGCTAACAGCTAGCAATAGCAGCCCTTCCAGTGCAGACTGTGACTCTCAGCCCTGGCAAGGTGACCTCACAGTGTGAAGCGAAGGGAAAGGGCTGTTTGTGTTGGAGCGGTGCCCCTGCACCTCTGGTCTCCACATTTCTCATCATCCTAGTTGCTGCTTACCCCGCTAGCTTTTGCAGGTGGAGTTGGTGACTGGTGTGGACTGGTCTTTCCTGACTTGGCCAGGGCACAGAAGCTCTCCCTGGCTGACTTGATCTCACCCCAGCTCTTGCTGGCACTACGGGCTGAGAGTGTAAGTTTAGACTGCCACAGCCTTCCATGGCCCCTCAGCCTGGGTTGCAGGTCACCTTGCTCTCAAAGGGTGAGTGTTATGTCTGCTTCTGACTCAACTCAGCTGCTTCCAGAGGCCCATCCTGAGCACAGGTGGGAACTTCTGGGTCCTGTCCATACCACACAGGGACTGAGAATAGCTCCAAAAGCTAAAACTTCACAATTTTGCACTCCTGCCTCTACCCTCACTCCCCTGCTTAATCACGCTGTGTGGCAGAGTTTTCCACGGCTGCTTTCCAGACAGTTCGTGGGGCAGTTCCCTCCAGGAATCCGAATACGAGGCAGAGTGCAAGCCTCCTTGCCATTGCCAGTATCCTCTACCCGGCCCTCCTGCCCCCACAAGTATCTTCAACCCTTCTAACACCACTCTCCCTCTTCTGCCCACAAACCACTGGGCTGGAGAATGTGAACGTTTCATTTCCTCTTCCTGGTGTGGTTTTCACACACTAGAATGATCTGAGAGCTTTTCAAAAATACCATTGCTCATGTTTCACATTCTCATCCCCCTCCATCCATGCAGTTCTGATTTAACCTCTCTTAGAGGGACCCAGGCATTGGTAGTTTTAAAACCAGCACTCCAGGTGATTCCAATGGGCAGCCAGGGCTGAGCGCCGCTGTTCTAGGACAGTTCTTAAACGTCCCTGCTTATTAACATCTTCTGGGAGCTTTAAAAAATCCCGATGCCGAAGCTGCACCCCAGGCCAATTAAATCAAAATATCTAGGCCAGGAATTGGTATTTTAAAAGGTTCCCTGGGCTATTCCAATGGCAAATGTGAAAACTAGGGTTCTTCTAAGCCAGTTCTTCTTAAACTTTAATGCATTAGTACATGCAGTCACCTGGGGGCCTGGTTAAAATGTAGATTCTGATTCAGGAGGTCTGTGTTAGAGCTTCAGATTTTGAATTTCTAACAAGTGCCCAGGTAATGACACAGGTGCTGGTCCTTGGACCATATCCTTCTTCACAGAGGTTCGTTCATTTGTCTCAAAACTCCCTTAACTAACAAGATTTCAGGAAGAGGATAACTAGTTTATGGGTAAATAGAGTTCTTTAAAAAACATTATACCCACGATGCATGGCAACAGATAGCTTCCCGGTGGACACTGACTTTCTATTCCAAAAGTCAGCTACAACTCATTATTCTTCATGTTTTGGAAGCTAGAATTCTCAATTTTTTGGGCCCTCTCATAGCAAGCATACTACATGAGAAAGTTCCATGTAGTGAGATAATAGCCGGAAGTGCCTGGAGAAGGCTTCCTTTCCCAAATAAAAATCCCAGGTCTTAATAGAAGGAAAAATTGTTTGCATCTTCCTGCTTGGAATATGGCTTTGGGACCTGGAAGTAGAGCACCCATCTGTGACTCTGAGGAAACAGGCATGAAGATGAAGGCCTGGACACAGGGCTGCCAATAAAATATGAGACAGCTGGTAAATTTGAATTTCAGATATACAATGAATTTTTTTTTTTTTTTTTTTTTTTTTTGAAATGGAGTCCAGCTCTGTCTCCCAGGCTGAAGGGCAGTAGCACAATCTCAGCTTATTGCAAACTCGGCCTCCCAGGTTCAAGTGATTCTTCTGCCTCAGCCTTCCGAGGAGCTGGGACTACAGGTACCCACCATTACGCCTGGCTAATTTTTGTATTTTTAGTAGAGACAGGGTTTCACTGTGTAAGCCAGGATGGTCTCAATCTCCTGACCTCGTGATCCATCCACCTTGGCCTCTCAAAGTGCTGGGATTACAGGCGTGAGCCACCACGCCCAGCTAACAATGCATCATTTTTTAGTGTAAGTGTTGCAGTCACCCTCCACATTGTCATCACCCCCAGAAATGGATGAACCCCTTGCTCCAAATTTGCTTCAAATATTGGGATTATTGATGTCATACCCAAAGAGGATATGAAAAGGTTTATGACTCAAATAATGGGACTTTCTGAGGAGCATAGGGCAGGCTCACAAGCAGGTCTGAAAACAGGCTGAGCGAGTGGGGAGGGCAGGAGGCCTTGGGGTTTTATGAAAGGGCTGAGGCTGGTGTAGTTTGAGCTTCCAGCTGGCATGAAAGAAGGGAATACTTTGATTTTCTTATTATTTTGCCCAGGTGTAGGGCAGAATGGGGGGGATACTGAGTCTTGCAAGTTGTCAGCAAATATGAAAAACAAAATCAGACTGTTTATTACCATAACTGTGTTACAAATATCTTATGGGACATGCTTACACTAAAATTTACTCATTCTTTATCTGAAATTCAGGTTTAACTGGGTGTCCTGACCTGTGCTTTTATTTGCTAAGTCTGGCAGTTCTACCTATGAAGTAGAAAAATAGAAGGAGCCTGGACCCTCCTAGTGTTCTTGAGATGCTACACTGATTCTGAGCTGCCCGCTTCCAGACTCATTATATGAGACAAGGCATTGGTGGTTTTAAAACCAAGCACCCCACAAATCAGAAAGCTTATTTAAGTCTTAAGAAACAGGACTTAAGTCTTATTCCTAAATGTTACATTTCTGCTGACTCTTCTGGTAGCAGCTAGTGGGCTATCCAATTCCACTTCTCAAGCCCTTAATTATACAGATGATGCTAATATAAATGATTGTTGTGGATGCCAAGGACTGCCGGCATTCATATGCGGCTTTGCTACTTCCTACCTTCCTAAGTTCTTCCCCAACTTATGCCTCCTCTTCTGTAAAATGGGCATGATAACCCATATTTCACAGAGTTGTTAGAATTAAATAAGATTGTGTGTACGAGATACTTAGTACTCAGTAAGTCTTAGCTAATATGTGCTTATTTATTTGGATTAGTTAAATTGCTTGTAGTAAAAATGTTATGGGCTGAATGTTTGTGCCCCCGTCTCACCCAACCAAATTCATTATGTTGAAACCCTGACCCCTAATGCGATGGTTTTTGAGATGGGGCCCTTGGGAGGTGATTAGGATCAGATGAGGTCCTGAGGGTGGAATCTTCATGATGGGATTACTGCCCTCATAAGACGAGATGACAGAGAGCTTGCTCTACTGCTGGACACACAGCATTAAGGTGGCCATCTGCAAGCTGGGAAGAGAGCTGCACCAGAACCGAACTTTGCTGGTGCCTAACCTTGGACTTCTAGCCTCCAGTACCGTGGGAAGTTTCTGTTGTTTAAGCTACATCGTTTATGGTATTGTGCTAATGGCAGCTCAAGCTGTCTAATGCAAAGGTAATCTATGTCAATTTTTGCGTAAATATCTTAGATAAGTTATGAATAATAACATTGTTGAATTCCCTGTTTTTCAAGAAGGTATAACTATCATTGTTGGGGGAGAGTGGGAGCAGATTATGTACCTTATTTCAAAGATGGTTGAAATCTAAGAAATTGAGAATAACCACAACCACAGAATGTATATCATTATTTCAGCACTTTTTTTAAAGCAACTCTGAAATTGGGATGTGACTTCTAATAGGTGAGATCTTAGATTACATCTGTGGTTTTCAATCCTAGTTGCATATTCAAATCACCTGGGGAGATTTTAACAAATATTGTTATCTTGATCCTACCCTCAGATGTTCTATTTAATTGGCTTGAGGTGGGGCCCAGGAATGAATCAGAGGGACCTAAGGAATAGGTAATTAAATTAATTCATTAGTTTGTTTGAGACAGAGTCTCACTCTGTCACCCCAGCCTGGAGTGGTGTGATCTCGCCTCCCAGGTTCAAGTGATTTTCCTGCCTCAGCTTCCCGAGTAGCTGGGATTAAAGACACCTGCCACCATGCCCGGCTAATTTTTGTATTTTTAGTAGAGACAGCGTTTTGCCATGTCGGCCACACTGGTCTCAAACTCCTGACCTCAGGTGATCCACCCATGTACACTTCCCAAAGTGCTCTGGGATTACAGGTGTGAGCCAGTGCACCAATAGGAATAGGTAATTTTAAAGTAATTTTTTAAACTCTCTGCAGGTGAAGGTAAATGTATAGCCAGGGCCAAAAATATTAAATTAGATAAAATATGTACAAATGTTTACTCTGGATTGAGGCTTCTTGTGAGGTTTATTAAAAAGTAGATCATTGGGAGAAAGATATCCCCTCAATGCTTATGACTAACAGCTTTTCAGCAAGCTATCGCTGATTAACTCATCACATGTGTTAGCTAGCTTCTCTGCTAGTTCACTGATAGATAAAGGTTAAAAGCAGTTGTGTCAGTCACCAGAATAGCTATGGATTAAAGCTAAAAAGAGCAGAGGGAATACAATGCTATGCAACAGAGAGCTGGAATACCATCAGGGAGCTTGTGGCTTCTCCTCACTTGATTTCAATAGGACCAGGTCTCTGGAGCAAAATACTAGAGGTGCTGAGAAACTGGTGGAATTCTACACTGTGTATCTCATGAGGGAGTGAACCCTTAGCAAAGAGTCGGAGGTTCAAATATCTTAAAAGGGGATTTAAAAAAAAAATTATTTTGTGGAGTGGTTGATTACAGAAATGACAATCAGGTGAGTAGATTTCCGACTAAAGTCAGCATTGTCTTGTCATGAAATTTCATGTAATGAAATTGAGCATGTTTCTGCTTAGGTACGTATTTTGCATCTCACCCTCTATGTTCTCATTGATCATGATGAAGTCACCTTTCAGAGACACCAGACACATACATGTGTTTGATGACAGTGGTTACTCTTCACTCTGTTAGACCGTGAATTGTTCAGATATTGTGAAAGTAGAACATGTGGTTACATTCAGGTATCTCCTTTCTCCAGCCCCTGCTACCCCACCCTGAACAGCAAAACCAAGAGTGTAACACTTGATCTAGTTTGACTAGTTCCTCCATGCTTTTTATTTTTCCTTTTTGCTGCAGGCTAATTTTCAATCAGCAGGTGCCTCCCCATAAAGTGGAACTGTTTTGTGTAAGCTGCATTGAATTCCTTAGGTTTGTCTGACTCTAAACCAGTTTGGTTCTGACAGTGAGAGAAACATGGCACTGATGCTGGTCCTTTCTGCCCAGGTAAACTTGATCCAGTCTGTTTCCGTGTTGCCTGAAAAGACCAAATCACTGCATTATTTAAATTCATGCCCTGAGATCCTGAAAGCAGAGTCTCAAAACTGCTAGAAAGCCTAACCTTTTAAAAATGTACATGCAAGACTACTCAGACCTAATTAAGTTAGAGCAAGCTCACAATGGTAAAGCCTCATTTCATTCTGCCTTTAAGAATTTATTTTTTCTTCCAGTCTTGCCCCTTCTAACCCAGCTTTACAGTTCCATGTGTTAAGAAGAGGAGAGATTTCTTTTATTGAAATACACTTTTATTGAAAACTCTTGGTAATATGATGAAACATCAGCAGTGAAAACAAAGGCAAAAGCAAATGAGAGACAGAGAGGCCTTCTGAGCTGAAGGGCTGAAACCGCCATTGCAGAGTATCGATAGGAGGATTGTTGTGGGGAAAGAGGTCTGACCTAACTGACTCCATCTTCCTTCCAACCTCCAAGCTGTCCTTGTTCTATTTTGGGCATAGGCTGAATTAACTTTGGGAGGAACTTACAGTTTAACTTTGAAACACAAACATTAACAGTCCTTTCCCAAAACAAACCCCTTCTTGCCTGTGGACTAGACTGCATTTGAAGGACTAATAAATTCACCACAAAAGTATAAATTATGGTTGAAAAGTCATGCAGCTGGATGCTACAAAATTCTGACTCTCCCCAAATTGCTCCTGGAGATAACATCACTATTATAAAACCTAAGATTAGTGCTTGAGATATTTCATAGAATCTACACCTGATGGATCAGCCGGCACCACCCAGGTAGATAAACTGGCTCATCAGGTCCTGTGGCCCCCACCCAGGAACCAACTCAGCACAAGACAGCTTCTACTCCCCGTGATTTCATCCCCAACCCAGCCAATTAACACTCCTACCTCACTGCCTCCTACCCACCAAATTTTCCTTAAAAAACGCTGATCCCTGAATGCTCCCGTAGACTGATTTGAGTAATAATGAAACTCCCATCTCCCATACTGGCCAGCTCTGCATGAATAACTCTCTCCATTGCAATTTCCCTGTCTTGATAAATTGGCTCTGTCTAGCCAGCAGGACAAGGTTGAACCCACTGAGCAGTTACAAGGCTATTTTGCCCATTCCTGAAACAATGTGTTACCATGGGACATACTTGAATTTATTTTCTGGATGTTTGCGAAGCACAGTTAACTCAGGGAGGAGCCATATGTCATTACCCAGAATCCATTCTAGAGGTAATCTAGAGGTTTCTTTTCTTTTTCTTTTTTTTTTTTGAGATGGAGTCTTGGTCTGTCACCCAGGATAGAGTACAGAGACACAGTCTTGGCTCACTGCAACCTCTGCCTCCCGGATTTAAGCAATTCTCCTTCCTCAGCCTCCTGAGTAGCGGGGATTACAGGCATGAACCACCATGCCTAGCTAATTTTTGTATTTTTAGTAGAGACGGGGTTTCATCATGTTAGCCAGGCTGGTCTGGAACTCCTGACCTCAGGTGATCCGCCTGCCTCGGCCTCCCAAAGTGCTGAGATTACAGGTGTAAGCCACTGGGACTGGCCTCTTTTACTTGCTTTTTTAAAGGCAAGGTCTTGCCCTTTCATCCAGGCTGGAGTGCAGTGGCGTGACTGTAGCTCACTGCAGCCTACAACTCCTGGACTCAAGGGAATCTACTTCCTCCTAAGTAGCTGGAACTACAAGCACATGCCACCACACTTGGTGTTTTTTACATTTTTTTTTTGAGACAAGGTCTAGTTTTATGGCCCAGGCCGGTCTCAAACTCCTGGCCTCTAACAATCCTCCCACCTTGGCCTCCCAAAGTGCTGGGATTATAGGCTTGAGCCACTGTACCCAGCCCCTAGATAGTTTTTCAAATTTTTGTGAGGGTGTTGTTTTCAAACAGAAATTCAAACCAAAACAGAAAATTTATGACATGAGGTGGCTAATCCATGAAGCGAAGGTATAGTTTCACAGAGCTAGAAGAAAACTTACTGAGGGTTTATAAAGCAGGGTACCAAATATATTTACACTAATTACTGTTCTGAGGGGAGATTTTATTATTGACTGCTTTGAGCTTTTGTTCTATTTGAAGGATAACATTTTTTGTTCAGGTGCTTTCGTTCAAGCTGTTACGTGGGAGATGGTCTTGCAGAGAGCCTTCTAAAAACAAATTTCAATTTCGAGGGAAATGAAATAGTAATATTAACATCAGTGCCATTTTTTTTTTTCTTTGAAACCCTGAAACATTTTTATTTTTAGAGACAGAGTCTCACTCTGTTGCCAGGCTGGAGTGCAGTGGTATGATCTCAGCTCACTGCAACCTCTGCCTCCCAGGTTCAAGCAATTCTCCTGCCTCAGCCTCCCAAGTAGCTGGGATTATGGGCACACGCCACCACACCCAGCTAATTTTTTACATTTTTGGTAGAGACAGGGTTTCACCATGTTGGCCAGGCTTGTGAATTCCTGACCTCAAGTGATCTGCCTGCCTTGGCCTCCCAAAGTGCTGGGATTACAGGCATGAGCCACTGGGCCTGGCCTGAAACTTTCTTTTTAATCTCAAAACAACATGGGAATATTTTTGCCATTACATATGCTTAACTTTTATAAACTAGAAACTTAACTCAAAAGCATCATTAAATCACATTTTATTGCAAATGAAAAATATACAAATATTTAAGATTTATACAGTTTCTAACATCAACAGCATAAACATGTGCAAAATAAAAGGCTTCATGAACAGTCTATTCAAAATATTTGAGAACATTTCATATATTCATATATTTTCCACAAAGCTTAATTGGAAGGGGAAAATAGCACTTAGTTCAGTTTTTCTGGTTTTAAGAACAATATTTGGAATAATTTTGTATTGGTGTTGAGATAGTATGATGAAATCACTTCTACTTGAATTATTTAAAATGAGATAACTTGAAAAATTGAGAAAAGATGAATGTATAAAAATAGGCATTCGATGGTCCTTAAGTCTCTAGTGGCAAGACTGTAAAAATTCAAATGTTGATTCAAAGAAAACTAAATTTTACCAAGTCCCTATAATCAGGCATAATGCCAGGTGCCTTCCATGTATTTAATACTTTAAAATATGTGTTAATTTCATTTGTTAAATCTAAAGGGTCTTACGAAAATTGTGCTATCTGAACTTATAATAAATAACCATTGACCTAAGAATAAAATTGTAAGACAAAAATAAAACGTATCTTTACAGAAGTAGGAAAATCTTTCCATTTGTCCTGTGTGACCACAGCTTTGTAATCCTTAATGACACACATGCAGATAGTCACACAATAAATCTTAAGATATCTACATGATGACAAAGTATTAAAATATATACATAAACTACCAGTTAAGACTAATAGTCTGACTATAGGGGTCCAGCATTTTATTCTTCCTTAGTCAATATTTTCATATTTGGGAAAATATTTTTTAGTGTTAGATTTGCAATAACATTTTGGTTTTTTAATGCATGTGCCCATCAGTGACTTTTATGTAGAGAGTTTTCAAATTTTTCATTGTTTCTCAGCATACTTCAACCATTAAATCTTTCCCAGTCATCCTCCTGGGCATGCATTCATGTCAACACCAGTTCATTTTCCCATCTAACATACACATGGAGCCTTGTGTCTGGGAATCTTTGACCTGGTCATAACGGACCAAGGGCAAACACTTTGTAAAAGGTGATACAAAGAAATGTCTGAAACTTTAATTTACCAGAACAGAGAAACACCAGAGTCTCAGGTTGGATGTCATGAAAAATGCCATTAATTTCCTTGCCAAGAAGGTGTCCTAAAGAGATTAATAAAGTTCTTAATATCAAAAGAAAAAATTTTTAAATTTCTGCAATTTTCAAATGCAACCTTATCAGAAGATACTTTTTTGGGTCAGGGTCTCTTGTCACCCAGGCTGGAATGCAGTGGGACAATCATAGCTTACTGCAGTCTTGAACTCCTGGGCTCCAATGAGTCTCCTGACTCAGCCTCTTGATATTTTTTACGTTTTTAAGAGAGATGGATTCTAGCTTTATTGCCCAGGCTGATCTCAAACTCCTGGCAACTAGCAATCCCCCTACCTCAGCCTCCCAAAGTGTTGGAATTACAGGCGTGAGCCACTGCCCAGCCAGAAGATACTTTTCCTACAAACTTGTGTTCATAGCTTATATATCTGATATACAAGTAAAGTAAAACAGCAATCACCAGAGTAAACACGTATTTGACCTGAGGTATCAACCTATGGACGTTCCATGGATTATCGATTTTCAAAAATTTAGAATGTGTTAGAATTGCACTCAACACTAAATTATGCTGAAAAGACTATAATGGCACATTAGGACCTTGCAGCTATGTCAGGTAGGTTGTCATCCTGAACATCAGTTAGTTTAATAACTGGGGAAATGCTGATTGAATTCTGAATAATAACGCTTACCATTATGACCTTGGGCAGTCTTGAGCTAGCTTAGGAACAAAAACCAAACCTAGTAACATTTAAGGTTAGAACAGAAAAAAATTCAGTCAACCTGAAATTTTTTTAATGAGAATCTTTTTGGTTAGAATTCTTGAGAAAAATAAGATTAGTATAAAAATAAGAGAGCCAATTCATTTTTGATAAAATCAATAAGTGACAGTAAATCTGTCCATTAAAGACCACCAAAAATGTTATTCCATCCATGCATTTGAAATGAGAGAGGAAATTTTTATAAAGATTTTAGTGTGCAAAAGGTGTTTTCCTGCAGTAGCCCCTGAGGTCTTGGTATTTTGCTTGCTAGGAAGTTGACTTTCTATCCTATTAGAATATACCTATTTTTTTTTTTTTTTTTTGAGACAGAGTTTCGCTCTTGTTACCCAGGCTGGAGTGCAATGGCGTGATCTCAGCTCACCGCAACCTCCGCCTCCTGGGTTCAGGCAGTTCTCCTGCCTCAGCCTCCCGAGTAGTTGGGATTACAGGCACGTGTCACCATGTCCAGCTAATTTTTTTGTATTTTTAGTAGAGACGGGGTTTCACCATGTTGACCAGGATGGTCTCGATCTCTTGACCTCGTAATCCACCCACCTCAGCCTCCCAAAGTGCTGGGATTACAGGCTTGAGCCACTGCACCTGGCCGGAGTATACCTATTTTTAATGGTTAGTAACTAATCATAATTTCCGTAATAAGGGTGGAAGTACCAAACTTCAAGAGAGCCATTATGATAATTTATTCAGATTTTTCACAAAGATTTTTCTAGTTGTTTCCAAACAGTCTGTGGAAAACTCACCCTTTAGGGATCAAACATTTGTGAACAATTGAAGTGTAGTATATAATCCTAAAATAATGTAGCAGTCTTTTACAAAAATCTCTGTCAACAAGAAAATATAACTTTTAGGATAACAGTAAAAGAAAGGAAAAAAAAAATGCAGATAAGTGACTCCAAAGCTGAATTCACCTGACTTCTACAGAAACTCCATTTTGTCTTATGGAGTTTGAGACAGACTTGAGTTAATTAATGGAACCTGTGAAAACAATCACATGTGCCTGTGTTTTTGTGAGAAGAAGACTGTTTCCTTTTTCTGAGGTCTTAAGTATTTTTCTCTTCCTCCGTTCTCACTCTTTAATTGGTAGTAAATTCCTATGATATATCAATAAGTTACAATTCATACGCTCTTCATGGGTGTGTGTGTTGTGTATTCTAGCCACTAACAAAGCAGGCTTATTTTTTTTAAATTTCTTTTTTCTTAAAATAACTGTTTAGCTATCTAGTTTTAGAAGGAAGGTGCAGAAGGGAGAACAAAGCACCCGTGATCTCACTTCTCAGTTTAAACAAAATTTTAAAAGCAAAAGCCCCTGGCCCTTTTTCTTCTTCTTTGAGACAGGGCCTCACTTTTCACCCAGGCTGGACTGCAGTGGCGCAATTTGGGCTCACGGCAGCCCCAACCTCTCAGACTTAAGTGATCCTCCCACCTCAGCCTCCCAAGTGGTCAGGACTACAGGCATGCGCCACCACGCCTGGCTAATTTTTATGTTTTTTGTAGAGACAGGGTCTTGCATTGTTGCCCAGGGTGTTCTTGGGCTCCTGAGCTCAAGTGATCTGCCTGCCTCAGCCTCCCAAAGTGCTAGGATTACAGATGTGAACCACCATGCCTGGCCTCTCTTCTCAGTTTTAATAATTTGAAATTATGACTCAACAGAGAATATGGCTGATACAGCATGTATCAGAACACTGCTAATTTTATATTAGTGAATAACTGTGAGTCTAAAAAGAGCCACCAAAGAAATGAAGAGCCACTGGCAGAGACAAATATATTGTGACCAGAAGAAGGAGATTATTCTGAGACACACATAGCTCTTTAACTTCTTTGATCCTTAGAGATAATTACAAAGTTTGTAGAAATGAAAAGCAGCAAAAGTCTTCTGGAGGATAATCAATTTGATTTTCAAATTCATGGCCAAAAAGATGGCATTTTTACTTGGCATCACATCTAAATTAGTTAGAACTGTAAAAATGCTAGTTTTCCGCTTCATAAATTAAGGAAAAATAAAATTTTTCGCGAACAAGCAAGCACTCAGAGATTTCATCACCACCAGGTCTGCTTTACAAGAGCTTCTGAAAGAAGCATTACACACAGAAAGGAACAACCAGTATCAGTCATCCCAAAAACTTACCAAAAGGTAAAGAGTATCTCCATAATGAAGAATCTATATCAACTAAAGGGTAAAAATAGCCAGATAGCATTAAATGACAATATTAAACTCACAAATATCAATATTAATCCTAAATTGAAATGGATTTAATGCCCCAGTCAAATACACAGACAGGCAAATTGAATAAAAAGTCAAAACCCATTGGTATGCTGTATCCAGATCCATGTCATATGCAAGGACACACAAAGACTGAAAATAAAGGGTTGGAGGAAGACTCACCAATCAAATGGAGAGCAAAAAACAAAAAACCAGGAGTTGTAACTTTCATCTCTGACAAAATAGACTTTAATAGTAACAAAGACTAAATGAAATAAAGAAGGATATTACATAATGGTAAAAGGATCAATGCAACAACAGGAGTCAGTGATCATAAATGTATATGCACCCAATATAGGAGCACCAAGATATATAAGACAAGTTCTTAATGACTTCTAAAGAGACTTGGACTCCCGCACAATAATAGCGGGAGACTTTGACACCATGTTGTTAATATTCGATGGATCAACGAGATAGAAAATTAACAGGAACGTCTATGATTTGAACTCAGACCTGGAACAAGTAAACTCAGTGAATATTTATAGAATTTTTTACCGCAGGTCCACAGAACATACATTTTTCTCAGTATCACATTACACCTATTTTGAAAGTGACCACATAATTGGAAGTAAATCACTCTTCAGCATTTGCATAGCATTTCACAGACTTAAATAAAATATTGGTTGGCTGTCTGTTATTTTCTTCCCTTATTCCTTCCTGTCTCCTCTGCTAAGCACAATTATTGGCATAAAACAGGTTTTTAATACCTATTTTTAGATTGCATTCCAGCCTGGGCAATAGAGCAAGACTCCTGTTCTCTCTCCCCCTTTCTCTTTCTTTCTTTCTTTCATAAAAAAAATAAAGAAAGAAAAATGCTAGCTTTCCTAGCAGTTCTTCCAAGAAGCAAGAACTCATTTTCTTCTTCATGTGTCTCATAGTGGTTAAAACTCAGTGTTTTTAGAGACTTCAGTCATCAGTTCTGCTAAACAGGGTAACGTCATCATTGTATCCTGGGGCTGAACACTCCAAGTTCTCTAGTAAAACATAATTGTTTTCACTGACATTCAGAGAGATGACTTCTTTCTTAGCAGTAGATGTAAGCTCGCTCCAAGTAATGTCAGTGTTTTTAAAAGCATGTAGAAGAAAGATGCCAATGATAATAGTGAAGAATCCACTCAGGGTCCCAATGATATCTCCAGCTGTCATGCCATACCACTCTTGGAATAAGACAGCAGAGCAAGTCACTACCATGGATGTGAAGAATACATAATAAATGGGTGTTACGAGAGAGGTATTAAAGGTGTCCAGTGCCTTGTTGAGATAGTTAATCTGTGTAGTTACTGAAAGCACAAGTACAGCCAACAAAACAAAGACCAGGGGATGTCTGTAAACTGGCTTCCATTCTATCAGCTCCTTAATGGCAATTCCCAGGCCTTTGACAGAAGAAACTGAAAATGCTCCAATCAAAGAACAGATTGAAATATAGATCAGTATATTGGTCTGTCCTTTCTTGGGAGCCACAATCAAAATCAGCACCAAGGCGATCACAGTTATGATCACAGCGAAGGAAATAAACCCTGTTAGGAAGATAAAATAATTTGACTTCAGAAAATGCTCATAGGATTATACCTTTCTGAAATCTTGTTAGTTATGAGTTTAAGAGCATAGGTATTTTAGAAATAGAAATGAGATCAAATTTAAAACAACATTCTATTGCATAGCTTTCAATATTTTACAAAGGACTTTCACAAATACTTAAATCTCACCAACACTATGAGCTAGGGCAAATATTATCAGATTAACGTTTTATTTTCAGAGGAAGAAAGTGGCAAAAATTTGATTTTGAATACATGACTTTTGCCTCTACTGTCCCTCCCTCTCCCTTTGGTTGTGTAAAAGGGGAAGCATGAAAACAAAAATAAGTTCTGCCATCTTTTCAGGAGAAATAATAATCAAACCTTACTGTATCTCACAACCCACAATATGGCTTGTAGAAAGCTTATTACAATATTATTACAAATACTATTTGGTGAGGAGAGAAAGTGAAGCAGAATTTGAGTGTTTCTTTAGGTTGAATCACAGACCTGGATCTCTCAATTTCATTTCCATTTCATGCAAAGAAGTGACTTCCTCTTCTTGTGGGGCATGGATAACCATCACAGTTGACCCCAATATACTTAATATGCAGCCTATTTTCCCATGAATGTTCAAGTGCTCATTTAAAAAGTAAGAAGATAATATCGCACTGTTGGGAGAGAAAAAAATTAAAGATCACTCTAGTTCAATTACCTTTTGATCCCACGGCAACTCAGAAGTCATACTGGTGGTACAGGCCACCATGTATCCCAGTGAGCTGGCTGGAATATGCTATATGACATGGAAAAACCTAGATTGGTTTGAAATTCAGAACTGACAGGCAATCAAATGTGCTTCATTTTTTTTTATATCTAAAGAGCTATAATATATATCACCATAATCTTCCAATGACCTTACAAGAGGTTCTACTCAAGTCATTTTCAATTTTTCCATGTTTTCCTGTAAAGCCAAGCAAAACAGAAAATCTTTTATATCTTACTGGCATGATACATTTAGAATATGTATGCCCATGGATGTTTCAAAGGAAGATATATTCCTAAAAATTTTTTTTTTAAAAAGAGAAAAAGAAGGGGAAAAAAAGAAAAAGAGGGAAAAAGGAATATTACTTCATTCCTAAAATGGGTTTCAATAATGGCCGATCAATATTTTGAGTGTTTAAAGTGGTTAATGCATATTTTATGTGTTTAAAATGGAGACCTCTATTATGTTTATCTGTTCTGGCTCTGAGTTCAAGTCCTGGATATCGTTATCAATTTGTTGTCTCATTGGATCTAAATCTCATTATGTGTCTTATGTATCTGGGTGTTAAGATCTCTTATTGTTAATTAATCCTTTTACCCTTGCATCCTTGTAGCTTTGAAATCTATTTTATTAAGTGTGAGAACTGCAACTCCTGCTTTTTATTTATTTATTTTTGCTCTCCATTTGGTTGGTGAGTTTTCCTCCATCCCCTTGTTTTGAGTCTTTGTATATCTTCAGATATATCGTTAGATTTTGTGGATAATGTATATTTTGTGTGTTTAAAATGGAGAGCTCTATTGAGTTTATTTGTTCTGGATCTTAGTTCCAGTCCCGGATATCGTTATCAATTTTCTGTCTCGTTAAATCTAAATCTCATTATGGGTCTTATGTATCTGGGTGTTAAGATCTCTTATTATTACATTAATCCTTTTACCCTTGTATCCTTGTAGCTTTGAAATCTATTTTGTCAAATGTGAAAATTGCAACTCCTGCTTTTTATTTATTTATTTTTGCTCTCCATTTGGTTGGTACTTTTTTTTTTTTTTCCAACCCTTTATTTTGAGTCTATGTATATCTTTGGATATACCACTAGATTTTGTCTGTATCTTTTGATTGGGAGATTTGGTCGATTTAAATTTAGGGTTGCTACCATTTGATATTAACTGGCTATTTTGTCCTTTCGTTGATAAAAATTCTTCTTTATGTTAATGCTCTTTACTTTTTGGTGTATTTTTAGAAAGGGTCATACTGGTTGTTCCTTTCTGTGTATAATGCTTCTTTTAGAAGTTCCTGTAAAGCAGGCCTGGTGGTAATAAAATCTCTGCGTACTTGCTTGTTCCTAAAAGATTTTATTTTTCCTTCAAATGTAAAGCTTAAATTGGCAGGATATGAAATTCTGGGCTGAAAGTTCTGTTGATTAAGTATATTGAATATTGGCCCCCAATCTCTTCTAGTTTGTAGGGTTTCCATTGAGAGATCTGCTGTAAGCCTAATAGGCTTACCTTTATGGGTAACTTGATCTTTCTCTCTGGCTGCCCTTAATATTTTCTCCTTCATTTCGATCTTGGTGAATCTAACGATTATGTGCCTTGGGGTTGGTCTTCTTGAGGAATATCTTTGTGGTGTTGTCTGTATTGCCTGGGGTTGAATAGTGTCCTGCTTTGCTAAATGAGGAAAATTTTCCTGGATAATGTCCTGGAGAGTATTTTCCAGCTTGAATTCATTCTCTCCGTCACATTCAGGTACACCAATCAAGCGTATATTAGGTCTTTTCACATAGTCCCATATTGCTTGGAGACTTTGCTCATTCCTTTTTATCCTTTTTTCTCTATTCTTGTCTTGTCGTTTTGTTTCATTAAGTTGGTCTTCGACCTCTGATACCCTTTCTTCTGCTTGATCCATTCGGCTGTTTAAGCTTGTACATATTTCACTAAGTTCTCGTGTTGTATTTTTCAACTCCATAAGTTCATTTGTATTCCTCTCTATATTGTCTATTCTTTTCAACATTTCATCGAACCTTTTTTCCAAGTTCTTAGTTTCTTTACATTGGGTTAGAACAAGTTCCTTTAACTCCCAGAAGTTTCTTATCATCCACCTTTTAAAGCCTACTTCAGATAATGGAACACAGTCCTTTTCCATCAGGGCTTGTTCCGTTACTGATGAGTCCTTTTCCATCAGGGCTTGTTCTGCTGCTGATGAGTCCTTTTCCATCAGGGCTTGTTCTATTGCTGATGGGTTCTGATTTTGAGTATACTCGGCCTTCTTAGGCTGTTTTTTTCCCTTCATTGTAGATGAACCGCCTTTCTAATTAGGTTTCTGAGTCGAAGTCCGACTTATTGATTCCCAGTGCTGGGATCCGAGCAACCCACTGTGGCAGCCTAAATAGCAGCAGTAAGACCGATGGTGCTCTTCTGCCCGGGAATCTCTGGTCTGGCTTCCCTCTTGAGTCAGCAACAAGCGGCTCTGACTTCCCGGAGCTCCAAACTCCGGTCAGTAGGGGAAGCAGTCCCGTTGGCTCTGCATGAAGAGCTGCTGCGCCGAGACGCCGGCAAAACTGCTGCGGCGGCCACAAGAGTCGTGCTGGCGACCCGTGGGGCTCCTCCACTGGGAATCAGGTAATCGGTGAGTGACGAATATTCGTCTAAAGATGTGGCGTCGTCTCGTTCTCTGAGCTTTCACTGGGAGCTACAATCCTGAGCTGTTAGTGGTCAGCCATCTTGGATTGATCTCTCTCCTAAAGAAAAATGACTCTTCCCAGGGCTAATAATCAGCTAGTTCATATCACTACAATCAAACGGACCAGTAGTGTCCAATACTTTGGCTTCCCTAGGCCACACATTAAATATACTAACACCACCAGGTGTGGTGGCTCACGCCTGTAATCCCAGCACTTTGGGAGGCTGAGGTGGGCAGATCACCTGAGGTCAGGAGTTTGAGACCAGCCTGATCAACATGGAAAAACCTGTCTCTACTAAAAATTGAAAAAAAAAAAATCAGGCATGGTGGTGCATGCCTGTAATCCCAGCTACTCAGGGAAGCTGAGGCAGGAGACTTGCTTGAACCCAGGAGGCAGAGGTTGCGGTGAGCCGAGGACGTGCCATTGCACTCCAGCCTGAGCAACAAGAGCGAAACTCTATCTAAAAAAGAAAAGAAAAAAAAAAAGAAAAAAATACACTAACACTAATGATAGATGATGAACTAAAGAAAAAAAATCACACCCACAAAAAATCTCACATTGTTTTAAGACAGTTTACAAACTTATGTTGTGCCATGTTAAGAGTCATCCTGGGCCACATGCAGCTGGTGGGCCATGGGTTAGACAAGCTTGATATAGACTTTCAAAATATCAAAATACGTCCTTACCACCTGCTACTGCTCTGATACTTAAACCTATCTGGTATTCCTAATGCTTCAGTTGCTGTGGCCTCAGGAAGCTCCAGAATCACACTACCATGGACACCAGAGTATACCATCTTGCTGCTCCACCAGTGTGCTTACTGTGGCTTCTGCACACCAGCCTTCTTCCTCTAATGCCCTGGCATCCCCATGAAGGCAATTAAGTGCCCATCTGTCCCCAAGATTATGATCAATTACTAGGTACTTTCCTAGTGTTGCCCTCATGTGGCCACTTGTAGGACTGCAGCCTTAGTGAAGACACGACTATTATTACTACGGATACTAGCTCTTTACTGCATAGCCAAGTGTTCTGCAAAGCTAAGAGCTTTGTGTGTATTCACTCACTTAATTCTCACAACAATCCTACAAAGAAGGTAAAAATAATTGAGTAGGCTCAATAATAAGTTTTCTACAAGAGGTTGATAATGAATAGAAAAGAAAAAGACGAGAAAAACAGGCAAAAATGTATATGCTTATTAAACACATTCATTTGGGATCATAATAAAGATAATCTCAGAAGGATTAGATCCACATTCCATGAAATGAGAAAGCTATTTCTGTTTCCAGTACTAAAACTAAGTATCTGGCCAAACAATGCAAGAATTTTAGTGAGAGTTGGAATTTAACCAAAACACCATGCTATTAAAAGTCCTCTGATAACTATGGTCATTAACCACTATGGACTCTGGCAATTTGTTCTGATGACAGACTTTAAAAATCTGCTATGCTTCACTGCATTGTTAAAAATGTAGCACACATTTATGTTAGTAGGAAATCAAACTCACTGTGTCTTAGGTTTTTAAAATAATATGACAGCTGATGTCCTATTTCTACTGTTATTTATAGTCTTCTCAAGTTATTTTTGTGATTTCAGGCAAGAAAAAGTATTATTCTCACTTTATGAATGAGTAAACTGAGGCTAAGTGACTTGTCCAAAGCTTCCCAGAAATGTCAGAAATGATTTGGGTTCATCTAGACTTTTAGAGCCCAGGTTGGTCTAGATTTGCGTGTTTGCTTTCACATATCCATAGTTGTATGTTTTTTATGGTTCAAGTTTATCTTGGTCTTAAAATACCTCTAGAAGCCAAGTTCCTTATTGCTCACATACCTTATGAGAACACTCAGAGCGCCCAGGGGGGTGACCAAGGTGGCAGGTGCAAAAGCATAAGCAGCAAAATTCGCAGCCTCTCCTGTTCCCACTAGAAAGCAAGCAGAGATACTGATATTAAAAACGGGCTCACTTGTCAGAAGAGAAAAACAAATGACTCATGCAAAGCAGTGGACTTGTAACCCAAATACATGGGAAGATCTAGCAAAAAAGAATGATATAACTTGTTTTATAGCAGGTAGGGATAATTGCTATTACGAGATGCAGACAAACTGTAATACCAGGTGATACAAACTCAATAGATGCAAAAAGTGGTGACAGATGAGTACCCATGTTAAATGGCTTTCAACAGAGATTTTTAGGTACTTCAATACTGAAGACATATTTGGTGACTCTGATGAATCTAGTAGAGGTAGCTTTGTAGTAAGCAGAGAATCATTTCACTTGCTCAAGAATACCACCAAAACTGGCTTGGAAAATTAGAATGCTTTAATCTGGGGTGTAGGTAGGGAATAGCCATTGGCCTAAAGTTAGATATAAAGTTAGTTAGCCATAAAGTTAGATATCCCTCTATTGTGAATGGTCTACAAGCAAGTAACAGTATCTCAGTAGCTTAAGGAGATCCAGGCAGCTGTTTTAAAGTCATGATATGCTCCTGAATGTAATCTTTTTCTCATCAGAGGAACTCTAGACTTGCATGAGATAGCATGCTGGAAATAACTTCTAGAGTGAGAGAAGCCCTTCAAGAGCTGGGCTCTTGTACTGAGGCCAAGTTATTCTCACAGAACACAGCTGGAAACTTGCCCACAGAATGTAGTATTTCATGCTGGCAACTACACCAGCGAATGCTTATCGTAGACAGAGAAAAGAACACCAGCATGATTTTTTCTTTGTACCTTTGTCTGGCTGGTTTGCTACATCCCCCCCAAATCTATAGGAGTACCCAGCACTAGGAAAACATCATTAAGCAAATCTAAACTTATAGAATAATTAAGACATTGCTCTCATAGAAAGAACCATGGCAAGGCCAGGCACAATGGCTCACGCCTGTAATCCCAGCACTTTGAGAGGCAGAGGGATGGATCACTTGAGGTCAGGAGTTCAAGACCAGCCTGGCCAACATGGTGAAACCCCATCTCTACTAAAAATACAATATTTTTAGTATGATGGGCATGGTGGCAAGCACCTGTAATCCCAGCTACTTGGGAGGCTAAGGCAGGAAAATCGCTTGAAACCAGGAGGAGGTTGCAGTGAGCCAAGATCATGCCACTGTACTCGATTCTGGGTGACAAGAGCAAGACTCCTTCTCAAAAAAGAATGAACCATGGCAGTTTTCTTGGAATATTAAGGTCTCCTTGGATACTTTACATTATTTATATTTTTATCTTTATAGATAGCTTTCCAGGAAAACATCGACTTCATAATTAGAGTACTGTATATCTGTCACTTACCTACTCTCTAACATATGCTTTTCTCTCTTTAATATTGACATAAACTTTTTTACATGGTGAAAATAAAATTGCAAATGTAGTCATATAATATTCTACTTATATTCTTATTGTAAAGTGTGGGTAGAAGGTGGGGAGATACAAGTAAGAGAGAAAAAGAGAATGATCCAACTATCTATCTGGAATCTTCCCAGACAGCCCTCTCAATTTTTATTCAAATAAAAATGTATGTAAAAGCACCCTAAAAACTGAAGGGGCAGTTGCGTGTGGTGGCTCATGCCTGTAATCACAGCACTTTGGAAGGCTGAGGTGGGCAGATCACCTGAGGTCAGGTGTTCGAGATCAGCCTGGCCAACATGGTGAAACCCCATCTCTACTAAAAATACAAAAATTAGGCGGATGTGGTGGTGTGTGCCTGTAATTCCAGGTACTCTGGAGGCTGAGGCAGGAGAATAACTTGAACCTGGGAGGTGGATGTTGCAGTGAGCCGAGATCGAGCCATTGCTCTCCAGCCTGGGTCACAGAGCAAGACTCCATCTCAAAAACAAAAAAAAAACCAAAACAAACAAAAAATAACTGAAGGGGCTATATATATTTAAGTTATTTGTATTAATCATCCTTTTAGATTTCACCACTTACTATAGAAAAGGTACCCAGTTCCTTCCCATTACAGGATCTTACAAATACTAAAATGTGTTGCTTGGTTTGGGGAAATTCAGGGAAGCTTTAAGACTCCTGGTCACAGAGGGAATTTATGATGTATTTTTGAGAGAGAGCTGTCGATTTGGGATTTAAGAAAGTTCATTCGACTTAGGAGGGAGACCGAGTCAGCAAAAGTGGCTGAGGGAGATGAACACTACTTTCTATTTGGACATCACATTAGCATTTAGACAGTGCTTTCAGATCCTGTAAAGTCTCATTTAATCCTCACAGCAGGTCCAGGAGGAAAGGGAGGGCTGACACCCCTCATTTCCTCTCCATTTGTTCAGTACCAAGCAGCCACAGAGGCCTTTCACTTAACTGTGGTGTTGTCTTGGCAAGGAAAATGTACTAGTTATTGAGAAAATATGTGGCTACAGTAGTCACAGGTTCAAATTAGGAGGTGGGAAAATATGAAAGAAAAGCACTTTCTCTGTTGTTATGGTGAAGAAAATACAAGAAGTCTGTGGTTACAATATAATATTTCAAAGGTCAACTTTTTCCCTTGCATTCCTGGACAGTACTGAGAACACAAGGGGTGGGAAATAAGAGAAAAAATTAATTTATGTGTATTAGGATATATAGGACAATATATTACACCAACACAAAAATTTTTAGACTTAAATTCCATCCTTGTTCCATTCTTGACAGGAAGATTAACCGATTTTGAAAAGTTTCATGTAATCTATTTATTATCTTACACATAAACAGTATTCTCAGTGTTAAAAACTTACTCGACAGCAATCCTGCCCACCAGAGCCATTCCTTCAGGTACGAATGTCCACCTTGTCCTAAAATGCAAAAAATAAAAATGAACAAAAATTGGATTCTACACTGGAGGAAGGTTTGAAGAATTGACTTCTAGAAAATACACTAGATTGGCCAGGCGCGGTGGCTCACGCCTGTAATCCCAGCACTTTGGGAGGCTGAGGTGGGTGGATCACGAGGTCAAGAGATCGAGACCATCCTGGTCAACATGGTGAAACCCTGTCTCTATTAAAAATACAAAAAAATTAGCTGGGCATGGTGGTGCGTGCCTATAATCCCAGCTACTCGGGAGGCTGAGGCAGGAGAATTGCCTGAACCCAAGAGGCGGAGGTTGCGGTGAGCCGAGATCGTGCCATTGCACTCCAGCCTGGGTAACAAGAGCGAAACTCCGTCTCAAAAAAAAAAAAAAAAAAGAAAAGAAAATACACTGGATTATGGTTTGAAAAGTTAAGTCAGTAAATCTAAAGTCTTTTAGCTTATTTACTTGGTCATTTACAAACCTTTTTTCCCCCAATTTACAATGATTTATTTAACAAATCCCCTAATGGATTAATTGCATTTAGATTTTTTTTCCATGTTTCTCTTATAAAATAGAGTGCTCTCACGAATCTCCCTGCACATACATCTTTGCAACAGTGAAGTGATTATTTCTCCAGGATAAATTCCTAGAAGTATAATTGTTGGGTAGGAGAAAATGTGTTTTTTAAAGAGCTTTATATATATTACCAAACTGCTCTCCAGAAAAGTTATGTCAATTTTTAAAAATAACCTGCAAATTTGATAGTCTTAAAATGATGTCATTTCAATCTGCATTTTTCTATGTTTGTTGCCCATTTTATTTCTTCTTTTATAAATCAGAAGTTCATTTTTAATTTGGGTTTTTTTTCTCCTGATTTTAAAAATAGATTTAGGGGTCCAAGTGCAGATGTGTTACATGAATCTACTGTAATGCCTGGGCTTTAGTGTATCTATCACCTGAGTAGTGAACAGTGTACCCAACAGGTAGTATTTCATCCCTCACCTGCTTCCACCCTTTTACCCTCCCACCTTTTGAAATCTCCAGTGTCCATTATTCTACTTTGAATGTCTACATGTGCCCACTGTTTAGCTTCCACTTATCAGTGAAAACATGCAGTTTTTGGTTTTCTGTTTCTGAGTCACTGCACTTAGGATATGGCTGCCATTTCTGTCTATGTTGCTGCAAAGGACATGATTTCATTTTTCTAATGGCTAGGTAGTATTCTATGGTGTGTGTCTATAATTATACCGCATTTTCTTTATCCAGTCCTCTGCTGATGGGTACTTAGGTTGATTTCATGACGCTTTTGTGAATAGTGGTGTGATAAACATATGAGTGTAGTGTCTTTTTGATAAATGATTTCTTTTCCTTAGATACCCAGGAGTGGGACTGCTGCATTGAAGGAGAGTTCTATTTTTAGTTCTCTGAGAGATCTCCATATTGTTTTCCATAGTGGTTGTACAAATTTACATCCCCACCAACAGAGTATAAGCATTCCCTTTTCTCTGCATTCTTGACAACGTCTGTTGTTGTTTGACTTTTAATAATAGCTATTCTGACTGGTGTAAGATGGTATCTCATTGTGGTTTTAATTTGCATTTCTCTGGTGATTAGTGACATTGAATATTTTTTTAAATATATTTGTTGGTCAATTGCATGTCTTCTTTTGAAAAATGTCTGTTCATATACTTCGCCAACTTTTTCATGGGGTTGTTTTTTTCTTGTAGAGTTGTCTGAGTTTCTTGTAGATTCTGGATATTAGACCTTTGTCAGATGCTTAGCTTGCAAATAATTTTTCCTATTCTGCAGGCTAGCTTTTTACCCTGTTGATTATTTTTCTTGCTCTGCAGAAGCTTTTTAGCTTAATAAAATCACATTTGTCTATTTCTGTTTTTGTTGCATTTCCTTTTGAGGACTTAGTCACAAATTCCTTGCCTAGGGCAATGTCCAGAAAGAGATTTTCCTAGATTTTCTTCTAGGGTTTTTATAGTTTCAGGCTTTACATTTAAGTCTTTAATTCGTCTTAGGTAGATTTTTGTGTATGGTCAGAGATAAGGTCCAGTTTCATTCTTCTATATACGGTTCTACAATTTTCCTTGCACCATTTATTGAATAGGGTAGGCTTTCCCTAGTGTATGTTATTTTCAACTTTGTCAAAGATCAGTTGGTTGTAGGTATGTGGCTTTATTTCTAGGTTCTCTATTCTGTTCCACTGATCTATGTGTGTATTTTATACCAGAACCATGCTGTTTTGGTTATGATAGCTTTGTAGTATAATTTGAAGATACTGTGATACCTCCAGCTTCGTCCTTTTTAATTAGGATTGCTTAAAACTTTCCATATTATGTTGCCATGTCACCTTTGTTTTTCCACAAAAGGTAAGTTTTTCTTAATTTGTAGGAAATTTTATTTAATCATCAGATTCACTGTGTTTATGTCAGTCAGAGGCGTGGACATAAATACTTCATTTTTGCTATGGTTAAAATTACAAACAGAAAATATAAATAGTAAATTACATTGGCACTAATGAGGACTGTAAAGGGAAGAAGATGGTTGACATAGGAGCTTTTGAGATTTTGGATTAGTCAATGAGAGAATAACAAGCATCAGGCAGATGCACTCTGCTGATTCTCTACCTTGGCATGCTGAAATCAAGTTTCTATCTAGTTTACTGAAAAAGACAAAAAGATTTTAAATTATTCAAAAAGTTATCTTCCTAATATTCCACTCTGTGACTTTAGGTCATTATATTTACTACAGAAAATGGAGTTTTCTTATCAATTTTAATATACTCAGCTCTCTGAATCTGACCTAATTGTTTTTGTTATAAACAGGATATATAGGCTATGAAGATTATTTTGCAAAGTAGTTATCTGTGCTTATTTCGAATTTTCTCCTTAAGAAATTTGCAAATAACTAAGTTGGAATTCTGTTACAACACTAGAACTGACTATTGTCTAGTTGGTATCTCTTTGGGCACTAGTGAAACCATATTTACTTATGTGTATTTATTGGTCATTTGCATTTCTTATTTTGTTAGTTTCTTGTTTATATGCTATGTCTATTTTCTGTTAGGGTACTAATTTTTTTCTTATTGACTGCAGTCACTTTTTTATATATTATGAAACTTAACTATACTTTGTCACATATTTCATCATATTCCCCTCAATATATCATTTGCTTTTTAGTTTCAGTTAAAGTGTTTCCATATAGAATGTTTGTCAATCTAGATACTTTCTTCCTTTATATAAAATGAATTCTTCCTTTATTTTTATGCTTAGAAAAACCATCTTTTAAGTTTTCTTTTAATAATTATTTTATTTATAAATTAAACTCTAACCTATCTGGAATGTATTTTGCTGAATGGTAGGAAGTAGAACTTCCATGTTTTTGTCCTCTAATTTTTCCTAATTGTCTCAATACTTTGAATGATTTGTCCTTTCTCCACAGGTTTGAAATGCCACTTTTAAAAGTAACAAATTCAGCTCATATACACTTTGGTCTGCTTATAAGTTTTAAATTGTCTTTGATTTTGTCTGCTTTAATGCCAGTATGAAATTGTTTTAATAGAGCATATAATATGTTTTCTTTTCTGATAATACAAATCTCATCTCATGGTACTCATTTATAAACTTGCTTGTGTAATTGGTAGTCATTGATTTTTTTCCATATGGATGTTAGAAAAATACTTAGGTCTTACTCTGGTTTCTCTTCTGATCCTATAAATCTTTCGCATTTTACTAAAAATTTTCGTTATTATTCTTGAAGAAAATGAAGTCATGGTTAATGAAGGGAGAGTCAGGCAGACCGTCTTAGCATCTTAAGTGTCACTATAAATAGCAGCCTAATTCTATTGTTATCCATTTATTGATTTAATAAATGTCTATTAGGTGCCAAACACTGCTAGGGAAGGTTCCTGTTTCTGAGAATCTACTATCAATAAGCAGGTAAACCTATAAATAAAGAATACATGTACAACTAAAAATAAAGCATACATGTACAACTAACAATAATAAAGAATACATGTACAACTAAAAATTATGCTAGGTATGGTGAGGGAAACTATTAATGCAGTGACAGAGAATAACGGGGTGGGGTGGGGAGACCTACTGTGAGAGGATGGTCAAGGAAGGCCTTTCTGGGGTGATGCTACTCACACTGAAGTCTGAAGGATGAGTCAGCTGAATGAAGGGCAGGGAGAAGAGTTCCAGGCAATGCGAAAAGACCTTGGGATGGGAAAGAACCAGACCTATTCCAGGAACAAGAGAAAAGTAGGTGAGGAGGAGAAAAGCAGAAGAGGAAGTTGGAAAGGTGGCAGAGATCAGAGACTGGAAGACACAGCCAACTCCATCAAGAAGACAGGGACTAAGATAAATGGAGGTAGTGAGTTATTATTACTGTAGCATTGTGGCCTTATGACAGGATGATTTCTGCAGTTAGAAACTTGAATTCACTAGTTGCATGTGTTTCTTACCAGCTCTAGTAACGCCCTTGCTGGCCAGTTGCAAGAGGCCCTTCTTTTTCAATATGAAGCTGGAGCCAATAAAAATACTGGAGCTTACTGCCAGTACCAAGCCCATATAAAGATTGTATTTGTCTTCTACATTTGCTGAAATGCTCAAGTTGGTTATGCTGGAATTCAGGTCCGTGTAGAGCATAGAAGCCAGCAGCTGTGACACATTTGTGATCTCACACCAAGCCTGGGAGGAGTTTGGACAGACCAAAGACAGCACATATCCTGGACAAAAGGAAAGAAGAAAATGTCAGAAATGAAAGGGAGAGGTATTAATGCTTGCTGGTTTTCTGCAGGGAACAGAGCCTTGAGTGGATGGTACTGAAACATTTTACTACATGCAGGGAAGTCCCTAACAGAGGCCTATAGACATTGTTAATTTGGCTAGCACCGGGTTTTAAAAATGATTTTCAAGTGTTTAGTTGTCATCATTTAAAAATGAGCAATTTTGCATGAAAGTGTGGATTCCTCCTATAAATTCAATCTGGCAAACCTTGTGTCTTTGTTCTGGTGAATCAGCAACTTGGAGCAGCGAATAACTGTTCTGACCTGGCTGGTGCTCAACAGTTCATCACAGCCCATCACATCCACTTCACTCTGCATCATCAGCCTGGCTATTGGAAAGCAGGGCTTGTGAGGCCTGAATGTGGGGAGAAGGCATAGTAACCTCACTCTAGGAATCACACTGCAAGAAATCTGTTGGCTGAGTGTGGTAGCTCACACCTATAATCCCAGCATTTTGGGAGGCCAAGGTGGGATGACTGCTTGATTCTAGGAGTTTGAGAGCAGCCTGGGCAACATGGTGAAACCCTGTCTCCATAAAAAAATTGAAAAATTAAAATTAACTGGGCATGGTGGTACACGTCTGTTGTCCCAGCTACTCAGGAGGCTGAGGTGGGAGGATTGCTTGAGCTCAGGAGAATGAGGCTGCAGTGAGCTGTGATTGCACCACTGCACTCCAGCCTAGGTGACCGAGCAAGACCCTGTCTCAAAAAAGAAAAAAAGGAAAAAGAAATTGGCTGGGCATGTTCTCTTACTCCTGTGATCCCCAGCTCTTTGGGAGGCCAAGGCAGATGGATCACTTGAGGTCAGGAGTTCGAGACCAGCCTGTCCAACATGGTGAGACCCCCATCTCTACTGAAAATACAAAAATTAACGGGGCATGGGCATGATGGTGTGCATCTGTAGTTCCAGCTACTCTGGAGGCTGAAGCAGGAGAATCACTTGAACCTGGGAGGTGGTTGCAGTTAACTGAGATCACACCACTGCACTCCAGCCTGGGTGAGAGAATGAGACTACTCTGTCTAAAAAAAAGAAAAAAGAAATCTTTCTAACTCATTTGTAGGGTATGAGTCATTTGGTGGGTGTGAAGAATATATTTGAGAAAACACGTTTTAAAAGTGGGTTTAGTTTTCTGTACCACTTTCCCTGATTTTTCAGGTTTATTAATTCACTTTCTCCTAAAGAAAATAGAATCTAATAAAAAATGAATTAAATATCATTAGGCTTTTTAAAGGATAAGATTCAAAGAAGCATGTAAATCCCCTGAACCAGATGTATTATTATAAACATATTGGAATTTTGAGGCTAAACACTAAAACACAAAATGAAAACGTTTTACTATGTTATTAATGAAAACTATGTAAGAAACTTTTTATAATCAGATATGATTTTGGAATTCAATTTTTAGAAAAGGTTTACATTTCAAAAATCTTAAGAAGGCATATAAGCAACAAAAGACAGTTTGATCAAATGATGTCTTAGTAACAAGACTTCCATAAGTGGACCTATGCACCTCTGGCAAAGCTTCATGCAGCCACCTGAATTTTACCACATTCAAAGTTAAGAAACACCCATGAAGTTCAGGTCTGGAAAATAATAAAATAACATAATTCAAGGTTTTCATGAATTTTATTTTATTTATCTCTGTAATTTCAAAATGACCCAACTTTGTTTCAGAAATCCAGAATAGTTGGACATGGTGGCTCACCCCTGTAATCCCAGCACTTAGGGAGGCAGAGGCTGGAGGATCGCTTGATCCAGAGTTTAAGACCAGCCTGTGCAATATAGTGAGACCTCCATAAAAAGGAAAAAACAAAACAAAGAAACAGAACTCCAGAATAAACTCAAAGTCAGAACAAAATATTCTAAGGACAATTATATTACTTCAGGTTATTCTATAATACTGGAGAATTTTCAGGCTGGCTGTTTTAATAAGAACTGTTGCAAATTTTCTTTTCCTTTTTTCTGAGACAGGGTCTCACTCTGTCACCCAGGCTGTAGTGCGGTGGTGCCATCATGGCTCAGACCTCCTGGGTTTAAATAATCCTCCCACCTCAGCCTCCCAAGTAGCTGGAACCATAGGCATGCACCACCATGCCCAGCTAATTTTTTAAACTTTTTGTAGAGATGGGGTCTCACTATGTTGGCCAGGCTGATGCTGCACATTTTCAAACAAGCCGGCCCTTAGCAATATTGTTCCAAACAATGTTTATCTCATCTAAGCCTCATGAAGGGAAAGTGATTAAGTATATTTTTGTAAGAATTTTGATTACATTCATTCCTGAGAAAACACTGAACCTGACTTACTAGTAAATTCCATGGCTGCATACATGTAATTTACTATGCAGTTAACAGAACCATTCCAAAACTTCTTCTCTGAAATCAGTGTGGGTGGATCTCATTCCAGTGAAACAATATTCCTTCTAAGCTGTTGACATAGCAAAATGGTTCTGACATTGTAGGGGGTGTGGGAGCAGAGGGTGATAAGGGAGAGCAAATGATCGCAGTTGGATTTTGCAAGTTCTCATTGTAACTGGCAGGCATGAATGCTCCAAGTTTTATGGCAGGAAAAATAATAAAAATCTTGTCTGGTTACTGACCTTAGAACTTAAATTGTTTTATGCTTTGGGAACATGTTAGGGAGAGAGCCTGTGGCAGATATGACTGAAAGAGGAAAGAAAGGATGAGTTGGTGGGTGTGGAGTGACCTACGGGAGAAGGGGAGAGATGGGTAATGAAGGGTGTGTGGGCAGGGAATCTGGAGTATTTTAAAGGATTCAAAGCTATCTCAAGTCACAGTTGGCTTCTCAAGATTCAAGTAAGCACAGTAATTTTCCAGGGAGTTTAATCTAGACTTTATGCCACAGAAAGAGAACATCTACTACATTAATTATTTTTCAATTTAATAGACACTATCAATAGTCCTTTAAAGTGACTATACCAATGGATACTCTTGCTAGTCAGGAACATGTCTTTCTTCTTTGATGTTATTTTTCTAAATAGAGTAATGAATATTTAGGAAATATATGTTTTATATATATATATATATTTAAATATATATGTCATATGTTATATATATTATATATTTCTTAAATTGGCTGGTTGATACATTGGTGTACATATTACATTGGTGTATCTATCTATATATATACACATACCAATGTGTATATATATTGTGTGTATATATATATATATACACAATGTGTGTATATATATACAATATATATGTATGTATATATATTGTATGTGTATATATATATACATACAATATGTATGTATATATATAAATATGTGTGTATATATATACAATATATATGTATGTATATATTGTATGTGTATATATAAATATGTATGTGTGTATATATATACTATATATGTATATATATTGTATGTGTATATATATACATACAATATGTATGTATATATATAAATATGTATGTGTGTGTGTATATATATATATATACACACACCAATGTGTCAACCAGCCAATTTAAGAAATAAAACATCACCCCTCAGAGTTAACAACTATCCTGATTTTCTCTTTAACATTCTTTTGCTTAAAAAAATGATTTTCTCCATATATCTTTAAAATGTTTTGCCTCTTTTTGTACCTATGAAAATGTAATGATAAAGTATTTCTTTGATGACTTGCTTGTTTTTGAATTTCATCAAAACATGATGCATGTGGCTGCAGGGTTTGTTTTCTCCCCACTGCTCTAGAGAATTCCACTGTATAACTTTCACTTAACTAATTTTTCTGTTTTATACTTGGTTGCTAGTTAAGTAGTACTCCTAATGTTCTTATATTATGTTGAACTATATGAAATTGATGATAACTGAAAAATTTCAACCCTATGACAAGTAGTTTCATATGGTTCAACCTAATACTTATCTCCTATGTACAGGTGTAATAGTTTACATACATACACCTTTAAAATTTAAAAATGAAGATCTATTATCTATAATCATGGGCAAGCTGAGTAATGGCTCTTGGTTTCAGTTTCCTCATCGGTAAAATAAGGGACTTTGACTCAATGATTCTAAAGTTTAATCATAACCTGTCTTTGTTCTCAGAATTACTTACAATACTGGTATCTCATGAATGTTCTTGATGGACCAGTTCTGAACTCACCAGGCACTGATAGATAGGAGACATTTTAAAGAAACTGATGCCAATATATTAAGTGACACTGACCAAAGTTATGTAACTGCTAAAACCAGGACCAAGTAACCCAATTCCTAGCCAGCATTCTATTTCAGAAAACTATATAAAGTATAAGAAAAGCCAGTTGAAAATGTATCATTAATGCTTATATAAGGATGAAATGCTTTAAATAATTTGTCAACTATTTGCCTATAGAGAATAAGAATATAAATTTAAATAATAATCTAAATTGTCCAGTTTATTACATGGAAGAGAAATCTCGTTTTAAGAAAGTGATTGCCTAGAATTACATTTTCAATCACTGCAAGATATTTCCAGGTGCGGGGGTGGGGTGGTCTCACCATCTATTCTACTGTGATAGTTTAGATTATTATTCATTCAACATTCAGTCCCTTACCCTTTCCAGTGTGGGTAAAGGTGCTTCACCTGATGTTGGGCTGGAAGTAATTTGGTGGCCAGTGGGATGCCAGCAGAGGTGATATGAAGCTATATTTAAAAAAATGCTTATGAGGTTGGGTTTACTCATTTGCATCTCTGTAATTCCCTGAGGAACTGCTGTCCCTTCAGCCTCAGGACCCAAATGAAGACATGTGGAGCAGATGTGACCTCATCTCACACAAAGGAGCCAAACCAAGGTGGATGTGTAGCCTGAAGCAGAGATACACAGGTGAGCCCCATCTAGATCAGTCAACCTTCAGTTGACCTAGAAACCTAAGCAAGAATATATGACACATTGGCCTGTTCTTAGTAGCAGAGGAATAACTGAATGAAATATCTTTATGTCTGTTACAATTTATTCTCCAAACACTGACCAATAGGAACCAGGTTACATCACTCCCTGGCTTAATCCTCCCTGTCCCCTGTCATGGTTTTTCATCTCAACTTATAAAAAAAACCTCAATCCTCACTAACTTTGAACTTTTAAAGCTTCCCATACTCTGAAACTGGCTTGTTTCTGACATCATATTGCATTACTCTCCCTCTCACCCCTCTCCGAAATACTAGTTTTCTTTTCTTCATTCGATAAATATGTATTGTGTACTACCTGTGTCACCCCAGGCAAAGTGGCTGAAGGCAGTTTCCTCAACCCCTCAGGGTTTCTGCTTTTAGACTTAGCAGAAAGGCTCTTTTGTTTAATCCTGTTTGAAAAAAATATTCCTTGATGCTGCTTTTACTACTTGCCATGGCACTCTTAACATATGTATAGTTGTTTGTTTGTTTATCCTATCTGCCCTCACTGGAATATAACAGTCTCCAGCTGTCTAACCTCATTCCCTACTATTGCCTTTTCTTCTGTTCCTTTTATAGAATAAGTTCCTTCTCACTTTAAGCTTTTATAAAAGCAGCCTCCCTGACCCTTTTACAGAGTGCTGGCTGGCATAGCTAGCTTCTTCTCATTTAAGTGAGAGGACTGAGCAACTCAGAAAGGCCTTTCCTGCCTTCCCAATCTCAGTCACTTTCCATCACATAACCCCATTTAATGTTCCCAAATAGACTACCTCATACTTCATTACAGATTTATAACAACCTTCATACATGTTTGAATTTGTTTCTTTTAAAGATAATTTTGGATTAGAGACTCTTTTGAAGCATCTATAGCTTTACAAGTCAAAACCAGTGCCAGGTGGGTGGCTCATGCCTGTAAACCCGGCACTTTGGGAGGCCAAGGCGGGAGAATCACTTGAGGTCAGGAGTTTGAGACCAGTCTGGTCAACACAGTGAAACCCCTTCTCTATTAAAAATACAAAAATTAGCTGAGCATGGTGGTGCATACCTATAGTCCCAGCTACTCAAGAGGGTGAGGCAGAAGAATCGCTTGAACCCGGGAGGTGGAGGTTACAGTGAGCCGAGATTGCGCCACTGCACCGCCATCCTGGGCGATGGAGCGGGACTCCACATCAAAAAAAAATTCAAAATAAAAGTATGAAATTAACTTTTTCTTTGCGGAAGTTCAACTGGAATGCTCCATCTTCAGATCTCATGACTGACCTCTTGTCATCTGGGTCTCAGCTTTAATATCAGCTTCTTAAGAGGTTTTCACTGAATACCCAATCTAAACCTCCCTACACTCTCATTACTGCTATTATAATGACCTTTTAAATTACTTTGTTTCTTGCATAGTAGCTGCCATCTGAACAGTAAGGTGCACGAGAGTAAAACCTAGTCCTAGCGTCTAGGTCCAGACTGTCTTGCAAATCCCTCTATCCTAGCACCTATCCTAGTGCTTGGCATATGGAACTCTTGTTATTTGAATGAACAAGTGAAAAATTGAATCTGTTTACTCCACATCAAGCTCTGAGTGGTGTACTTCATTTGTAATCCCACCTGCACCTACTCTTCACAACTGTGAACTTGAGGGATGAGCCCCAATTTATAGACAGGCTCAAGGCTCAAGGAAGCTAAATTACAGCTCAGACTGTCTGATGCCAAAGCCTAATCTCTTCCCACTACTAATAAAGTACATTCAGATTTCTAAGTCTTTCCCCACCAGCTTTCCACACAATTAATTACCATGGTTAATCACAGGTGCTAAGCCTGGAGCTTAAATGTTTCTTGTTGGAACTAAATGCATGAGCAAAGCAGGAAAAACACCCGGAACTCAAACAAGTGGGTATAATTCATACACCCTCCTTATTTACAGATCCTTGGGTAAACAAAGATGGGTGTGTTAGTAACCGTCTGATTTGCTGGTTTAGAAAATATTTAGAAAAAGGGCACACAACCTGACTCTCTAGGAAATAATTCTAGATTCAGCTGCCTTACAATTTTTGTTGTTTTTTTAAGTTTGTGATTTGTTAAGGCACTTTCTTTTTTTGAGAAAAACAGACAAGGAAATAATTCTAGATCCAGCTGCCTTTAAAATTTTTTAAATAGTTTGTGAGTTTTTCAGGCATTTTTGCTCTTTTTGAGAAAAAAAAAAAAAGACTAGAAAATAATTCTAGATCCAGCTGCCTTACGTTTAAAAAAATAGTTTATTACTTGTTCAGGCATTTCTCTTTTTTTTGGTGTCCCTTCTCTTCCTTGTTGGCATAGTTTTGACGAACTCACCTGTCAAAAAGGAATAACCTGGAAGAGCCTCTCCCCATCAAGGAATAAGCTGGAAGAGCCAACAGGGGAGGAAACCAGGGAAGTTGCGAGCACTTTTGCAAAGATGTGTACATATATACATATCTATATATGTAAGGGGACTATTTCTACGTATGTGTGTCTTACCATGCCATTCACTGCCTCCCTTTCCCTTTACTGCATTACCAGGTAAATTTAAAAGGTGCTTTCCCCTTGGCACGGTGAAAACCATCATTTCAATGGATCTACACCCTTCTGGACGCTCCCTCTACCCGATTTCCTACTTTCATCAGAGCCTTCTATATGGAGAATGCAGAAAGCCCACCAGTGTTGTGAACTGGTGAGCTTTCTGCAGTTCACAGCTGAAGGGCAAGGAGCCTCGCCCAGAGATTTCACAGGGCTCAGGCGGGAGCTGAGATCCCATCCCAGGAAGCAGTGAGAAGAGCCTGCCAAGGAGTGCTCCCGGTTCCTGGTTTCCTCTCCAGTAGGGCTCTCACCTTAAGCAGTGACTGCACAGCGAGTCAGACTGGCTCGTGGGGTTGGAGACATTGTCACCTCCAACGAAGAGGAGAGACGTGGACGGCCCAGACTTGCCCAGCGCCTAACCCCGCGGCCCTGGGCGCCCGACCTCTCGCGGGGCTAGATACCCGGGAGCCAGCGCAGGACGCAGCGCAGGACTCCCACGTCCCCCCACCCCCGAGGCAGACACGCCCTCTGCCCACCGGGTGACTTCGGCCGCGGACTCTGGAAGTAAGCCTGAGTCAGAGGAAACGTCCTTCTCAGAGGGACTCGGGATTCTTCCCAGAGCATCCGGAGTTTCCCCGTCCCACACGCAGCACGCTGTACTTTACACGGGTCGGCCTAGCGAATCGCGTGGGAGTCCCATCTGCTTTATTCCACTCAGGTTTTCCAGCACAGCCCGAATCCCCTAGGCACCCGTAAATAAGTGTTGAACGCCTGGCTGGACGGCCGACTGACTGAAGGAATGACTGAGTGAAAGACTACGTTCAGAGTCGGTACATCCCCCCTTTCCAGTCTACCCAAGTCTCCGGGGCCCGCCCACCCGGTCTCTTCGCCGCCCAGACACCAGGTCCCTCGGCTCAGGGCAGACACAAACCTTCTCGGCAGGGCTCTCCGGGCGGCAGCCTCACCTGTGCCCCCATGGCCCCGGGACGGGGGTTCCCGAACGCGGGCGCTGGCTCCTCACCTGGGCCTCTCCTCCCTGTGGACCCGCGGCGGGTGCGGCTGCGGGGTCCGGCAAGGGGCGCCCTGACCCCGCCCCCGGGGCAGCCTCCGCCAATGGCTTTGGCCAGGCGGAGCCTCAGAGCCGGGCGCGGCCCAGGGGTTGTTAGGCACTTTCAGAGCTCCCGCAGGGCTGTGGGCTGCCCGGGATAACTCGTGTATCTGGCCGGAGGATCAGCTGCCCCTCCGCGCGGCTGCTGGAGGAACTAGAGAAACACAGACACGCCTCACAGGCCAACGGCGTCTCTCGGAGCGTGGAGCCCGCCAAGGCAACTCCGGGTAATTGAGTGGAGTGGAGGCTGCGCTGAGGCTCCCTTCTGGCTCCTCTCGGGTCAAAAACTCTCCCGCGCTAGATTCTCAGAGCCCTGCTGCTTTGGGAAGCCTTCAGGTGTTAGTTGCTTCGGGCGGAAGCTGCTGACCGCTGGGATTCTGCGCCGACTGCTAGACTCTTTTATTTTGGGGGCTGCAGAGCAGACTTTGCTCTACTGTGCTGTTACCAGCTTCTGTCGCTGTCCGTCTACGCCCCTTACATCCACTCCCATTCCGTCTCCAATCAGCAAGCAGCTCCTCCTACCCTGCCCAATTATCTGGGTCATAGAGATATTTGAAATAAACCATTAAGAGAAAAGCAATCCTTAATCTGGAAAGACCTATTCCCACAAATTATTAATATTTATGATATCCTTGCTGTATCACACATATGCAGGCACATTATGTCTTAATTAAATCTCACCGCTCAGTTTACAGATATGGGATTAGAGACAGAGTGAAGTTAAGTAACCTAACCAAGGTTGGAAGACTCGATAGTAAGTATTTATGCAACAGGGAGTGGGCAGGGCTGGGGGAGGTGGCTCACGTCTATAATCACAGCACTTTCGGAGGCTGAGACTAGTGGCTCGCTTGAGTACAGAAGTTCGAGACTAGCCTGGGCATCATGGTGAAACCCTGTCTCTACAAAAATTAGCCAGGTGCGGTGGTACGCTGCTGTAGTCCCAGCTACCTGGGAGGCTGAGGTGGGAGGACGGATGGCTTGAGCCCAGTAGGCAGAGGCTACAGTGAGACATGATCACACCACTGTACTCCAGCGGGGGCAACAGAGTGTGACCACGTCTCAAGAAAAAAAAAAGGCAGTGGCGGGGTTGGGGGACAATTCGGGCTCAAACCCTCACCAGGGAGAACTAGGGTACCTTTGTGTTCTGGCATTTTAAGGCTAAGGAAAATACTCTCACGTATTCAGGTAGCCTTTGTTCTAGGTAGGCATGAACAGTGCTATTAATTTTATTACCTAAGAGTTTCATAGCAGAGGCCCCAATCTTGCTTTTCTTGTTCTTAGACTGATGAGAGAAGAGCTTAGTACAAATTAGTCAACATACCAATCCAAGGCACACACTTGTAATACATGTGGATGACTTTGCAGAGAAGGAATACCATGGAGAGTGGAATAGGTGAAAGTGAAAGGGAGGCAGATTTATGTCAATTTTCCATAACAAGGCTTAAACCTTAGACTTCTACTTAAACATTTTCTTTGGATTTCCTGCTTAAAATTTTGTCTTTATCAAAGATTGGTCATGATAGTAAACGTGATCTAAGTTGCTTATATTTTATTTAACAAACACTTGTATAGCATGTGGCAAGCACTTTTCTAAGATCTTTATAAAGATTTGCTTTGTAAATCTTCACAAAAATCCTGCAAGGTAGACACTATTACCCCCACTTTACAGCTGAGGAAATGGAGGCATGCAGAGATTGAGTAACTAACTGGACTATGCACACCCAGCCAGTAAGTGTGGAACCAAGATGCCAACCAAAAAAGTCAGGCTCCAAGTATGTGTTCTTAACCCATTTGGTAATTGGACATTAAAAAACAAAAATACAGACTTAAAAAAATGTATCTTATTGAGTTCCAGTTGCATATTAAGGCCTATTTTAGTTAAGAGGCATTTTGTTGTAGTTCTTGCTTTACAATTCTGAAAATAAAAACATTCAGAAAAAAATATTTAAACTCATTTAAGATCACTGTTTTTCCAGTTTAAATGTTGTCTAGCAGAAATATATAATGTATTTTCCTTTACTGACAATTTCTAGATGACTTTGGAGATTATAGTTATAGTACCACAGACTATCTTGAGTGACATAAATTTAGGGGATATTTATTCACCTCCAAAAGCATGCTGTTTAACTAAAAGAAGAGCATTAAAAAAAATCTCCAATTAGCCCATTCTTTAATTCTAGGAAAATTCCTCTTTTGACTCAAAAATTAGAATGAGATTCTAATGAATCTAATTGAATGAAACCCTCTAAAATGCCAACTCCTGTTTCATTGGTCTTTGTGCTAGGACACTTAGACCCAGGGCTGATGGTCAAAATAAGTAACGATCAGAAGAGCCTTAGAACCTCAAGGCACAAGGCCACAGGTCTTTTGAGCTTGGGTAGATCTGGGAGGGTTCCTGCTGTGTAAAGGTTAACCCCTCAGTTGCTACATTGTGGGGAGGTCTTTGGTTTCTGGGGCAATGGATAAGATGACTAGACAAGAGGGGTGGTAGCTGGAAAATTAAAACCACCTTTGCAAAAATCAGCACTGAAAAACTTTTAACAGTAAGCTGAGCTAATTCATCTTTCATCTTGCCTTTCCCTTAATTATTCCTGGGTTATTGGGCTGTGAAAGGAAAATAAATCTTGGAGCCCCCAAATCACTAAGCTAAAGGGAAGAGGGAAGCTAGAAACTTCTTAGGGCCAAACTGCCTCCCATTCTATTCAAAGTCACCCCTCTGTTCACTGAGATAAATGCGTATATGATTGCCTCTTTGGAGTGGCCAATAAGAAACTCAAAAGAATTCAACAATTTGTCTCTTATCTACCTATGACCTGGAAAGTTCCCTCCCTGTTTCCAGTATTCCTGCCTTTGCTTTGAGTTGTCCCACCTTTTCAGACAGAACCAATATTCATCTTGTATATGTTGATTGATATCTCATGTGTCCCTAGAATGTATAAAGCCAAACTGTGCTCTGATCACCTTGGGCACATGTCATCAGGAACTCCTGAGGCTGTATCATGGGTGTGTGTCCTCAACCTTGGCAAAATAAACTTTGTAAATTAACTGAGACCTCTCTCAAATTTTCAAGGTTTACATTTTGGTAACCACAGAGGGATTCTGAGTGGAGATGCCCCTGACTTTTGACAAATCTCCTATCGGTGCTTGGTATCAGCATGAGCTAATTTTATGGCTCAAACCAATAGGACAATTTGCTAAGATATGAGAGCACCCTGATGCTCAGAGAGAGAGAGAGAGAGAGAGAGAGAAAAGGGATGCTCAGCACCCCTGATGCTCTTAGATAATCCCTGAGTTCCCAAAATTTAGTCAATATCTAAAGTTTATTTTGCTGTACAACTCCTGTTTTTTGGAGTTTTACTTGTTTCCATCAAGAAAGTCAAGAGTTCCTGTTTCCATGACATTGGAAGGCAGGTAACTCCTTTATGGAGTTTGGCTCACTTCCAAAAAGGAAGAAGAGTGTTCCCCCCCCCGCCCCGTTTCTAGGTTGGTCAAGAGCAGTGTACAGCCTGAGACTCATCCCTAGGTAAGTACCTGAATTGGTTAAAGTTAAGATTAACAACGAACTGGTCTTAATTTCTTCTTACCATTAGAGCATTCAGTGATCATGTAAATAGTGCCATTGTTTGTTTTGCTTAAATTTTTTTTTTGCTGTTGTTTGTTTGTCTCTGTTTTTATTGTTGTTTTGGTCTTTTTTCCACTGGGTTTGATCAGCGCTATCCAACTTGATCAAATCCAAAGGAAAGTTCCAGATTATGGGGAAGAAAGTGGCTAAATTCTCAAAAAAAAAAAGAAAAGAGGAAAGATTTTTGATTTTGACTTCTAAAGGGGCTTTATTCATATAATGCCACATTTTTGTTGGCTAGGCATCTGTGACATCAGAATGGAGAGCTGAAATGTTCGTGAATATCAAGCAGAACAGAAATTAACTGTATATACTAAACTAATAGAAGTCCAAAGTAATCTTTTTAATGTTTTGCTTAAAATGTTGCTGATCCTTTGTTTTGTTTTTCAAAGTCAAGAAAACTTTCGGCTGGGCGCAGTGGATTAAGCCTGTAATCCCAGCACTTTGGGAGGCCAAGGCGGGTGGATCACGAGGTCAAGAGATCGAGACCATCCTGGTCAACATGGTAAAACCCCATCTCTACTAAAAATACAAAAAATTAGCTGGGCATGGTGGCGTGTACCTGTAATCCCAGCTACTCAGGAGGCTGAGGCAGGAGAATTGCCTGAACCCAGGAGGTGGAGGTTGTGGTGAGCTGAGATCGTGCCATTGCACTCCAGCCTGGGTAACAAGAGTGAAACTCTGTCTCAAAAAGAAAAAAAAAAAGAAAGAAAAGTTTCAAGCTATTTACAGCTTTTAACAATTAAGTATATTGCTATGAATAAAATTCAGAGCATATTTGTTTCTCTGTACCTGATTTCTACAGAATTTGGAAACTATTTGTAAGTATTCTTACAGCAATATAGTTATTTGCATAAGTGCAATAAGAATCTGTTTTCATTTGTAACAGGACACAATTAGATAAATTAGTTAGTTTACCAAAGCTTTTACTGGAATAGTGTGTTTTACTTTAAGGAATCAAACTTGACTTAAGGAACCAATAAAAGCCCCTTGGGAAAACTGGCCTCATACCTGTGCCTACCCAGCCCTTGTATAAGGTTCCTGACCTGTGTTAAGTAAAGAATGTCACTTTCTGATAGGCTCAGGAGCCCCAAGTTTATCTTGGACCCTCAAGAGGACAGGAATTCACCCAACTCATAGGTATTTGATGGTACAAATTCATGACTAGACTTGACTTTTAAAAAGTCCTATCTGAAATTTTTTCTATGGAATAAAGTTCCATCAAAGCCAACTTAAAAGCACATGTAAAAAAACAATTATTCTTGTTGCACCATAAACAAATAATCAGGCCAAGTATGATAAAGCAAATCAGTCCTACCGGATTTGTCTTAAGTAAAAATGGAAAACTGGAGAGAAAAAATTATGTTTCAAAAACTATAGTACCCCTGTTCTTAGATTCCAGTCTTGCCTAATATTTTTGAATTTTTATTATTTTCTACAATTTGGTCTGAATTCTAATTTTTCTTGGCTACAAGCCTTCCAGATAATGCTTTCAATTCCTTTCCTTCTTTTTTCCTCCATTTTTCTTAATTTGGGGTCACTGAAAACTAAGCTGTGCTTTCAAAAAGCCCTGACAACAGAAGCTAGACAACTTAAACTTCAAAAGAAAATAACAGCAACGTATTTACATACATAAGCCACTTTCATACCTCTCTCTTGTTGTGTGGACTTCAGAGTAATGAGGCCTATATCAATTTTCCAGGATTGTTCTTTTGTTTGTTCTTGTTTTTTCCCTTCCTCCCCTAATTTTCTCTTCATAGGACATGAGACTTCACAATCTGCTAAAAATTAGCCCTCCTAAATAACTCCGGACCTACCCACCTAGTAATAAGCCATCCTAGCCATGAGATATCAGACAAAACCTCAGACCAGAGACTCATTTTCTCCTAAAATGCTTTCTCCAAAATACTTTTTAAAGAAAAGGGGGAAAATGTGAAAGAAAAATAAATCTTGGGGCTCTCAAATCACTAGGCTAAAGAAAAAGAGAAGTTGGAAACTGCTTAGGGCAAACCTACCTCCCATTCTATTCAAAGTCACACCTCTGCTCAGGGAGATAAATGCATATCTGATTGCCTCCTTTAATCAGAAACTCAAAAAAATGCAACCATTTGTCTCTCATCTACTTTTGACCTGGAAAGCCCCCTCCCTGCTTCCTGTCTTTTTGAGTTGTCACACATTCCCAGACAGAACCAATGTTCATCTTGCATATGTTGATTGATGTCTCATTTGCTTTTAGAATGTATAAAACCAAACTGTGCTCTGATCACCTTGGGCACAAGTCAGGACCTCTTGAGGCTGTATCATGGGGTTGTGTCCTCAATCTTGGCAAAATAAACTTTGTAAATTAATTGAGACCTGTCTCAGATTTTCAGGGTTCACAGGGCCAAGCTAACTTTGGAAGATATTTAGGCTATAGTTTAAATGATAGTAAGTCTTATCCTAAAACTCATCCACTTTTGTAAAGCTAATGGGAGGCCTTCAGCCTGGTGGGGATGGGGGGGATCCTAAGTCCTGCTAAGTTGCAGACATAAACAATTGTCAGCCATTATTCCAGAGGTTATAAGATAGGCAGCTTCCCCAATTACTCCTGCAAATAACATCACTATTGTAGAATTTAACACTGGCCTGTTAAGATATCTTTTCAAGTTTGTTTTTTTTTTTTTTTGCCTGTCTGACACTCATGGCTCCACCTGGACCAGCCAACCCAGCTCCTATGGCCCCACCCAGAAGCAATGCAGCTCACAGAAGACAGCTTTGACTCCTTATGATTTCACCTCCACCCCAACCAATCAGCAGCAAGCACCTATTACCTGGCCACCTCCTCCCCTTCCCTAAAACTGCCTTTGAAAAAACCTGACCTAAGAACTTTGGAGGAGATAATTTGAGTACAAACTCCATTTCCCATGTGGCATAGCTAGCCTTGTGTCTATTAAATTTTTTCTACTACAGTGTTGTGGTCTGTCTTCATGTAGTGGGCAGGAAGAACCACTTGGGCAGTTACAGAGCAGGGCTTGAGGCTGTTTGCAGAAATGTTGCAGTCCAGTCTAGTACTGTGCCTAGCCTACACTGGTAATTTTTTTTCTCAATCAGTCTACTTAGGAGGTTATCAATTTTATGAATCTTTATAAGAACTAGCTCTTACCTTTATTGATTTTCTTTAGCTATTTTTAAATTTTCATTGATATCTACTCTTACTTTTATTACATATTTCCTTCTACTGGGAGTTTAATTTGCTATCCATTTTCCAGTTTCCAATGTGAAAGCTTAGACCTGGATTTGAAACCTTTATTCTCTTTCAATACAAATGTTTAAAGCTAACATTTGCCTCCATATACTGTGTTAGCTTCATCCCACAAATTGTGATATATTGTGTTTTTATTATCATTTAGTTCAAAATATTTTAAAGTTTTCTTTGCGATTTCTTCTTTGACCCATGGGTTATAAAGGAATGTGTTGCTTGATTTCCAGATAACTGCAGCTTTTCCAGATATACTACTGCTATTGATTACTAGTTTAATCCTCTTTTGGACACAGAACATATTCTATACAATGATGGTTATTTGAAATGTATTGAGATCTGGTTTATGGCCCAGCATATGGTCTGTCTTGGTGGAGGGTCCAAGTTAAATTGAAAAGAATGTGTATTCTGCACTTGTTGGGTGTTGTGTTTTAGAAATGTAAATTGGGTTAAATTGCTTGATCAAAATGTAGTTTATTGCCACTTTTTATATTTGTTTAATGAATTAGTGAGAAGGAGTGTTAAAATCAGCTGTAATTGTGGATTTGTTTATAAATTTAGTGCTGCCAGTTTTTGCTTCATGAATTTTACAAACTTGGTCATTAGATAAAAACACAAGTAGGATTATTATGTCTCCTTAATGAATTGACAATTTTATCATTATTAAATGTCCCCATTTATTCTGGTAATACTTTCTGATTTGGAGTTTACTTTATCTGATATTGATATAGCTAAATCAACTGTGTTATTAGCATTTTTTTTGAAACAGAGTTTTGCTCTGTCACCCAGACTGTAGTGGAATGGTGCAATTTGGCTAACCGCAACCTCTACCTCCCTTGTTCAAGTGATTCTCCTACCTCAACCTCTCAAATAGCTGGAATTACAGGTGTGTGCCACCACACACAGCTAATTTTTGTATGTTTAGTAGACATGGGGTTTCAACATATTTATCAACAGGCTGGTCTCAAACTTCTGGCCTCAAGTGATTCACCTGCTCTGACCTTCCAAAGTGCTGAGATTACAGGCCTGAGCCACCACACCCAGCCTATTAGCATTTATTATTATGTCATGCCTTTCGTCCCCCTTCTAACCTGCGTCTTTATATTTAAAGCTTATTTCTTATAAATGACATTTAGTTGCACTTTACTTTTGCAACCAATTTGAAAATCTTTGCTTTTAATTAGCCTGTTTAGTCTGAGTACATATTTTATAAAAATTAATGTGGATGCAAGGCTAAAGATTAGTTCCTTTAATTTTTTTTTATAGTGTAGATTTGCTGGCAGTAAGTTCTCCCTGTTTTTCTTTGAGAAGAAGTAGTTTGCCTTTATTTTCAAAAGCTATTTTCTCTAGGTACAAAAGTATAAGTTAACAGTGTTTCTTTACTTTCAGCACTTTAATAATTTTTTTTTTTTATATTCTAAGCTTACATTGTTTCTCATTTACCAGTCTGTGATTATTCTTTTTTTTTCTCCCACTGTTTGTAATGTGCCTACTTTCTCCCTCTGGCTGTTTAAATTTTTTTTAAAAATCACTTATTATTAGTAATTGGGCTTTTATTTGCCTTGGAATGATTTTCTTTGTTTTTACTCTGCTTGGGGTTTATTGAAATTCTTGAATATGTAATTTTATAGTTTTCATCAAATTTGGAAAATTATTGGCCATTATGTTATAAGTAAAATTTTGATGCTGCAAAAGAAACAGCACTTGAAGATAAGTCCTCTCAGCAAGGCAGTTTACTTCTATAGAAGGGTGTGACATAGGGATAGAACAATGGTGGCAGCATGCTTTGACAAGGGGGGAAGGGGTACTTACGCCTGATGGGGGTTGTCCCTACTGCTCTGTTGTCCCCTATTAGCTAGGGTTAAAATGCACAAGCTAGACTAACCTTGATTGGCTATTTTGAAAAGAGCAGGTGTCCGAGCTGAAGTGGTAGGGTGGGTGTTTTCACTGGAAGGAGGGTTATTGGCAAGTCAGAGCGGGTAGTCAGGAGTTATTAGGTGACCAGGATGAGTCAGGATGGAGCTGGAGGAAGGAGGAGCAGAAGTGAACCACTGATTAGAACCAGTGGAGAAGGTTTTACAAAGAAGTTAAACTTTAAAATAGAGAATTAAAGAATAAGAGAACTGAACATACTGACATACTGATTCTTTGAAGAGAAACTTGGGGTTCACTACAATGATTATTTCTTCAAATATTTGTTTTTATGTCCTCTCCTCTAGGGTACCAACTGCACATATTGATCTAATTAATATAGTTCCACGAGTTACTAAGATTCTAATGTTTCAATTCTTTTTGCTTTATTTTGGCAGCTTTAATTGCTATGTCTTCACATTCATTGATTTTATCATATGCATTTTCTATTCTATTGAACAGATATCCAATAAATTTTTAATTTCAGATATTTTAATTTCTAGAAGTTCTATTTGTTATTTTTTCCTATCTTTTAAATTTGTTTGTTAGTTTTATACATGATTTATTTGGAAATTTTTAGCATATTTATAATATATATTTTAAAGTCCTTGTTTGCTAATTGCATTATTATTATTATTATTATTGAAATGGAGTCTCACTCTGACACCCAGGCTGGAGTGCAGTAGCACAATCTTAGCTAACTGCAACCTCTGCCTCCTGGGTTCCAGCAATTCTCCTGCCTCAGCCTCCTGAGTAGCTGGAACTACAGGTGAATGCTACCATGTCTGGCTAAGTTTTGTGTTTTTAGTAGAGACAGGGTTTCACCATGTTGGCTAGGATGGTCTCAAATGCCTCACCTCAGGTGATCCACCCACCTCAGCCTCCCAGAGTGCTGGGATTACACAGGTATGAGCCACTGCGCCCAGCCAAATTTTATGATTTCTGTCACTTCTGGGTATGCAGTTATTGACTGATTCTTTTCCTCATTATGTGTCACATTTTTCTGCTTCTTTATGTGTCTAGTAATTTCTGATTGAATGCCAGGCAGTATTAGTACATATTATAAAGTGTTTGGATTTTGTTGTCTCCTTAAAAGAGGGAAAGGAATTTGAGTTATTTGCAAATTAGCTTGATCCTTTATGAGCTTCTTTTAAGACTTGTATGGCAGGTTGAGAGTATAGTAGTTCTCTTTTATCTGCAAGGAATATGTTCCAAGACCTCCATCGAATCCCTGAAATCATGAATAGTATAAAATTTTATATACACTATGTATTTTTACCTATGATAAAGTTCAATTTATAAATTAAACATGGTAAGAGATTAACAACGGGTGATCAAATAGAACAATTATAACAACATATTTTAACAAAAGGTATATGCCTGTAGTCTCTCTCTCAAAATATCTTATTATATTATATTCACCTTTCTTGTGATAATGTGAGATGACACAATGCCTATGTGATGAGATGAAGTGAAGTGAATGACTTGGCATTGTGAGATAGCATTAGGCTATATTGACCTTCTGATAATACATCAAACTTATGAATTGTTTATTTTTGGAATTTTGTATTAAATATTTTCAGACCATGCTCCACTACAAATAAATAAAATTGTTGAAAGTGAAACCACAAGTAAAGGGAGACAGTATCCTTTAATCTAGAGTTAGGTAAGCCCTGCTATTCAAGTGTAGTTTTTCATGTGAGCATTATTATTTTAAATTAATTAACTAATTAATTAATTTACTTTTAAGCCAGAGTCTTGCTCTGTCACTCAAGCTGGTGCAGTGGCATGATCTTGGCTCACTGCAACTTCTACCTCCAAGGTTTAAGGGATTCTCCTGTCTCAGCCTCTTGAGTAGATGGGACTACAGGCATGTGTCACCATGCCTGGCTAATCTTTTTGTATTTTTAGTAGAGACAGGGTTTTACCGTGTTGGTCAAACTAGTCTTGAACTCCTGACCTTAAATGATCTGCCTGCCTCAGCCTCCCAAAATGCTGGGATTACAGGCATCAGTCACGGTACCCAGCCCACGTGAGCATTATTAATACCTGGGGTCCTCACTGAATCTCTCCAATCTACAGGTAGGAACTTGAATATCTCCAAAGTCTGTGTGAGTTCTAGGATTATTTAACTGTTAGTTATTTGCCAGTTATTCTTTGTCCAGTCTGTGGAGTTTCAGTTTATGCATGTCCAAACTAGCATTCCACGAAGACTGGAAAAGACCTCGCTTTAGATTTCTGGCTCCTTCTCTACATAGCTTCCTCTTCTCTAGTACTTTGCTCTGCAAATTCTAGCTGCTTCTATCTCCAAGATCATATTTCTGACTCTTTAACTAAACAAGACTGCTGAGCTGTGCTTGGTTTCCTTTTTCTAATGTCACAGATTAGAAATGGTCTCTGGACAGGGCTCAACTCATTTTTCCCCTTTTCTCTAGTGCCATACTTCTGCTTTTGTTATTTTGTACATTTTGTACATTTCATCCAGTTTGAAGTCAAGCTACTTTTTCATGAGCAAAAACTTAGACTACAGTATACACATGTTCCTGTACTTATGATGGTTCATCTTATAATTTTTCTACCTTATGGTGGGTGTATTGGGTATTAAACACATTTTCAACTTATGATATTTTCAATTTATGATAGGTTTATTGGGACATAATCACATTTTAAGTCAAGAAGCATCTACAGTTGATTTGTGGGAACCCATTGCAATGTTTGAATATAATATTTAAAATTCATGATTTAATTCTGAAGCTGTTTCATTTTATAAATTGTGTTGAGACAATGCAAAGTTTATACAAGTAGGAATTGATGAAAATGACTACAATCTACAATGACTCAAAGTGTTATGTAACAGCACTACTAACAATAATTAAAATCTTGAGTATCACAATATAGTTAGTTATTTGTTTGAGAAGGCAGAAAAGTAAATTATATAGAATACATAATAACTTACCATTTATGTAGATCTCTATTTTATTACTAATAGGAGTATCCCTGCCCCATCAACAGACCTAACGAGACATGTACAATAATAATTAAATTCAGTTGTCTTTGACATTTTGCTAAGTTTTAATCATATCAAAATCATTGTTTTATAGATTTCTAATTTTTTTGTTATGAAGGTTTGTTTTTAAAGCTGAGGACAAAAACTCATTTTAATAGCTCATTAGCTTCATTTAAAATATTTATTATTGTAGTACTGTGATATAGCTAGCCTAGAATTAGAACCAGTACAATGCCATTTTAAAATGGGAAAACTATTTCCATTCTCCTCACAATGACTGCTAGCCATGGCTTCCGTAAACTACTAAGATTACCTTGCAAAATGCAAAGAGAGGACAAGCTGCATACTTTCTCTTATCTGTAACTGCCAGAATTGCTGGCCTTTGTTTACCAAAGTAAGCACCCCCAGATAATTCCATCCTGGCGCCAAGTAACCTAAAATTATGTGGACCCCACACCTGTCCAAATAATGTATAAACTAATGTTTACCTTGACCTCTGTAAACCACTTAGGTGGCAATCGGAATGACAAAAGTCCCCTGGCCCTTGGAATGTCTGGAGCCCCCTCACCCTCGTCTCAGCCTAGGAGGTGGTTGACAGCCTTCATTCCCATCTCCGCTCCTCACCCCCACTCCCAAGGTGGTTTTGCGGGTATAAAAAGGTCTTGTCACTCTTCTTTCGGGGCCACGGGTTGGAGAGACGTGAGTCCTCCGTGGTCGCCGGCAATAAACCCTGTAATTTGGCATTCTTTTG